AGAATAGCTAGTTAATTACTAATAAAAAGAAGTAAGTTATAGTAATATTAGCTTAAGTATAGTAAAGTCTAGCTAATTACTTCTAATATATAGCCTAATTATAAATAGCTTAATTAAGATAAGTTATTAAAGGATTAGCGCTAGTATACTATAAATTCTTTTCTTGTAATCTAAGGAATTAGCTAAGTTTTATTATTATATTAGTTATTATTTATTAGAAATTAGCTATTAAAAATCTAAAAAAGAAAAAAAAAATAAATTAATAATTTAATAAAACACTAGTAAAAGAAAAAAGAAAAAGTAGTAATAATAGTATAAGAACTTAATAAAAGGCTATAATAATAAAAAAAAAATAAAGTTTATAAAAGTAAATAAATAATAGAGAGGTAAAGCTTAGAAAGGTAGCTCTAAAGAGGGGTATAAAGGGCCCTATAGATAGCTAATAGGCTAACTAAACCTTTTTAAGGATATACTAGATTAAGGCTAGTGTAGTATAACTAGGACAGTTATATAAGAGAAAAGTATAATTATTATAAGATAATAGGTAATTACCCTAAAGTCCTAGGTAGACCTAGTAGGTTAAAAGAATATTATTCCTAATATAGTTTAGTAAGCGTTTTACTTAGCAAGGCTAAATAAACGCAAGATTAAAAAGGTATTAACCCCCTAGTAAAAGGCTAGTAATAGCTAGGTCAAGAATTAGCTTCTGTAGAATACAGGACCTATGTTTTAATTATCACTTCTCTTCACTAGTGCTGTTATAATCTCTGTCTGTAATGCAGCGTCAGCATTCCCCTCCTCTCTTTCCCACTCTGAACCCTTGGCCACCGGCTTCTCACCCCTGGTCATCCCTCGTGCCTCGTTCAGGTCATGCTTGTGATTATGAAGCCGATTTGGGGAGGACGGCAGGGATGCCGCCGCTTTCGGACCCCCATCTGCGTAACGTAGGTAGTAGTAAGAGTAGGTGTGTGCCTTGCCTTTTTTCTGGGTGGTAAGTAAGAGATCTGATAAAGATACCGTAGAATCTTGCATCTCCGTCCCAAGTTCCGTCGCCTCCCCAAAGTCCTTCCCCTAATTCTTCCTCCAACGTTTTGCACGCGACGGAAATAACCGAAGGACCGTTACAACGATAACAACGAACTTGAATGGCTCCCTCGGCCCTCGGAATCACTCAAACTTAAACTGCCTAGGTACTTGCTTCAGGTACCTCCTACGCAATACAGTGTGTCGACTTTGCCAGATTACGGTGCGCACCCCGCCAACCCCTCATGGTTCCGGCGCTTATCAAGCACCGCCGTCCTACAGTACCGTCTCCCGCTACACAGTTAGTTTTTTATTTATTTCATTTGACTAATCCGCGAAGTTGCTCTTCGCCCTCTCTTCTCGCCCAGCAAAAAGATCGCAACTTCTTCCAACATTGTTAATCGATTACCTCTCCTTCATCTCTGGCGACCGTTTCCATCGTATGTCAACAGAAAACCCCGGTGACCCCCCGAAGCAAAACACCAAAGCAGAGTCCGATCCACGCTCGCAGCGAGTCACCATCTCCAAAATGGCGCCCGCCGTCGTAACCCTCGACACGACCCCCGACTTCGATCTCCCCCCTTCCTCGACCACGACTGCCCCGGTTGCCCCCGCAAAGCGTACCTTACTCCTCGCGCCCCCCTCCATAGCCTCCCACCCGCACAAGCTCCAGGCCGTCCTCGCCTCTCATGACCGTGCCACCACGGACCTGCAGATGCTCGACCGCCTCTTGGCCGGCCACATCTCCCTCCCCGCGTCCACATACGACCTCGTCCTCGTCCTCACGGACGCCGACGGCTCCCGCGTCGAGTCCACCCGCCTTCTCTCCGACCGCGCCGTGCTCTCGGCCGTCGCCGACGCCCTGAAGCCCTCCGCGGAGCTCAAGGCCCAGGATGGTGGCAACCTCGCCAATGACCCGGCCGTCGCACGCGAGGCCGTTCTCGCGGGCCTGGTGACCGCCACGGCCGGCGGCTTCACGAAGCCCGACTACGGCGAGGACCAGGTCGTCACTTTGAGCTTTGGGAAGAAGAAGTCGGCCCCGGCGTCTGACGGCTCTGTGCCGCTTGGCGGCAGCGGCAGACCCACCATCGCGCCCCCTGTCTCCGCGCCCCCTGCGGGCGTCGGCTTTGTCGACTTTAGCGACGACCTGGACATGGACGGCGACGACGACCTCATTGACGAGGACACCCTCCTCACGGATGCGGACCTCTCGCGCCCCCTCAACATCCGTAAGTACTCCCAATCCCTTCCCTTTTCCAAAACAAAGAGCGAAATGAGAGAGCTCAAAGACTTTCCCTCTCTCTTCCTCTCTCCGAGCCGGCACCCAGCTAACACGTCCGGGAAAACAGCCCCCGAATGCGCCCCCAAGGCCGGGAAGCGCCGCCGCGCTTGCAAGGACTGCACCTGCGGCCTCGCTGAGCGCATCGCCGCCGAGGACGCTGCCGCCCGCGCCTCCGCGGACAAGGCCCTCGCGGCCGTCAAGCTCGGCGCCGACGACCTTGCCGAGGTCGACTTCACCGTCCAGGGCAAGGTCGGCTCCTGCGGCAACTGCGCCCTCGGCGACGCCTTCCGCTGCGACGGCTGCCCATACATCGGCCTGCCGCCCTTCAAACCCGGCGAGGAGGTGCGCATCCTCACCAACGATATCCAACTATGAAGAAACGGGATTACTCTTCTTTTTTTGTTCTCTTTTTTTCTTTCTTCCATTCCCTCTTTGGACAGAAACCCGGGTACTGGCGTTCAATTGTCGTGGCGCGGGAGGAGCCTGGTATCACATACTACGATATACATATATCTATATCCGTCGGCACATGCATTTTGGCGGGATGGAGTGGGGGGGGAGACTTTGCGTGGCGGCAGAGCCAGCCAGCCGGCCAGCCAGCCACATGCGGTGAAGGATAAAAAGGCGCATAATGGGTGGTGTTTTTCACTTTGGGCGTAATGAGAGAGAATCAGAGAGACGACACACTTGCAACATGGAGAGAGTAGGAAGACGGGGGGGGGGGGGGGTTCATTGGCAATGGGCATGATTTTTGTTCTGTTTTGTTGCTGTAGATAGATGGGTGGACGCATCTTCAGACAAAGCCAAAAAAAAAACGAGGATGATTGTTTGCCCATTCGAGTGCGGGCACTTATTTCATTGATCTATACGTAATCAGACAACACAAAAACTCCGTCCCGTGATGGATTCCCGAGCGTCACCTGTGCCCCTCATTAAATAAAGATTTTCGCTAAACTCTCCAATGCAGGTTTTTATCAAGGAGCATCAATAGTTCAACCAAGTCAACCTATCCGCCGCAAACCGTCGGCTCCCTCTACCGCCCTGAGCGGCCGCCGTTCGACCTCGAGGGCTTCTCATCGTGAGGCTCGTCGTCGCTGTCCCCTCCGACACTGTAACGATCCTTGTCCATCTCTGCCGTCGGCGTCGTCACGTGCAGGTCGTCCAACTCGCTCTCGTCAAAATCGCCCGTCTCAACGTCACGGCCGGTTCGCCTGTCGCGGAAGCCCTCGAGGCCGCGGGTGGTACCGCGCTGGGCGATGGGGGGTGTGTTGCCCATGATACCCGAGTAGCCCCTGCGCTTGCGGCGCTCGCGCCAGACGTACCAGCCCCAGGCACTAGCAGCGATGATGACGATGACCAGTACGATCTCACCAGATCGGTAGTATGCCTTCCACTTAGCTTCGTCCAACTTCTTCTGCGTCTCCGCGTCGGCCGAGGTGCCGTTCTTGCCAATATCGCCGACCGACGTAGCGGGGCCTTGCTCGCCGTCGAGACGAGAGTCGGTGGGTGTTCCGCCAACGGAGCTGATATCCACCTTCATGAAGCGGTCGAGCATGTCGCGACTGCGGCGGGCGTAGTCGAAAGGGACCATGTGGGAGGAGTTGTAGAAGAGGATGTATGTGAGGTTGCGGGCCTCCTGCCAGAAACCGGCAGGCTGGCCCTCAACGGTCCAGTCGCGGCGCGGGGCCCAGTTACCGGGGGTGAGCTCGAACCCTTTACCGCCATTCCATTCCATGTCGCCAATCATCGCTTCGGTTCCCATGTAGTTGCATATGAGGTCTTCGGCGCCGGAGAAGAGGACGATCGGGACCTCCTTGAGGAGATCGGGCAAGTAGTCCCTGGAAGGAACAGATTTTGGGGCTCGGAAGGCGGATCCGACAGCTCCGTTGCATTCCGTCCAACCGGTGTTCTTCTGGGGTTTGATGTGCAGGGCATTGACGACCTCGCTCTTGCGGAGGTAGGGCGTCAGGTTGACCAAGTCTGGGGGCCAATTCATGCCGCAAGAGGGGTAGGTGTCGCGCAGGCGGATGTCATACATGTTGATGCACTCGCGCTCGCCCTTGGCGTTGACCTTGGCCGTCTGCTCAAGCAGCTTCTGCAGGACCAGTTCGCACTCGGGGAAGTCGACAGTGCTGGTGACAGCCAGCGCCGTGCGGCAAATACGCCACTGCTGCTCAAGCTGGAGCGCAACGGGCGAGCCCTTCTCGATGAGCTTCTTCTCGTAGGCGTACTTTAGGTAGGCATCGTATTGGTCTCTGGGGGAGATCCATGCGTTGCCCATGAGTAGACCCTTGAGCTGCCAGGGGGTTTTGACTCCGGGCTTCTTGTTCCTCTCAAGGATGTGTTTTGCGATGTAGGGGATGTGCTGACCGGCATATGATTCACCTGAGATGTAGAGCTATTTGGCTGTTAACATGGAGCTTGCATAAAGCATGGTTCCGGGTGTTTGACTTACGTCGTCGTGCTCGTACTCGGGGAACATGGCGAACCACTTTTCGAGAAACTGAACAAACTGATCGGCCATCTCGGTGAGCTCGTGCAGGTAGCTGTTGGTGTCGACAAAGCTGAAGCCGGTGCCGACGGGGTTGTCGACGAAGAGCAGGTTGGCGAACTCGTTCCAGGAGCCGTTGTTGTACTCGAGATGGTCCGGGTCCTTGACTCGGTAGGGGCCGATCTCCATCAAGGCGCCGTCCTCGGAGCTGCAGCCGGGGCCGCCATTAAGCCAGATGACGGTGCGCTGCTTGTTGGCGATGTGCTGGTTCTGGAAATGCCAGAAAAACATGTTTCCGTTGTGATCGGGAGTGACTTCGACGTGTCTGGGATGAAATGCGCGTCAGCGGGATGATTTGAAAGGTTGCGATGCGAGCTTCCCCACAGGGGTTCAACGGGGATGCGGCAGCAGCATCGGTGGTCACTCACCCAGCGTGCATCTTGATGAAGGGCTCCTTGGGTGCGCCGGGCAACTCGTGGACAAAGTAATCGGCGGCACTCTGAGCCGCCACGGCTGGAGCCCACGATGCCAGCGCAAATAGCAGCGCCGGCACCGTCGATAGGATAGCCATGACGGGGGAAGTGTTGGCCTCCCCGAGGCTACCTTTGAAGAATTAGATGGGAGTTAGTTGGGGGCGTAGTCCAACTTGGGTTTGCATTAACGTCTCTCTCTCTCTCTCTCTCGGGGAAGCGTTGAAGGGGGAGAGGAAAGAAACAAGCAACGGCAGCGGAAGAGATGCTGCTGTTGAATAGACGGTGATGTCGGAAGGAAGGGAGGGCGGAGGATTGGGAGGGAGGAGGAAGATTGTGAAGCGAAGGGGAGGAAGGGGGAAAAAAGATGCGACGCGAGAGGTCCGTTATGATTGTCCCGTCCATCCATCCGGATCTGAAATGTGTACACGTACTCTACTAAGTAGGTAGGTAAATACTGTGCTTTCCCCTTGTCTCATGCCTCGCAGGCAGCACTAGTGTATGTACTAAGGTACATTCCGTAGTCAGCCCCCAGTCTTTCTCGCTCGCCCTCCCACACCCCGGCTTCCCACCGCCCGCCACACTCCCAGCAACTGGCACCCAGCACCCAGCACCACGTATCGACAGTAGGTATCTCTTCCCGATACCCACCCTTGCTCCGCCCACTAAAATAGGTTGGGGTGGGCGAGTGCGTTGCTGTGTAGCACGGACTGGACTGGACTGAGAAGGATTGGGAGTGGTTCTCCAGTGCCTACGGAACATCTACCTCCCTTTCCTCTTATCGACCAGCGGATGATAGCGCAGCCGAGAGGTGCGGTGTGCCGCATGAGCGAAGACCCAGCTGTGGCGGTCTCCAAACAGGGGTTGGGCCTCCATTGTAAAGCTTTGAGGTCCCCGGCTGTTGGTGACAGTCCCGACGGCTGGCGCCCGTAGATACGACGCTGATGCACGGCAGCCGCTACAACGTGGTGGGCGCTGAATGAAGCGCGCTCTCATTACATGCTGTTTGCGTAGTAGATTGTATGTATGTACATAGTATATACTTTACTTACTGATCGAGTTGTATAAGCCAGGTACCTACCTAGGTAGGTACGACAGTACGGTTGTACAGATACCTAGTCTAGGTAGGAAGGTAGGCCGTGTACACTACGCACCAAGTACATGGTAAGCGCTCGACTGTGAATCCATTACTAACAAACCAAAACGATGGATAGGTAGGCCAGTATGAATACATGCGTACGAACGAAAGAGACGCGAAGCTGACAACAGCCGGCCATCTGTGCGTTCCCGAAACCCTTGTAAGGTCAAGGTCGTCCCGTTGGCTTGGCGTTGTCGATCGAACCTCTTCTCCTCCTATATTTCTTTCCCCGACAACTGTAAGACCGGGAGCAGGACGGAATAAGATGTCCAGGAGCGTCAGGTCAGCGACGCGAGTAGTGTACCCCCCTATTTTGACAGAAATATGCAGAAGAACACGCCCGAATCCCATACAGATCGCCGTCCCAGGGTGACCGAGTCTGAGGGGCGCATACCGCTTACATAACTTCCTTTTCCCCGTCTCCCTACCTACTTACAGGTACCTACCTACCTACACTACCTACCTACGCAGTACTCCGTACTGTAGGCGCCTATTGGCAGGCCCCCAAGTCAATCTTTTAGCTATGTAAAACCTGAGACAGCAACAGACCCTGCCCAAGCATTTTCATTGCTTCTTCTTTCAGTCCCCATACCAAGACGCATGTTCATCTCACACAGACAACCGTGACATTGACAGAAAAGCACATCATCAACGGCGCAACTGAGGATGATGATACCGTCACCATAGTATCCACAACAAGCCCCAGCCGTTGGTTGCCAAGTAAATGGTGAAAGCCAATTCTGCGGAACTTGCGGCGAGACAGGTCCCCAGCATTGGCTGATCTGGCCACCCACCTAGGTAGGTAGGTACCTCTGTCTCTCTACCTTGGGTAGGCTGGCAGGTCTAGCTAGGTATTGATTAGTGGGTAGCGATTAAGCATTGCCAAAGTGCCCGCGATGGCTTGAAAGCCACAAGTGGAGAGAGTCGAGCGACAAGCGCTTCCCGATCCGATTTCTCGCATCCGTCAGTGGCTTCCCAAACAAGCGTTTGACCACAGCTCTCAGCCCGTCCTCGCAATAGACTAGACCAACCCCATCGGCTCAAAACGCATTACGCGGCCTCCCTTTCCATACCATTTCCAGCCTTGGCCCAGTCGCACCTTTGACGTCCACCGGAACGGTTCCGAAATAGCACAATAATGCCAGGCAAGACGTACATTGTCGAACATCTCGACCCCGAGCTTGGCCCCTGGTCGGAACTCGAGTACATCGCCATCGCCAAAGAAACCCACGCCGCCGGCGGCACCTTCCTGCTGTCCTCCCTGCCCTCCGGTTTCGTCGCCCCGGACAAGTTGAAGCAGATCCCGGCCTTCGAGGCCGAGGCCCGGGGTGTCGAGGAGCTTTACGCCCAGGACAAGTCCCGAGTGTGCCTGCTCGACCCCGCCGCCGCCAGCGACCTGAGCCCCGACGACGGTGAAAAATTTGACGCCTTTCTTTTCGGCGGCATTCTGGGTATGAGTTTTCATGCCGAAATCTGACTTCTTCGACGGCTCCCGATTTCCGCTAACCTCCTCCTCCTCACCAGGCGATGACCCCCCTCGTGGTATTTTTCCTCAGTTCTAACCCCCCCGCGCAAGTGTGAACCGTCTCTTCTGACACCCTCCCTTCTACAGACCGCACCTCCGAGTTGAGGAAAAAGGGCTTCGAAGGGAGACGCCTGGGCCCGACTCAGATGACCACTGACACGGCCGTCCGTGTCACGAGAATCGTCGTCGAGGAGAAGAGTATGTTTCGGCCACCTCTGTCACCTTCCCGTGGCTGCATCACTAACGGACAGCAGCGCCCTTGGATAAGATCCCCTACGTTACCTACCCTGAGCTAAAGTTCAGTGACCATGAGAGCACCGAGATGCCTTTCAAGTATGTCACGGACAAGAATGGGCAGCCAATCATGCCTGAGGTGAGATCCCAGCGTCTTTTTTTTTTCTTTTTTTTTTTTTCACTCCCATGAAAAATACCGAGTAAGGTAATGCTAATTACCGTCTCCAGGGTATGGTTGACCTCATCAGAAAGGATGCCGATAAGGCAATTGATGATCTCTTCTAATTTGATACCAACCCCAATTGAACATGAAACGTTTTTATAAGCTCACACGGCCGATGCACGACTTCATGAAAATTCCGTGACGTTGCGTCCATCTTGCAAATTTGGAGAAAAAACAAAGGATAAAAATTATTTAAAAAAAAACCCCTCGCCACCAGTTGAATAACATTTGCGTCGGAACCGCGTTGCATCGTCAGAACAACCCTAGATCTCGCCATATAGAAGACGAGAGCGATAGAGGGTACTGAAATGATAGGAGACGGATAGCTCTCGGTCCATTTCGAACCTCAATGCCGCGCAGGTTTGATGCCGGTCATTGTTGACCCCGCACCGGAGATCGGCCATCGCTTGACGGAGGGAGGGATGTGAGGCTTTAATACTGTGGTTGGCCCGCCCCTCGTATCTTGCTGACCATCCATCCGCTCTCCAAACGGTTATCAACTTATCGTCCAGAGACGACCTGAAAGCAATACAGTTTCCTCTCTGGTCGCTGGTACCTGTCTGCCGCCGCCTATTCGTCCTGCTCGGAGGATCTGTCCCGCGCCATCCTTATCAACTCGACTTTCCTCTCTCGGCCTCACATCCCACCGACCTCGAGTTTAATCCCTGCTCCTCGTAGCTCTCATTCCCGCTCCGACAACCCGAGATCCCCTCATGTCTCGAGGTTACTCTCAATCCTTGGCTCTCCGTGACCTTTTGCCAAGATATGCCCGTTGATGTCCACCTCGCCAGCATCAAGTTTCAGTGATATCATCTGCTTGAAATAAAACAAAAAAGTAAAAAATAAAAAGGAGAGAAAAAGAAAATGTCCAACCCCCAGATCGTATTCCGCCAAACAACCTTCACGGCCCCGTCTCTGCTCCTCTCCCGCCGCCGTACCATTTCCCGCACCACCGTCCATGCCCAGCTCGACCAGCTCCGCGCCAACGGCCAGTACGACTGCTTCAAGCTCGGATGGCACCCCATCTACGACGACAAGTCGCGCTGGCCCGCGCCCCTGCATCTGTTCTGGGACAGCGATGTCGCCAAGTGGATCGAGGGCGCCTGCTACTTTCTGGCCGACGAGTACGACGTGGAAGTCGATGCTGCCGTGCGTGAGCTGGTTGAGATGATTCGGGGCGCGCAGCACGACGATGGCTATCTCAACGTCCACTTCTCTGTCGTCGAGCCGGGGAAGCGATGGACTAATATCCGTGACATGCATGAGATGTTGGTCCCGGCCCGAATGTGACACGCGCGGAGCAGTGCGTAGCTCACGTCTTTACAGGTATAATGCCGGGCATCTCATCGAAGCGGCCCTCGCGCACTCGCAGTACTACAGAACCGACCGCCTGATGGAGCCGATCGAGAAGTACATTGCCCACATCCGCCGACGCTTCGGCCCGGGGGACGGCCAGCTGCGGGCGTACCCGGGACACCCCGAGATCGAGCTCGCCCTCCTGAGGTTCTACTCGGTGACGGGACTCCGGGACGCATACGACCTCGCCCGCTTCTTCCTCGAAGAGCGCGGGAGCCCCGCGGGCAAGGAAGGCAAGCACTTCTACGACTGGGAGGCGGAACAGCGCGACGAGCCGCGGTGGAAGCGGCCCAACTCCTGGCCGATGGACAGGTCCTACTGGTACTGCCAGGCCCACGCGCCCATCCTCCAGCAGCCCTCCGTGGAAGGCCACGCCGTCCGCGCAATGTACCTCCTCACCGCCGCCGCCGACCTGCTCAACCTCTCCCAGACGAGCGCGCCGTCGGCGGAACTCCGACCCCTGGCCGCCGCCGCCGACTGGCTCGCCGCCCTGCGCCGCCTTTGGTCCAACATGGTCGACAAGAAGATGTACCTCACCGGCGGCGTCGGCGCCGTGGCGCAGTGGGAGGGTTTCGGCATCGACTACTTCCTCCCTCAGGGCGCCGACGAGGGCGGCGGCTACGCCGAGACGTGCGCCTCGGTGGGCGTCATGATGCTCGCCGAGCGGCTGTTGCACGCGGACCCGGTGCTGGACGGGCGGTACGCCGACGTCATGGAGCTGTGCCTGTACAACAACGTCATGACGGCCATGAGCCTCGACGGCAAGGCCTTCACGTACGAGAACCAGCTCGCGAGCTGCGCGGCCGCGCCGAGCGAGAGGGAGGACTGGTTCTGGTGCGCGTGCTGCCCGCCGAACGTGACCCGGCTGTTTGGGAGCCTGGGCGGGTACCTGTGGGACTACGGAAGCGGGGAGGGGACGGCGTGGGTGAACGTCCACCTGTACACGAGCGCCGAGGTCAGGTTCCCCGCGGGGGAGGCCGAGGTGACGCTTTCGCAAAAGTCGAACTGGCCGTGGGAGGGCCGCGTCTCGTTCCGGCTCGGGGGCGCCCAAGGCCTCGAGATCAAGATCCGGCTCCGCATCCCGGCCTGGGCCGAGGGCGGGTTCACCCTCACGCCCGCGCCGCCTCCCGGGGCGTCCGCGCTGGAGAGGGGGTACCTCCACCTGAGCCCGGCGTACACGGCCGCCAACGCCGCCTTCACGCTCGACGTCGGTGGCTTCGCGCCGCGGTACGTCGCGCCTCACCCGTACACGAACCAGCGCACGCTGAGCCTCGCGCGGGGCCCGGTCGTGTACTGCGTCGAGGACGCCGACCACCCCTGGGAGAAGAACCACTTCAAGGACATGGCGCTGAAGAGAAGGGGGGAGGTCGAAGAGGAGTGGCGGGTCGACCCGGAAAGCGGGGAGGGATATTTCGCACTGAAGACGGTCGGGTGGGAGAGGTCGCCGGAGGCACTGGAGAAGGGCGAGGAGGGCATCAGGAGGGAGCTTGTCTTTGTGCCGTTCTATTTCAGGGCGAACAGGGGCGGCAAGGGGCAGATGAGAGTTGGGCTTAGGGATGACGGACGATGAGGCTCGGATAAGTCTAGACCGCGCTGCACATATGTATCTGGTTTCCTGGCTTTTACGGTAATGAGCTGTAAACAAGGTATGGACTTGTTTTGATTTTGGATCAGGTTCCTGGCTTTAATGCCTTAACAATACGGGAGGCCCAGTGAAAGCGGCCGGGGAGGGCAGGTCTGCAGGCCTTGCGTAAAGCCAGCCAGTCCTCGGCTTCGCTCAATCATGAGGTTTTCATTCATGTTTCCAGGAACTTGGAAGTCGATTCCAATATATTCTAAAAGTGCTCCAAAGGTCCAAGGTACAAGAGAGATGACATATGCTGTGCACTGATTGGCGCCGAGGGGTGTCCACATGGAGCTGGAGGTGTCGGTGAGATCGGTAACGACATGGTCCAAGCTTCCTCACCGAGCTCACCTCATTACATCACCCAATCAATCTGCCATCCGAACAATTTCGTATTTATCATCAACTGCCCTTTCTACGTTGACCAAACCCCCCTTGGACGCACCACAACACACAGCCCAACATGCTCTCAAGGACATTCCTCCGCTCCGTATGCCTGAAATCTCCGAACCCGCTCCCCCCTCCTTCCCCTTTCTCCCCTTTCTCGAGCGGCAATCGCTAACCCGGAAGCGCGCAGAACTTCGCACGGCAGGCCGCCCGCCCGGCCGCCCGGCCGATCGCCTTCCGGGCCCCCCTTCCTTTCCTGACCCAGCACCGCCTCCTCTCCGACGAGACGCGCAAGGCGATCGAGAGCGCCGTCGGCTCCGCCCCCGTCGTCCTCTTCATGAAGGGCACCCCCGAGACACCCCAGTGCGGCTTCTCCCGCGCCACGATCCAGATCCTCGGCCTGCAGGGCGTCGACCCCTCCAAGTTCGCCGCCTTCAACGTCCTGGCCGACCCCGAGCTGCGTCAAGGTAATGCTGCCCGTGGCCCCCCCTCCCCCCTTTGACCGTGAAATATTTGGTGCAAGAGTGTGGCACGGGGGGGAAAAAAGCTGACAAGGGTAACAGGTATCAAGGAATTCTCCGACTGGCCCACCATCCCCCAGCTCTACGTCGACAAGGAGTTCGTCGGCGGCTGCGACATCCTCGTGTCCATGCACCAGAACGGCGAGCTGGCGAAGCTGCTCGAGGAGAAGAAGGTCCTCGCCGAGGCCGAGCCCGAGGCCGAGAAGAAGGAGTGAGTAGGACGGGGAGGATGGAAGCTTGCTGTGTGCGATGCGCTAGAAGGCGCTTGTTTCTATACAACTGTATCATACCAAACGGGGGGGTGAGACGGCCACGCGCGGAACGTGCCCGCGGCCAATGGAGTAATATTCATCGGCGAAGCCCACAATCTCGAATCATCTCAAAGCTTCACTGCCCCGTCCATCGTTGGGATGAAACGTCCGGATCGTTGGAGCTGCTACTACTGATGAAGCCATCACGACGCAACGCCACGCCCAGAAAGAGAAAAAAGATGTCCATCAGGTGTTTAGGGGCATTTTGGATTCCAGACACCCGAGCCAAGGAGCCAAAAGATATGTACGGCCCTAGTTCTCGGATGGAGAGGTTTCCCTACTCAAGCCTGCTATCGTCACAAATAGGATTCGAGTCCGGAGGTTGGAGGTACTTCCGGGGGTTTTTTTTTTTTTTGTACATGGGATTCGCTCTTAATAGACCGCATTACTAGAAACCCCCAAACCAACCAACCAATCAGTGACCTGCAACCACTACAGCGCCGGGTACGCGGCGCCGTCGCCGCGCGGGTCGCTACCCGCCGACCACACGCCGGTCCCCTCGACCGGGTCGACGCTATACCTGATGATCTGGCCGCGGCCGAAGACGGACCTCGCGGACCCCGTGACGACCTCGACCTTGTGGCCCAGGCTGCGCAGGCCCTCGACCGTCTCCTCGGGCATGCCCTCCTCGACGCTGACGGTCCAGTCGAAGTCGGCGTCCCTGTCGGGCAGGCCGGCGACGACGCACACGCGCGGCGCGTCGAGCGCCTGCTGCGGCGTGAGGCCGGCGACCAGCTGGCCAAGGAGCACCTGGACGTGGCCCTGGGGCTGCATGAAGCCGCCCATGACGCCAAAGGCGCTGTGCAGCGAGCCGTCGGACGGGTTCGTCACCATGGCCGGGATGATGGTGTGGTAGGGCCGCTTCCCGGGCTCCAGTCGGTTGGGGTGGTCGGCGTCGAGGCTGAAGTTGGCGCCGCGGTTCTGCAGCGTGAAGCCGCAGCCGCGCGGGATGATGCAGGTGCCGAACCCGCCGTAGTTGCTGTTGATGAAGGACGCCGCGTTGCCGTGCTCGTCCGAGACGGTGAAGTAGACGGTGTCGCTGCTCCGCAGCGCCGGCGAGGCGTGCTTGGGCGGCTCGCCGACGTGCAGCGTCTTCATGGCCCGGTTCGGGTCGAAGAGCTTGGCGCGGGCGGCCGAGTACTCGCGCGAGATGAGGGCGGCCGACGGCACGGGGACGACGTTGGGGTCCGTCACGTACCAGCTCGCGTCGGTGAAGCCGAGGCGGAGGGCCTCGATGATGGCGTGGAGGTAGGGCGCCGTGTTGTGGTCCGCCGGGGACCAGGCGGCGACGGCGCCCGACGCCTGGAGCTCCTGGATGATGCCGAGGGCCATGAGCGCGACGATGCCCTGGCCGTTGGGGGGGTGTTCCCAGACCTCGACAGCGCCGTCGTCGCCGCTGCTGCCGCCGCCGCCGGTCTCGGCGCCGTGGCCGTTGGCCTGGCTCTTGAGGGAGGGCTTGAACTTGAGCGAGATGGGATCGACGGGCTCGCTGCCCTTCTCGAGGTGATACGCCAGGTCGTCGAGCTCGAGGCGGCCGCCCAGGTCCTTGACGACCTTGACGAGCTCCTCGGCGACGCGGCCCGTGTAGAAGCCCTTCTTGCCGTCCTTGGCGAGGGCGCGGAAGGTCTGCGCCAGGGTGGGGTTCTTCATGATCTCGCCGGGGTTGGGCGCCCTGACGCCGTCCGCCGCCTTGGGGTCCTTCTTGAGCATTTCCGAGAAGTTGGGAGACGCCTCTCGGATCTGGCTCTCGGCCGCGTTCCACTGCTTTCGCCGTCAGTATTTCTTGACCCCCGCTTGCTCTTCCGCGCCGGGACGGAAGAACGATGGAAACAGGGGCAAGGGGGATGAGACGTACGGTGTGGCTCGTCAGCTCGGAGACGGGGAAGCCCTTCTCGCCGAGCTCGATGGCCGGGGCGAGGACCTGTTCTACCGAGACCTTGCCGCTGCCGAAGCGCTCGATGGTGTCGATCCAGCCGGCGGCGGCGCCGGGGACGGTGACGGCGTGAACGCTCTTCATGGGGATCTTGCCCGAGGCGCCGTCGGCGATGCCGAGGTCCTTGCGGACTGCCTCAAGGGTGGCCCTCTTGGCGGAGCGGCCGGAGCCGTTCATGGCTGAGACCTTGCCGGTGGCAGCGTCGTAGAAGAGGATGAACATGTCGCCGCCGATGCCGGTTGAGCAGGGCTCCGTTATGTTCAGGCCGGCGGCTAGGCGATTTTGGGCGTGTTAGCCATACCATACCGTGCATACCTCCCACTACTACTACTACTACTACTACCTATGCTCGTCCCCCGGGAGGAGTGAACTCACCGACTGCGACGGCGGCGTCCTATTCGGAACCCCCAGTCAGTTACTGTGGATGGTGCATCGACACGAGATAGGGTTTGACTTACAGCGGCATTGCCACCGGCGCGAAGCACCTCGATACCGCATTTCGCGGCCAGGGGCTGTGTGCAGGAAACGATTCCCTTGGTGCTGTGAACGACGCTCCGCCGGCTCGCGTACCTCGCGAATTCGCCCGCCTGCGCCGAGTTGAGGGACTCTGTAGTGAGGGGCATGATGAATCTCGTCCTGGTGCGGGGTTGTTGACCAAGATGATGACGACAAGGAGACGGGGAGCGGTAGGGGGGGAAGGAGTTGTAGAGAGCGAGCAATGTGTACGGTTAACACTGTGCACCTGTGCGATTAGACGAACGGGTCGCAACTCGAGATACGGACGAGTCGAATGTCAAATCTGCGGGGATTCGCTGGATTCTTTAAGATAAAAAAGAAGGTGGGCGTCGTTCGAGTTCAACGGGCGGCGAAGCCGCAGCGAGCTCGGAGGCGAACTGCCGATAACCTACTCCCTAGTGTCCGGAGCTTATAGCCGACGAGGCACCGCAGGTGGTGGGATGCCGACAGTCGGGGGGGGGGGACCACCAGGGGAGCATCGGATTCGGCTGGGATGAAGATAAACCATGGAAGCGTCTGCACGTAATTTTTGCCTGGGTTTCCTCGCCGGGCGTTGCCAGGAAAGGCAGGTCGATAAACGAGTGAGTGTGTGTTGCGTGTGTGCTGCGCACCAGCAAACGCAGCCCGGGGAATAAAGTGTGGCGCGTTCATCTCACAAGCACCCAAGACAGACTTGCAGCGGGCCGAAACAATTCTTCAGCTATTCCACGTTCTTTTTTAGCCCACCCAGCTCTGCAACCGGGCGGTTGGCCGCGGGTAAAGCGCCCGAAACCCGGGACTTGTTTCACTCTGTTCCCAGCCTCCAAAACATCTCCAAGGCTCAGGTTCGAGGATTTGATAAAGAGGTGACGCCCACGGCCACGTATGCAAAGGCAGGAAGGTAAGGTTTTCTGTGAATTGCAACTCCTCCCATGAACCAGCCCCTCTCACACTCACTGACTTGGTCCATCGTCTCATGTCTTGATTCGTCTTTGTCATGTCCAGACATGCCGGTCAAGTAAGTGACTTTAGTTAGTCAGCCACCAACCTTCCAACCGAGGAAAAGAAAAGAAACAAAAAGCATGCACCAAACCAACGGCTCATCCCGTCCGTCCCGGACTTCTTTAACTGGAAAGCTGTTCGCACACGTATTCCGGGTCCGAAAAAGGAACAAGGAAAAGCAGACAAAGCAGAAAAAACAAAAACGAGTTGGATGAAGTCTAAATAGCCTGGTGTGCTTGGACCCTGGCCCAGTTCTGCGGCGTCCACGTGTTCCCCCCCTCCTCTGTCTTTCCAGAAGGAAGTCAAAATAGGTAGAAGCTTTCTCCAGAGGCAACAAGGATGCGGGCCGCGGGAAAAGCTTGGCGATGCCCCTGCTAGACCTGAGTCGTACGTCCGATGAGGCGCGTTTCATGCCTTCTCTTTCTTTTTTGGGCTTGGTGCCACGCTTGTCGTCTTTTGTTCATGCCGCCTGCTTATGCCCTCTGCAAACGTTTGCTCGGATGATTGTCAACGTGGGATGCTGCCGCGAGATCGGAAGAGTTGGAAGCAAAGCGCTACGGGCCTGCGATTGGATCAACGGGGCGGAAGCCGGTAGCGAGGATCATGACGCGCAGTGTGCATGCAACGCCGACGATCGGTACACCATAAACCCCCAAGATAACTCCCCCCCTTTCCCCGTAAGAAGGGAACTGTATTTTTGCATTGCCGTACTACCTGATTCGATCTTGCGAAGGATCCGCCTTGGCGAGGAGCCCGCCTGAGCGACAGACTACATCCATGGACGTCAACTTGAGACGACGTCATCCCTAAACCCCCGTGAAACTCAACATGAGAACGCAACGCAGCTAGCTGTTCGGGCTTTTGCTCTCGCCCGGCCCCTGTCACACATTGAACCGGAACCCGTGCGCCGCCGCCATCGTGTACCCCGAGTGGACGCCCGGCACCACGAGCATCATCGGGACGTACCGCGTCGCCGACCCGGGGATGAAGGCCGCCATGGCCACGCAGAGGACGTACAACGGGCACGTCAGGAGGGGAGCAGGGGAACCACAGTACATATGTTTACTCTTAAAGTTGGAAAATCCTACATAGGAAGTAGTAATAGTAGTAATAGTTATAGTTATATATGATATGATACGGATTATGGCCAACCATAAGGGCCTATGGCCTTGTATTGTGTGTGTTTAGAGCTTCTGCCAATGGTGACTTTCACTTTAGCGGCCGGCCGGCCTGCTTATCTACCAGCGAACAACACCTCCCCCCTTTACGCAACTTCAAACAGTCAATGGGCACTTTTGGTCACGTGGATTTCAAACCTCCATATGGCTCTTCAGCAAGTTGGAATCCGAAAGTAAGGGTGTATTATTGCACTTTGGGTATCAAAAAGACTTTTCCCCTCCCACACCTTGATAGCCTAGATGAACTTGCCTTTGGGCACTCCGCCGTTGCAGAAGAAACGCCGCAATTGACCCATTTCGCCGCCGCCGCCATCCTCCGAGTCAGCTTGAAGTCCCCGGGTTTCACGCGCCGCCGACCTCCGCGTCGCCCCGGTCCGGCCAGACCGATCACTGCCGCCGTCAGCGAATGTCCCAAGCATGCTACATACAACAGAGCATCGCAGCTCAGACCACCTAACTCTGGCCGCCCCATGGGTCATTTTTGGCCTTGATGGCCGCCGCTGTGGCGCCCATGACGTCGGCATAAAATGATATGGATGAGATGGAAGGAGGGAAGAAGAGACCAAACCCAACTTCAGCCGCCTTTTGCATACCTGCCCACGGCCAGCAAGGTTGCTGGCGAGTGAAGCTATATCCGGTACCGTCTGTAACTCAAGGCGCAAAGTTCTTGAAGACCTTGGTGGTGGCAGAGTTCAGAGTCATCGTGCGGCTTGCAACTATCGCAGCCTTGGTGGTGGGTTCAACAATACCGTCATCACTAGTACGCCAGTCACACCCTCGTCGCTCAGTGTGGCTCGCCCACAAACCCGCGCGACCTTAGTCAACAGCCATCGTTGCCGGTACGTCAAGCCGCGGCATAGCAGCGACTCTCCAAGTTTGCCGCCAACGTTCCGGCAACCAAAGGTCGTTCGCGTATGCATCCAGGCCATGGTTGAAGTGAAGTCAGATTCGGCAGTTGCTGTACGTTATCGGGTATTCTATACCGTATTGAGACATTGAGATCTGGGACAGGTCAGAGGTGTGCTGTATTGGGTTTTACGTACCGTGATATCACCGGTGTATCGGGTAAACAGTAGACCATTTATGGGGATTTAGAGCCACTATATCCATCAGTATCTCTGGGTAGGTTAATAGTTGTAATAGTCAGTTCTGAGGTGAAATGGGAGATAGGTGGAGGTGTGTCTCCGTTTGGTTGTCGCCCATGGAGTATTCGTAAATGGCGAGCTAGCCAGGTACCGCTTCACCAGCCATGTTACCTATCCAGGTATCCCTGATGACTACCTAGGTCACTACCGACGTATCAGCACACCATTTAACACCTGTCCTCACGGTATCGAGGCTCTTCTTCTCTGCACCGGGCGACAATCACACTTCCGTGATCCTACGACAATTACACCTCCACGATCCTATGTGCGGGAGTACAGCTAAACGACATTTGGTCTCGCTCTGGAGGCGTGCTGCGAGGCTTGTCCCCTGGCAGAGGTCGACCCTCAGGCTGCCGCCAGAGATCATGCTCATGGTTATCAGCTACCTGCCACCCGAAGCAGTCCTGTCGCTTGCCCTCACCTGTCGGTCGCTCTACTGTTCTTATTTTCCCGAGTCGCCAATTCTCAACGCCCGCTCGAAAGCCGCACTTCTCACACTACTCGAAAGGGACGTCCCGAAGCTTCTGTATTGTTCCGAGTGTGCCATCCTCCACCCATGGCGGCGGGTAGTACACGTGCTGCTTTCTGGCGTCAGAAGCGGTAATTTATGCAAGACAAGAGGCTTTAACCCACCCTCACAACTTGGAACGCCACCGTACCTCCATGCCCGGTTAATCATGAACCGTCATCTATATGGGAACGCCCACGGCTTCCCCGTGGGAATATTTGACAAGGATGCAACCAATCTCTTTGCAGGATGTTTACCTGTAGACTGCAGGTCCACTTGGCAAGCACGCATCATTGACGACGAGCTTTTCCTATACATACACGAGACAGCATACCCTCCGGAAGGTGATATGTTCAAACTTGAACAATGGCTCATCAACGACAACAGAGGACGTATATGCAAACACGGGATCGTGTGGAATCTCCCTCGTTCCACCTCCCGGTCAAACGTGGAACCTGGTGCCGAGCTGGAGCTCTACGACGGACGCCGCAACCCTCACCCCCTGCCCGCGTTCCTGGCCAATATGCGGCGCAATACAACCCTATCGTGCCCGCTATGCCCAACAGACGCCGAAATCACGACCAAGTGGCATGGCGGACGCAAAAAGTGGTCCGTCGAGATGAAGACTTGGAGGCAATTCGGAAAATGCCGCTCTCCCTCCGATCCAATGTGGCTAAGTTTGACATTCACAGACCACACGGCACCTCCTTGGGACCGTCAGGAAGAGGGATATCCGCCGGGGGCAATCAGATACAAATGGAACAAATCAGACAAGGGGCTGGCGGTGTCCAGACAAAACAAGGAGCCGCAGGTCATGACTGACTGGGTGCTTCTTTAATCCTGCTACGGATGGCAGATATGGACTTCGTCGGACTTAGATGAATATATTGCTAGGATCTAGCAACCCACTTCTTCTCATCATCCCAGTATTCCATCATCCCATCATCCCACATCTTCTTCTCTTCCCGACCTCAAATGTTCCATTCTTTCCATCTTGCCTTGTGGATACGTGACGGATTGTTGAGAGGCCTTTGGAGACGTAGACCAGAACCGCCGCTTCACTCGGTAACCCATCCCGCAAGCTTGGGTATGTGCCCGGTCGTGTCCTTCTTGTTTTCGTAGTTATCCGTTGCAAGATCTGGGAGGGAAGACCTTGAGGTCGATATGTCCGGAACAAACGGCGGATATCACAATTTCTTTTCAACTCCGCAACTCAACCAGACTAACCTCGGGAAAGAAGAAGGGGAAGAGGGTGAAAAGTCAAGACGAGGGCGCCATGCCATAGGCTGTTTCGTCCCAGTCGGGCTAATCGCCGACCCCTCCCCCATGGGGTAATATGGCCTCCAGCCATTCACATCTCCGGATGGCGTGGTTGATTGACAGCCGCACCTTGGATCCGACCCGTCAGTCTCGACCTTGTCTACGTAACGCCGTTGGCGGGGAGAGCCAATGCTGGTCGATCGCGCCCTCCCCCCCCCCCCCGAACCCCTCCATAATCGGGCGCGGCAAAGCTTGTTATCCCTGGGCGGTGGAGGGATGCAGCGCAGCCCGCCATTCTGCAGCCCCTTTTCGTCTTCGCCCACCTAAGCCAAGAAACCATTCCAACGAGAGAGAGAGAGAGAGCAGCACCCGTCGTTTTCTCGCGCCAGAGGGTAAAGCCACAGAAGTGTAAGTGCTGATGGCTTGGCAGGCGCTCCTCGAGCTCGACAACTCTTCCGTTTCGTCTTGGGCGGCCCAGATAGACAGGCCATGCAGAGGGGAGTGTCAAAATCCGGGGTAGAGCGGGGAGGGGAGGAGGGGCGCGGTCACCGGGCCAACAATGACGAGGTCCCTCATTTGGCGACCTTAAGCTGCCCGGTAAAGAGGCTCAACGGGACGGGCTTCCGTGTTGACAGCGCATAAGGGAGATGGTGAAAGGGCATCGACGGCGTTGCGCTGGGTCAATTTCGTGATTGGGCCGCCTTATCAGATATATCCCCCCCCCCTTCCCTTCTTTTTTGGGGGTCCAGCCCCTCCCCCCACGCCCCCACGCCCCCACCTTTGCCGACAGGGTACCCTGATCCCTATCCCCACACTCCCCACATTTACTTGGCGGGCGGGACCACATCTGGCATCGGTAGTTGATTGTCGAAATGAAAGACCAGGCTTTGGACCCAAGAAAACAGAGAATTCGGGTCCGAGCAGTTCAGCAACCAAGGTCGACGTTTGAAAGAATCTGCATGACGCGCATGGAAATCACTATACCGGATTCGGGGCATTTCCGAGCTACAACCTCAACAGTATGATTACTATATACAATGAATACGGAAAAAAAACCTTTTCGACCTGTGGCGTGATATGCTTCCATCGTCAATTCCGTCGCAAGCAGCAAGTGTTAAAAAAGACATATGAGACATTCATTACGTGATAGGCCCTCGTATCTAAAGACTTGAAGGCCGTTGGTGTGTGTACATGTGCGTGTGTGTATGTACGTGTGTGTGTGTGTGCGTGTGTGTGCGTATATGCGTATGTGTTAAAGAAAGTGAGTGTGTGTGTGTATGTGCGTGTACGTGTGTGTTAAAGAGAGTGAGTGTGCGCGGAAGCTGTCTGTTTAGACACCAGAGTCCTCCTGGTGAACAGAGTTCTCCAAGACGTAGGCGTTCCACTTCGTGCAGGTATCGTTCACCTTGTCGGTGTTGGTGATGGCAGCGATCTCGTCCGGGCGCTCAATGAGCTGGAGCGCGAAGCCTTGGGAAGTGTGCCAGCCGATGTGGCAGTGCATCAGCCAGGCACCAGGGTTGTCGGTGTAGAATCCGATGACGAGGTACCCGGAAGAGGGCAGCATGGCAACGTCGCGGCGGGGCGAGTTGACAGTCTGCAGCGGGATGGAGGCGTCGTAGGTGCCGGTGCCCTGGGCGAGCACCCAGAAGTCGTGGCCGTGGAGATGGATGGGGTGAGCGAGTCCGAGGGGGTTCTGGATGATGAAGTGAACCCAGGAGTTGGCCTCGTCGAGGTGAACAATGTGCTGCTCCGCCGTGTAGTTCTGGTTGCCGTCGAAAATCTGCTCGACGGTCGGGTAGCCCCAGTCGGAGAGGAAGGTGTTGTTGTTCAGAGTCCACTTGAACTGGCTGTTGATGACCTGGAGTCCGAGGGTGAGAGTGTCCTGGTACACTTGTTGCCCGGCCTCGAGGGGAACGACGGGGACCAGCTGGGACATGGGCATGTCCTTGCAGTCGTCCATGTACATCGGCACATCCCCGACGGGGTCGGCCGTCGACGTGTTGTCGTAGCGTACGATGCCCTTGATGTCGAGCGTGTTCTCATTGGCGCTGCAGGTGAGCTGGGGGATGGCGCGGAGCCAGTAGTCACCCGAGTTCTGGGTAGCACGGACAATGACGTCGTAGCGCTGGCCGATGCCGATGGAGACTTCAGAGGTGTTGAAGGGGTTCAGGGGCACGAAGTCGGCCGCGATGACCTCGAGGGTGTGGTTGTCGATCATGAACTTCCAGTGCGTGTCGATGGCGGCGTTGACGAGGCGCATGCGGTACGCCTTGCCGCTCTCAAAGGCCGTCGTGAATCGCGATCCGAGGCCGTTGTACATGCCGAAGCCGTTGATCAAGCCCGTTTGCGGGGTGGGCGGGCCGCCGCTGGAGGCGATGCCGTAGAGCTCGTCGGTGGTCTGGTGGAACCAATCGTTGAGGAGGATGGTGCCGAGGTCCTCGTCGTAGGGGGCGGAGGCGGGACCGCGGATCATGATTCCTCCAAGGACACCGTTCCTAAGATTCTGTCAGCCGGGGGACGTTCCTGCGTCGTGGGGGTTGAACGAACCAGGCCTGAAGGGCGAAGTGGCTGTGGTACCATGAGGAACCATACTGAGACGCATGCCAGGTGTAGGTGATGGAGTCTCCCGGAGCGGTAGGGCACTGGGTGATGGAAGCAACTCCATCGGCCTCGTTGGTGAAGTTCTGACGGATGCCGTGGAAGTGAATACTGGTGCCGTTGTTCTGCATAGAGTTCTTCACGTGGACGACTGGCGAAGCTGTCAGTAACTTGTACGGCACGAGATTGCGAGACCGGATACTCACCGACAGTATCACCCCAGTCGGCGACGATGGTAGGTCCAGGAACGGTGCCGTTGATGGACAGGACCATGCGCTCGACTCCATCAGGAGCCATGGTGGTGTTGGTGACTTCGAACCAGTACTCGCGGACGACCCCGGTGTGGGGGGCCTCCTCGTACCAGTTGGTAGAGAGATCGTAAGTGCCATCCCAGCAAGAAGGGTTCAGGGCCGAGTCAAAGACGCAGTCCTGACGCTTCTCGACCGGGCTGGTGGGCGAGTAAGGGGCGCCAGAGACAAAGGCGGAGGACAGGAGCGCGAAGCATCCCAAAAGCGAGCGTTTATACATGCCGGGCAGCTGTATGTATGTGGAAGGACTTGGAACGAATGCGAGGACGACAGTGTCAGTCTGATTAACGAACGATGCTGCAGACGCCCTATAAAACGAAGGAGGGCGGGAAAGGAAGGAGGACGATGCTGTGAGAAGCGAGCGATGGTGTCTGGGAAACTCTCCATGATGGAGGGCGGATTTCTTTCGCTTTATAGGATTCGGACACGAGCTTTCGAGCATCATCGGGAGACCTAAGCAGGGTGTTCCGCTCGTCGACGTTGGTCATCACCGAAGCTGGGCCCCCGGCACAGGTTCGCAGCGTTCTCTCGATGCTGCCCTCCGACGGTTAGCTCGCCCCTGATCCGAGAGGCCAGTCCCACATGGAAAGATTATCATGCTGTTGCATGCTCGGCCGCGGTGTGACTTCGGCAAGCTGAACCATGGCTGGACGGCAAATATCGCCTTGTACGGGTGAGGTAGCCATGTGGGCTCGGTGATTGGAAAGGAGAGGGCGTCCTGTCAGTCAGAGGGTACATGAATCCTCGAATTCGCCTCCTCGAACCGACATGGGAACGTGTTGCCCATGTCCAGGCGGGTCACTTACACAGACCCTAGGGTCAAGTCGATATGGATGTCTTGGACTGGATCATGTACAGTGGGGGGTGCCGGACGGGGTCCTACAGTGCACCACTAAAGGCCCGTCCCCTTTTCTTCACCCTTCCTTGTCTGATATCGGCATTTGACGAGGGCAAGGGAAAGCTCAAGGTGATGCATGGTATTACCCGGTTAGACTACTATATGCTTATTTTACCTTTTCAATCTTGTTTAACACTCTACTCTGTACGGCTTATAGAGCCAATATAGGAGCACAGACTTTTGAGATTTGGACTATAGTGGCGGAACAGCGAGGCATATCCGTACAGTGTGATGAAAACGGTGTTTCCCGCGCGCGAAATCTCAGTTTGATAGGCCTGCGCGCAGGCGCCGTGGAAGCTAGCATGTGCGTTTGGTAGGATCGTACTAGGCCCACGAAGGAGCAGGCAGGATTCGTGTTTTAGCCCGCCGTCTAGGCATCAGCCACTATCGAGACGTGCGTGTGCGTCTGCATTAGCTCCCACAGGTGCTGTCAAGCCGAACAGCGAGCGTTGGCGTCTCTTCTGTGAGGTATGACCATTCGAGCGCAGCGGGAGCGAGATGTGGAACCATGTTGACGTCCTGGATATCTGTGGTCCCTGAAGGGGACCAAGCCCGAAGAGACGGCCTTGCGACCTTGTGTCCGGATTTGGTAGTACCCAATTGTTCCGATGGGCACCGATCAGTAAACCATCGATGACTCGTCGTGCCCGATACGGATAAGAGAGCCCACCTTTAACGGCCAATGAGAAAAGGCCGAAAGTCAAGCATGGTGCGTGAGGACCGTCGGCGTTGGTTAGGCAGCAGGCCGAAAGGAGACATTGACGGTGAGGAGGTCGAAGCGTGCGAGAAATATACGTCTTGGCAGTCGAGGCATATACTACTACTCAGTATGTATGTAAATAGTGGCGTTCCTCCGATGGCAAGGGTTCCCCTGTCCGTCATGTAAGTCCGAGAGCCCCCCCTTCCCCTGGGCCATCGTGCTACACCCAACGCAACGGCGTCAAGAGGCGGGGGGTTGTCAGATCAGAAAAACTCCGTCCAAGATGGGAGCGAGCGCGTCAAACGGGACAAAGGGGGGTTCGTTAGATTGGGTGTGCGGAAGAAGTGTGGGGGGGGGGGGGGGGGGGGGGGGCAGAGGAGGTAGAGCAGTAAAGCGAAGAGGTCGTCGGCCAAATCTGGAAGTGCACATGCCACAAGGTTGCAGCATCGTCTAACGCCAAGAAGCCACATGGGGGAAAAAAATTAGAATCGTGTTATCCCGCAGGCCCGGTGACTGGTGATATGACTCGGAGGAAGGCAACATAACGTCGGGCATCCAACGGTGATGCGGAAATTGTTTAATGTTGGCGAGTTCCGAACGCGCGACTTTCGCTCCTCAGCGCGCTGCTGTCTGTCGGCGCAGGCTTCAGGAAGGGTCTTTGAAAGCCCCGGAGCGGACCAACGGGAACAACTGCGTCGTAGCGATCAGGGTCTGGAAACAATTGGGCGATTGCCTCGTGGTTCGGCGTAAACGGCATGTTTGATTCGAGGATGCGCTTGTTGGCTCAGGAGGTTACATTTGCGGAAAGGGCTGCTGGACCATGATTGCGTATGCAGTTCCCGACCGCGCGCGCGAGGTGGATATCAGTGGTTACGTACCGCGCACAGCAACAGACCACTGCACCCAAATTATGCGTTGGCCAAGGCTCACTAAGAGGGGTCAGTTGTGGGCAAATTTTTTTTTTTGCTATGGAACTTGTATGGAGACGATGTGGGAGGGGAGAGTACCTCTGTATATTCGTAGACGCCGGATACACTAGGTACGGCAGGATGCCCCTGCATTACGTCCGTACACTAGTGTGTGTAAGTAGTGTAGGCGCACCTATCTTGGTTGAACCTGCGAGGGCCCTGGCCTGGTATGTGATGCTGTTGCTTGCTTTTTTCGTGTTTGACGTTTGACGTTTTGATGTGTGCTGCACGATAGAGGAGTTGGCGCTTCGAAAGCAGTTCCTTGCATCCTTCTCCCCTTCTCTCGCCCCCTCTCTCTGTGTGTGTATGTGTGTGTATGTGTGTCTCGTCCTTTCTCCCCCTCCCCTTTCCCCTTTCCCATTCTTCTCTTGCATCGATCAGGGATATGTCAGGCGCAGGCCGGGATGGGCCGTGGTTGACTCGTGTACCGGCAGCAGTCAGTGCGTCGTCGTCGTCACCTTCTATATGTGTAGGTAGTCCGATACTACTCTCTGCTGTTGCCAATCAATTAGTACGATAGTATTGTGTATTTGCATACTTGTCACCTACATAGTAGCGGCAGTGAATTACTGCGTATGCCGACGCCGGGTTACGGAGGTCCTTCTCCCCGAGGGGCGGAGCTGAAAGGGTTAAGCAGGGGGGCAGGGGGGAGGGGCGGGAATCGTCGAGTTGCACCCGGAGAGCCTCAACCTCCACCTCAGTGACGCTGCATGGCAAGCATCATATGTGACCCCCCCGGTGATTAGGTCGGTAGTGAGGCAGGAACACACACGACGGGCACTACACTAGTACTTGGTAGGCTCGCTAGGGTAGTGAGGCGCAGTGTGCAGGTACGGATAGCTACTGTACGCAAGATTAGGTGCTGTACGTGTACCCGTAGGCAGGCATCCTGAGCCTCCCCTCCCCCCGCCTTAGTGATTACTCAATAACCTGTTTACTATTCGCCAGGCACGGCCACTAACGCATGCGCTAGCCCAGTGACGTTGCCGCCATGCATATGCGCCACACCCGGTGCATCTTAGTGGTCAACTCCGCCCTTCATAACCCCAGAGCCGCCATCTTGACAACGACAACACGCCAGCGATGACACCGACACGACAGCCCGCCGGCGACTTCTTACAAATCCTTATCAAATCCCATGTCTCACCAGTCGAGCGACATCACCGACCAAGCCCATCGCAACGAATCCTAGCATCCACGCCCGCGAGACGCCCTGCTCGCTTGAATTGACCTGACCGAAGCCTCCGTTACCCAATGGGAAGAGTCCCTGCCGTCATCGGCCCCAATATCCCCTTTTGACGCGACCTTTTTTTACTCGGGAAGGGGGGAGGGCCGGGATCGGGTACCTTCACCTTGGACATGGGCGTCATCCCTGCTGGCCATTGGTGTATACTATGTATGTGCGTCGGTTCCTCCAAAAAGTGCCCAAGGAATCGGAAAATCCACGGCTGTTGTCCTCTGAGGCTTTGTGTCGGGTTTTGTCGCTGGATCCACCCTCAAAACAACATTGTTCTCTACCCTGTGCTATACGATACATGCTTGTCCCGTACCACCAAGACTGCCTACTGACCACTGCCGGACTATTGCATGCCCTCGCAGTACTATCGCATTACCATTCGTCTCTAGCTCTATATCGAGCTTGTCAATCCACCCACCTAGCTTAGCCACTGCTGCCGGCCCTCGGTCATGTGGGTCACATACCTAGCCTCTTCACGGCTAGCATCGAACTACTGTTTCCGGGAAGAAGGCCTCAAAGCAGCTTCCATTGCTGATCCTCTCATCTCCCATGCCGTCCCATTTCAACAGGCAGTTCTCATCCACCTGCAGCACATCATTCAAGCTGCGTCTTGGTGCTTGCTTGCTTCACGTTGACAACTCGGCGCGAGGTATCTGCTATTACGCACGTTCCTCTCGCTCGGCCCCCCCCCCTCCGGACCCCACTGTAACTGCCGACCCGTAAATGTTCGGTCGGTATCGGAGTAAGGAAGTTGACCGAGAACTTCCATCATGTACTCCGCACTCCGTATTAGGTGTGGGCAATGGCTCCGCTTGCTTCTTCGTATTTTGACTTCGTGGGGACGTCCGAAGCCTCACGGGATGCAAGGCACGACGGACCGCCTGCCCCAAGTTCTCGTCTACTGCCCGCCTAAATCCACTGCCGTGAGGCTGTGCCAGTAATCGAACAATACGTAGCAGCCGCCTCGTTCCTCCGAGTGAGCCACTAATCACCGTGCCATCTTGTCTTCTCTGGCCCATCGATACGCTGGTATCAGAGAAGCACGAGAGTGGAACAATTGGTCGCGGCCATCACCACGGGCACCGAGGAGGTTGCCTGTTCAGGGCAAGATGTGCATGGTCTCAGGAAGAGCTCGCAATGGTTGGTGAGTTGGACCGAATTCATCTCGCTACGGCTTCGCTGCATGCAGCGTCGGCCACGGGGTAGATTACGGAAACCAACTCTCGGCCTCCGCCTCGAATCGGCGTACTGTCGTATCAATTTGCGCCTGCATTCGCCACTCTCGCAAATTATCGCCATGTCAAGAGACGCCCAAGCCCTGGCGGCAAAGTGACAGCTGTCAACATCGCAATAGTAACCTAGTCCAAGAGAGGTTTGTCATTCATCACTAATAGCCGCCTAGATAGAAGACAACTTCAGGAGGATGTGCCTCTTGATCTAGGTTAGCTCGAGGGCGATGGAGTCACACGTCTCGGCTTCGCAGGTCCGCTCGTAACGTGCCTGCCAGATGCAAGTATCAAGTGCTCAGGCCGGAAAGCGCCATCGTCACACGAATTGCTCTCTGTCGGTTGCAGAGGCAGCGCCGGTGAGGTTATGCCAGGCACATGTAGGCTTACGCCAGCCCAGCAAAAGACCACCGGCAGTACGTGCTCATGATAGTCCCTGCGAAGTTTCTGAGGCGTCCAATATCATTCAAAAGCCAATCCTGAATTATCAGCATGGCGATGGAGAGCATGCTTGACAAGTACAGTTCTCCAACATCAAACAGACAGGTCATCGCACGTTAATTCATTTGTCAGGCACCTGCATGGCCCCAAGCTAGCGTTTGCAATCGCCGCTGACTAGATTGCGCATCTACTCGCACGACGGGACCATCACGCAGCATCATCAATTAAAGTTTACCTCTCTCGTGGAGGGTCGGGCAGTCGCAGTGGCCACGAACTGGTGTGTGATCGGGGGGTTCCATTTGTGGACACACCCTCCATAGGAAACATGGCGTTTGCCCCACCCGATCAGCGCATATCAGAAGGAAAAGCGAGGCACCGTTACATGGAAATGCAGTCCTGTCTTCACCTGTAACACACTATACATAGCGTAGGTAGCACACGGTTCCTTCGGGTCAGGACGGCGCACGCTCCGCGCTCACTTAGGTGAAGGCCAGAATGCGACGTGAATGGGCAGTTACCTAGGCATGGCAGGGGGAACGCTGCGATGGCCGCCACCAACGTTGTCTACCCCACATGCCGTGGCTCCACCGACAGATCTCAGGTGTGAATGAAACACAGAACTTAGCCTTGGTTCTCTGTTGGCCAACATGTCTCGTTCCTTTTTCTTGTTCTTCTTTTTTTCTTTTCTTTTTCCTTCCCCTCGAACTCTTTCCGAAAAGGCAGCTGACTGAGGGGATGGAAGGGGCGAAGCGTCGGACGCGGGTGCCGGTGACGTCAAGATTTCGGACCCGGGAGCTCACAGCCCGGCCTCCGGACCCGGGGGCGTTGCTAACGCTTGACTCCGCCCGAAGAGCGTCGGGCCATCGCGACAGCCGCATTTTGAAACAGATAGCCGGTGCAGACGGGAAATCAAGCCAGACCGGCCTGCTCCTACTGAGATTCGTGTTCAAGACATGAGAGTAAAAAAGGAACAATAAAATAAAACAAATTTCGATAACCACAACATAACAACACCTGTAGTTATTTGTACTTGGGTTGTGTAGTTTTGTGCCGTACCTATTGCACTTAATATCTTTCTTTAACTATCTGAAACCAAGAAAAGACAGTCCCTACAGGATCGCACGAGTATATGGTAGTAATAAAAGATGGAGCAGAAAACAAACTATCAGTGCCATGTCCAAAAGTGAACCCAACTTCTGAGAAGGCGTTTAAATATACGTATAAAGCGCAGTACCGTGGAATCTCATAACTAAAACCTCCACCCTGTTGACCAAGATTGCCTCTGGCGGTCGCGACCATCTCACACGCGAGCCTACTCTACTTGAATCTACCAAGGGCTCGCTCTACACCGTGCTCAAGTGAGAGGAGGAGGGGGGAAAAAATTAGGAATGAAAGCTGCGAAAAGGCTTCCAACCCCAACCCCAACCCCAACCTCCCCCTTTCTCTCAAACCCCAAACAGAAACAATGTGACGACTCCGCCCACAAACGCATCTCACTTTTAGTTTCTTCTTCATTCTGTTTTTATTTTTGACCGGAAGGGGGGGGCTGTCTGTTCGTCTGACCCGGGTGCGTGTTGTTTGTTTCCCGAGAACTCGGCCCGTCTTCTGACGTTCACCTGACCCCCCCCCCCCCCCTCAAACCTCGTTCTCATCCATCTTTGGGACTCATTCGGGAGAAGAGGGCTATCATGACGTGAAAAAAAGGCCCTGCAGACCAAAAGAGTATTTTTGCCATCCTCGAGAGTGGACAAATGGGAAGGGATAATGGCAAGTTAGCTCATGAGTCGATTCCGAGTGCCCTCGCCCAACACCCGAGCTTGAACAGCCCGCTGATACACACTACCTAGACAGTCAACCCCTTCGTTGCCATGGAATGAACTTCACCCAGTTTTACGCCTCAGAGTAGCAGCCTCGTGAATATCAGAATTTGTGACATGGAATTTGTTTGAGGCTCATCAGACATTGCAAATTCGGTTCCTAATACATTATCCGTAAAATCCATGGTGTAGTAAATCGTCCATCCTCCAAATCATATCCTGAACACCCCCTAAAACATACGTAGTCTAATTCCTCTGCGTAATACATACAGTCCGCATGCACTCGTTGTCGTAACATCATTACGTGCATCTCATTAGTTGAACAACCGCTTGAACATGCCCTTGATCCCGCTTGTCTTCTCCTTCTCCTTCTCCTTCTCCTTTTCTCTGCCCCTCTCTCTTTCCTTCTCAACGTCTCTCGTCCTTCGTCGCTCTTCTTCGCGGGCGCGCCGCCGAGTATCATCCGAATGATGTGACCTGGGTTTTTCGGCCGCCTTACGCGATGCTTCTTCGGCAACTTGCTCACGTGCCTTCTGCAGCTTGCTGGGTCTTCCAACGTCTTCAGACCGACGGGTATGGCTGTGGCTGTGGCTGTGCCTCTCGCGCGTCGTGTTGGACCGCTTCGGGATACCTCGTGAACTAGTTGCCCCTTCTTGTCCTGCATTGTCATCCGTTGGCATGTCGCCCTTGATTTCTGGGGGAGGGGGATCCTGGGGAGGGGGTTTCGATTCAATCGCACCTTCGTCATGGAGGCTGAAAAAGTTCTTTGTCTTTCCTGGTGAGGGGTCCGTGGGATTTCTCTTGCTGAGGGTACGCTCCGGACGGTGGTGTTCTGCGGTGCTGTGGCGGCGAGAGCGGCGGTGGCTGCGTTCCGCCATCTCCTCAGGCTTGGCGATGACCTCTGGCTCCTTGCCCTTGCGATATGACCGCTCTTTTTCTTCGGCTTCGCGTTCCATCTCACGCCGGCGCTCGCGCTCGCGTTCTCTCTCGCGGCGCCTGTCGCGTTCGCGTTCGCGGTCTCGCTCACGCTCAGCCTCGCGTTCACGCTCTTTCTCCTTTTCACGCGCAAGTCTGCGTTCTTCCTTGCGGCGATCATGGGCGGCTTGTTCTTCGGGAGTTCGTTCGGAGCGACTGCTGCGCTCGCTTCTTTCCGTCCTCCCGCTACGCTCACTGTGCTCACTGCGCTCGCTCCGGAGTCTTCGGTGAATGACGGTCTGTGGGCTTTCCGAGAAACCGCTGTCCTGTCTCTTTAGAGGTTCCGGTGGAGTGCGAGGGGCGGAGTCGCCAGATCGGAGAGACCGCTCGCTCTCTGTGCGGTGTCGTCGGCTGGAGTGATGTGAGTGATGCGAGTGATGTGAGTATCGTCTGCTGTCGTCTCTGTTTTCTTCTTCGCCTCGACTGCGGCTAGAGTGAGATGATAGTTGTTGAGTAGAAGAGTGGCGGCGTCGCCGATGCCTTTCACGAGCCTCTGCATCCTTCTTTTCTGCGAAAAAAGTTAGTACCAAATCTGCTAGTTTTGCCCGCTCCCGTAGTGGTAGTACTCCTGCGTCTGGAAAGAAGCCCGGGGAGAACCCTCGATAAAAAGGCCCTTTTCGGTTTGATCTTCATCTGTGGCTCCCAGTTGCTCGTGGCCTTGGTAATTTGAGTGCTCCGGGACAAAGGACGCATGGGTGGGCGGAGGGCCTCCGCCGTAGCATAGATAATCACGGCAGCTGCCACAAGCTCTTCGGCCTTCTTGATGGAGACCTTCCGCTGTCTTCTGAGAGCCTTTGATCTTTCTTTGGCCGCTGGTGACAAGGGAAGTTCAGGTAGAACCACGGCTGGTGTCGAGGGACGAAGACTCAAAACCGAAGTATCTGTTTGCGTCCCAGAGTCTGAATAACCTTCCCGGTGCACGAGGTTGAAGTTGGAGTCCACATCGGCGTCTTTTTGGTCGGCAATAACAATTTGCCTCGAAGGTTGGGGGTTTGCGAGAGTTTGGGTCAACTTGTCCACCGAACTTCGACGTGAGATGGCGTCTACTGTGTCAGATCCGGGAACCTCCCTTGCGGTGTTGTCATCGCCCGAGTCTTTCCTAATATTGGCGGCAGCCAGATATCCTGCAACACCAACACCAGCAGCGGTGACAGCTCCCGCGATGAGCTCGTCGTTGCTGTGTGTATCCTCATTCTCGACAGGCAGGGCCGTTTCTTCAGATGTTGCGTGAGGTTCCTGAGGTGTAGCGTCCTCCCCTTCCGGAGCTGTTGAAGTTTCTTCCGTGGCTTTCTCTGCTTCATCGATCCTGGTTGGTGGTGGTAATGCCGGTTCTTCAGAGGGTTCGGGTTCAACGGAGGTGTCAATGGTGGATACTTCGGGAGCAGTTTGCACTTGATCATCTGGTTGCGACTCGCCCTCTGCTGGATGGCCACCTCCAATGTCTGCTGGGGAAGATTCTTCAAGGTCGTCTTCCTTTGCAATTTCCTCACCTGCCACTTCTGACTCCGCAATATCTTGAGGGGAGTGCTCATCAGATGCCGAAGGCTCTTCAGGGTTGACCTCCTTGGAAGCTGTCTCCGCCGATACAACCTCTGTGGAAGCGTTGTTTGTCGCAGATTCAGGAGCGAAGTCTGCAGCGGTTGGTTCGGCTACTGTCGTTTCTTCTAAAGCAGCCGCATTTGATGCTGGCTCTTCGACAGTAGCATCGACTGTAGCAGGGACCTCGGGTGTGATATCTTCTGGAGCGGTCTCTGCGGGTGCGGCCTCCTCCTCCACGGCCTCAGGTGCGGTATCCAAAGCCTTCTCCGTTTTCTCAGTCGCCTCTACTCCGGTTTCTGTCGCTGCCGGTTCAGCCGGCTCAGTTGGAGCAGTTTCAGTGACATCGTCAGCGGTGGTCGGTTCCTGACAAGTAGCATCTTCGGCGGATACGTCGGAAGCTGCTGTGGCTGCAGGTTCTTCGGCAGGAATAGCTTCCTCAGGGGTGGCGGCTTCTGCAGGGGTAGCCTCGTCCAGCACCAAGCCCTCAGAGATTGACTCGGGGGTAGGTACAGTTGCAGGGACGCTATCAGGGACAGCTTCTTCTGCAAATGGCTCTTCCGTCGTGGGTTCCGCAGTCAGTGCTTCTGCTTCGGCAGGGTCCTCAGTTTCTTTCTCTATCGCCGCGTCTGTTGCAGAATTTTCCTCCACCGAAGACTCTGCTGTGGGCTCTTCAGACGCTGAACCGCTAGCTTCAGTCTCTGGGATGATGTCCTCAGGAGCTGGCTGCTCAGTTACTATGCCATCGGATTGTTCTTCAACAGGCATTTCCTCTGTAGAGGCCTCTGTGGTGTCTTGAAGTGAAGCCTCAACTTCTTCGATAGCAGGCTCTTCGACCACAGCTTCTTCTTCAACGGCAGGAGTCTCTTCGACAGCTTCTGCTTCAACGGCAGTAGGCTCTTCGACGGCAGGAGTCTCTTCGACAGCTTCTGCTTCAACGGCAGTAGGCTCTTCGACAGCTGGAGGCTCTTCGACGGCAGGAGGCTCTTCGACGGCAGGAGGCTCTTCGACCACAGCTTCTTCTTCAACGGCAGGAGGCTCTTTGACAGCAGGAGGCTCTTCGACAGCAGGAGACTCTTCGACGGCAGGAGTCTCTTCCAGAGCTTCTTCTTCAACAGCAGGAGGCTCTTCGACAGCAGGAGGCTCTTCGACGGCAGGAGGCTCTTCGACCACAGCTTCTTCTTCAACGGCAGGAGGCTCTTCGACAGCAGGAGGCTCTTCGACAGCAGGAGGCTCTTCGACAGCAGGAGACTCTTCGACGGCAGGAGGCTCTTCGACCACAGCTTCTTCTTCAACAGCAGGAGACTCTTCGACGGCTGGAGGCTCTTCGACAGCTGGAGGCTCTTCGACAGCAGGAGTCTCTTCAGCCGCAGGAGGTTCGTCAACAGTAACAGGCTCTTCGACTGTAGGCTCTTCGACCGCGGGAGGCTCTTCAACCACAGGAGGTTCTTCAACAGCAACAGACTCTTCAACTAGAGGTTCTTCGACTGTAGTAGGTTCATCGGAAGCGGCAGGTTCTTCAGGGGTAGCAGGTTCTTCAGCTGCAGGAGGCTCTTCTGTAGTAGCAGGCTCTTGAACAGAAGGCTCTTCTGAAACGACAGATGCTTCAACAACAGAAGTTTCGTCAACTGAAGCAGGCTCTTCAGCCGCAGTAGGCTCTTCGGCGGCGGGGAGCTCTTCGACAGCAGGCTCTTCAACAGAAGGCTCATCATAACCGGCAGGTTCTTCGACAACAGGCTCCTCGGAAGGAACAGGGTCTTCGATGGCAGTTTCTTCTGAAACCACAGTATTTGGCTCCACTGCAATCGCAGTGTCTTGGCTCTCTTGAGTATCCGTCGCGGACAGATTGATAGGAGAATCTTCTTCGGCAGTTTCAATAGGATCCGGATCCGGTGTGTCGTCCGCAATGGGTTCCGTAGGTTCCGTTTCAGGGTTATCGGCCACGACGTCCTTGTCTGGAACCCCGGGATCTTGGCCATCCTGTCCTTCCCGTACATCTCCACCGGGGGAATCGGGGTTAGGGGAAGGAAGGGAATTCTCACCTGGTTTCTCAGCCTTTCTTGCATCAGACGCAATCGGCCCCACCGTATCTTTACTCTCGTCAACATCCAGAGATCTTGTTTGCTCAGGCTCAATCAGCGGTTCTGCAGCGGGCGCTTCTGGCTCAACAATTGCTTCGGGTTCAGCGAGTGCTTCTGCTTCCGGCTCAGCAGGAGTAGCTTCAGGTTCAGCAGGAGCTTCGGGTTCAGCAGGAGTAGCTTCAGGTTCAGCAGGAGCTTCGGGTTCAGCGAGTGCTTCTGCTTCCGGCTCAGCAGGAGTAGCTTCAGGTTCAGCAGGAGCTTCAGGCTCAGCGGGTGCCTCTGGTTCAGCGGGTGCTTCTGGTTCAACAGGAGCTTCAGGTTCAGCAGGAGCTTCGGGTTCAGCAGGAGTAGCTTCAGGTTCAGCAGGAGCTTCGGGCTCAGCGAGTGCTTCTGCTTCCGGCTCAGCAGGAGTAGCTTCAGGCTCAGCGGGTGCCTCTGCTTCAGCAGGTGCTTCTGGTTCAACAGGAGCTTCAGGTTCAGCAGGAGCTTCGGGTTCAGCAGGAGTAGCTTCAGGTTCAGCAGGAGTAGCTTCAGGTTCAGCAGGAGCTTCGGGTTCAGCAGGAGCTTCAGGCTCAGCGGGTGCCTCTGCTTCAGCAGGTGCTTCTGCTTCGGGTTCAGCAGGTGCTTCTGGTTCAGCAGGAGCTTCGGGTTCAGCAGGAGTAGCTTCAGGTTCAGCAGGAGCTTCGGGTTCAGCAGGAGTAGCTTCAGGTTCAGCAGGAGTAGCTTCAGGTTCAGCAGGAGCTTCAGGCTCAGCGGGTGCCTCTGCTTCAGCAGGTGCTTCTGCTTCGGGTTTAGCAGGTGCTTCTGGTTCAGCAGGAGCTTCGGGTTCAGCAGGAGTAGCTTCAGGTTCAGCAGGAGCTTCAGGCTCAGCGGGTGCCTCTGCTTTAGCAGGTGCTTCTGCTTCTGGTTCAGCGGTTGCTTCTGGTTCAGCGGGTGCTTCTGGTTCAGCGGGTGCTTCTGGTTCAGCGGGTGCTTCTGGTTCAGCGGGTGCTTCAGGCTCAGCAGGTGCTTCTGCTTCTGGCTCGGCGACATGAGCTTCAGGTTCAGGTTCAGTGTTAGCTACTTCAGCAGGAGCCTCAGCTTCAGTAGGAGGAGCCTCAGCTTCAGTAGGAGGAGCCTCAGCTTCAGTAGGAGCCTCAGCTTCAGTAGGAGCCTCAGCTTCAACATGAGCCTCAGGCTCAGCAGGAACCTCGAGTTCGGTAGATGCTGGTTCCTTAGCAGATTCAGGCTCTGGTGCCGACACCTCAACAACAGCAGTCTTTTCGACCTCTGCAACTGTTTCGGCAAGCTCCGGCTGGTTAGGCTCTTCGGAAACTGGCTCCGGCATCTGCTCCGGCTCTTTGGCTTCTGGGGCAGACTCTGCTGCCGTAGTTTCTTCCGCTTCGGCAGGGGGATCTACCGGCGTTTCCTCGGCTTCCGGGGCAGCTACCTCAACAGCAGCAGGTGCTTCGGCGTCGGCTTCCTTTGTCTCCTCGACAACATCAGTCTGAGGTATTGGCTCCTCAGAATCTTCTGCAGCAGGTTTCGCAGGAGCAGTCTCAGGCTCTGTGACATCTTCAGCAGCTGCTGGGGCCTCTGTCTCTGCGTCCTTGGCGTCGGGAGTCTCTACTAGAGCAGAAGGACTTTCTGTGTCTTGGGCCGAAGTTTCCGCATCCGCATCCGCCTCTTTGGGCTCTGCATCAGCGACCGTCGCAGGCTCAGGTGTTGAATCACTGGCCTCTGGAGCCGCCTCAAGTTCGGTGGTGGGCTCCTCGGGTTTGGTTTCGGGGGTTTCTTGCGCGACGGCTGGCTCAAGCTCGGGCTCCTTAGCTTCAACAATGGCGTCGTTCTCAGCCGGAGGCTCGGCGACAGGCTCGGCAGCAGGTTCAGGATCTCGAACCTCAGATGTCTCTTCCACCAGTATAGGCCCAGATTCGGGTTCGTTGACATCTGTTGGCGACGCTGCCTCAACCTCGGACTCAGGGTTCTTCGCGTCAGGAGCTGTTTCGGCCTCGGCAGTCTTGTCTTCTTCAGCCGCGGCCTCCGAGTCAGGTGCTGCTTCCTTCGTCTCCGCATCGACGGGTGCCTCTGCCTCTGCCTCTGCCTCTGCCTCAGGATCCTTAGCTTCTAGCGGGGGCTCGGCTTCTTTCGTCTCAGGAGCCGGCTCAGCTTCGGCGTCCTTTAACTCGGGAGTAGGCTCAGCCTCGACTTCATTGGCCTCTCCGGCCACGGGTGCTGGTTCCGGCGACTCGGCTGCGGCTTCAGGCTCAGGCTCATTAGATTCAACCTTGGCCTCAGTGTTGGTTTCTTTGTCTTCCGCAGTAGCCTCTGCTTCCGGTGCCGGTTCTACAGATGCATCCGCCGCTTCGGGCTCTGTAGCCTCGGTCTCAGGAGCTACATCAACCTCGGGTTTGATATCCGCGGTTTCTGTAGTCTCTGGTGTTGTCTCCTGCTCTGGCACATTCGCTTCGTCTTCTCTAGTAACCGGAGCGGAGGGCTCGGCTACGTGGTCGGATTCCGGGGCTGGCTCAGTCAACGGCTCCGAGGTTTGCGCGTCAGAAGTTGACTCTGGTTTAGCATCCTTGGCTTCTGGAGCAGGTTCTGGAGCAGATTCTGCATCAGGCGCGGCATCCTCTGTCTCGGTTGTTGGTTCCAGGGCCGCTTCAGTGGTAGGTTCAGGCTCTGGCTCTGCTTCTGGCTCCGGGTCCGCGGTCTTAGCATCTTCGGCTGTGTCAGTATCGATAGCGGTGCCTTCCTGTTCGGGCACCTTGGCTTCGCCCACAGATGTGGAGGCTTCCTCAGGCTCAATCGCAGCGCCAGCCTCGGTGGCTTCGGTCTCAGGCTTGGCAGCATCCACAGAAGTTTCGGCAGGTGCCTCAACGGCCTCTACAGTGTCCTCGACTTCATCAGCGGTAGTGATGTGCTCCTCTGGCGAAGAATGAGACGTTGCCTCTTCATGGTTGGTTTCTTCGGGCTTTTCTTCGGTTTCAGTGGCTGGTTCTGTCTCTTCTTTAGTATCCTTGAACCCGGGGGAGAGAATGTCTACGGTAAAGCTGAATTCTTTGCCGTCACTGATGATTTCGTAACCTTCCATACCTTCTGTGGAGACAATTGCGTCGTCTGTGGTGGCTGAGTCTGCAGAAGCATCCGCGGAATCGGGATTTGGTGCTTTGCTTTCTTCCTGCTTGGGTGTATCGGCCTCGACCTCGGCAGCCTTTGATGAATCGGGCTCCTTCTCGGCTGTTTCGATTCCAGTATCTGTGACGTCTTCTGCAGGCTCAGCGACAGACTCAGCGGCAGGTTCGGCAGCAGGCTCGGCGGCAGGCTCAGCAGCAGGCTCGGCAGCAGGCTCAGCGACAGGTTCAGTAGCAGGCTCAGCGACAGGCTCGGCGGCAGGCTCGGCAGCAGGCTCAGCGGCAGGCTCAGCGACAGGCTCGGCAGCAGGCTCGGCAGCAGGCTCGGCAGCAGGCTCAGTAGCAGGCTCAGCGGCAGGCTCGGCAGCAGGCTCAGCGGCAGGCTCAGCGGCAGGCTCAGCGACAGGCTCGGCAGCAGGCTCAGCAGCAGGCTCAGCAATAGGCTCGGCAGCAAGCTCAGCGGCAGGTTCAGTAGCAGGCTCGGCAGCAGGCTCAGCGGCAGGCTCGGCAGCAGGCTCAGCAACAGATTCAGCGACAGGGTCAGCGGCAGGTTCGGCAGCGGGTTCAGCAGCAGGCTCAGCGGCAGGCTCAGCAGCAGACTCAGCGGCAGGCTCGGCAGCAGGCTCAGCAACAGATTCAGCTTCCTTAGAAACTTCTGCTTCGACTTCAGCTACAGCTTCGGGTTCCTTACTGGCCTCGGGCTCAGCCTCTGGTGTCGCTTCCTGTGGGGCGTCGGGTTCTGTGGCGGATTCCGTGGCGGGTTCCGCCGCAGGCTCGGCGCTATCTTCAATGTTGGCAAGCGCTGGAGCCTCGGCTTCGGTAGCAGCCTCAGGGGTAACTTCAGAAGCAGCCTCCGAAATGGCCTCGGGAGCGGCATCGGCAGTTGGTACCGCATCCGCTTCGGGAGCAGCATCTTTTGGGGCTTCGGCCTCAGACTCCTTGGAAGCGTCCGGCTCATCCTTGACTGCTTCGAGCTCTTCCGTCTTGGGTGCCTCCGGCTCGGATTCTGAAACAGGTGAAGCATTCTGCTCTTGGGGGGAACAGGCTCCTCCTCAACCGGCTCAGGAATGGTATCCTTGGGTTCTTCGACATCGGCCTTAGGAGCCTCAATATCTTCTGCCTTGGGAGGCTCTGACTCCGCTGGCCCAGAAGCATCTGCTGCCGCCTCGACTGGAGCATCTGAATCTGCCTCATCGGGAGCCTTAGTCTCGATTTCAGCTTCAACAGGCGCGGGAGACTCGGCTTCGGGCTCCTTAGAAGCATCAGTCTCAGGCGCAGACTCGGCTTCCTTGACAAGCTCCGGTTCGTCTGTCTCTGTAGGCTCGGGAACAACTTCAGTGACATCCGTAGAATCAGGTGCTGCTTCGGCCGGCGTATCGGTCGGGTTGCTGGCTGCAGGTGCGTCGTCTGATTGAGCTAACTCATCCACAGGCGTAGTCTCCGTAGCCGGAGCGGCTTCTTGTTCCTCGGAAACTTCGGCAGTAGCAGCGGGCGTCTCATTCTTTTCGTCCCCGGCGTCGGAAGCTGGTGTGACTGTTTCTGTTGTCGCTGACTCCGCAGCAGCGAGTGCATCTTCAGGCTTGGCCTCATCGTCAACTGTCTCAGGTGCAGCCACTTCCGGTTCCGCCTTGGCGTCTTGCTCAGTGGCAGCGCCATCCTCTTGAGATGCTGCGGGTTCAGCATCAGTAGCTGCTGCGTCCTCTTTTGATTCAGTTGGATCCGTGGGAGAAGGACCATCGGCCGGAGTGTCTATAGCGGTAGGCGCCTCGACGGAAGCATCAGCCGCGGGCGCTTCTTCCAATGTTTCGGAGTCAATCTCTGGTTCAGCCGCTGCCGGTTCTTCAGGCTTCACTTGGTCGTCTGTAGACACCTCCGCCTGTTTCTCAGCAGGAGCTGCATCTTCTAGCTCTTCAACTGCTGGTTCAGGAACACCATCTTTGGAAGCATCTTCAGTCTTTTCCTCGTCTACGGGAGCAGGAATGTTCTCCGTAGCCGGAGCTTCGACCGATGGTTCTGTGTCGGCAGCGGACTCTGGCTCCTCGACTGCCGCAGGTACAGGAGCTTCAACAGCGTCAGAAGCTGGAGTGTCATCGGTAGCAGCTGCTTCGGCCTCTGTAATTTTGGGATCAGTTGCGTCCTCCTCTTTGGCGGATTCAGGGGTAGCCTCTGTTGGATCTGATGTTGCGTCGGTCGAAGCAGGCTCAGCTGATGAGGTCTCTGCTGACACCGGCTCGTTAGAAGATTCGGTTGAGGGCTCGGCTGGAGCCGGCTCCTCTTCTACAGGAGGACTTTCATCCGTCTTAGCCTCGGGTGTCTCCTCCGCTGTATCCTCAACAGGGGCGACAGTTCCAGGGGCGGGCTCTGCTGATGCGTCCTCAGAGGCAGCTTCTTCGGACTTGACCTCCTCAGGAGCATCAGCAGGAGCATCAGCGGCAGCTTCAGCAGGAGCTTCAACGGCTGGTCCGTCCGAAGGCGCAGCGTCCTCTGCAGCGACCTCAAGCGGAGCGTCGGCGATGGCATCCTTCGTGGATTCCTCTGCAGGAGTGGACTCTTCGGGTTTGGCCTCATCCGAAGTTTCGGCAACTGGTTCTACAGGCGCCGGTTCAACAGTCTCGGCTTCGGCCGAGGCAGCCGCTGCCGTCTCTACAGGGGCGACATCCTCCGCTTTCGTCTCTGTTGGAGTTTCGGTAGCCGGTTCTTCTGCAGGCGCAGCGTCTCCTGGCTTGTCCTCAACGGAGACCTCGGCCGTCGCCTCTTCCGAGGCAGCAGAAGCATCAGCCGTGGATTCAGCTGACACGTCATCGGCCGACTCGACCACGGAGGTGCCGACGTCCGGTGCGTCAGCGGCTTCCTCCCCGGCAGGCGCGGACTCCTCTGATTTGGATTCGGCCGGTGTCTCAGCCGGTGTCTCAGCTGGAGGCTCTGCGGCAGGTGTAGGCTCCTCCGCAGCCGGCTCCGTCGCGGTTTCGCTTGTTGGCTCTTCCGGAGAAGCGGAGGCCTCGGCCTCGGCCTCGGCAAGAGCTTCAGAAGCTACTTCTGTGGGAGCAGGTTCGCCGGGCTTGTCATCATCAGTCAAGGCTTCCGTTGGAGGATCCGGTGTTGCCTGCACTTCGGCTTCGGGCTCCTCGGGCGTGTCATCTGGAGTTACGGGGGTAGTCTCAGCAGGTGCAGGACCTTCGGGCTCATCACCCGCCTGTTTTTCGGCTTCCGAGTCTCCCGCGGTCTCAGGAGATGTTTCGACTGCTGTTGTATCATCGACTTGGGCCTCGGCAGCATCTGCTGCTGCTTCCGGTGCTGGCGGTTCCGATGAGGCTTCCTCAATGGGAGCTTCAGGTTCAGGTTCAGCTGCCTCGGGTGTTGTCTCCGGCTGTTCTGGCGAGGCAGCTGGGGCATTGCCCGAGGCATCTTCGTTGTCTTCTACCGATGCAACAGCAGAGGAAGCAGCGGGATCTTCGTCAGTGCTTGCTACCGCAGCCGCTGTTGCCGCCGCGGCAGCTACAGCGACAGCCCCAGCGGCTGCCGCTGATGCACCCGTCTCCTCGTTCTTGTCGACACTCCTGTCGGCAGCTGGAACGGTGTCGGCCGCGGGCTCGACGGCAGAAGCACCCTCTTTAGTGTCGACTACGGCTTCGGGAGGTGGCGCTATAGGCTCATCCATCTTTGGCGGCTTTGCCTCAGCCTGCGCCGGCGGAGGTGGCGGAGGAGTCGATTGAGAGCTCTCGGCCGGCTCTGGCTCGGCCTCTTTGCCACCCTTGCCCTTCTTCTTCTTTTTGTCTTTCTTCTTATCTTTCTTATCCTTTTTCGAAGATTCTTTCGCCTTGACCGGAGACGTCGGGGTCTCCTCAACAGTGACTTCTTCCTCCTGTGTCGGCTCGGGTTGGGGCTCGGGCTCAGGCTCAAGCTTTGGTTCGGGCTCCGGTTCTGCAGGCGGAGGGGGCGGAGGAGGCGGAGAAATGACAGCGGCTTCTTCCTTTTTGCTCTTCTTCTTCTTCTTCTTGTCCTTCTTGGTAGTTGCCGTCGGCCACTCGTCTTCCGCTACGCCGGTGTCCTGAGGCGGTTCTGGCGTAGGGATTTCGGGGGGAGCAACTGGAGGCTCTTCGTGAGTGGTTTGCGCCGCCTTCTTATCTTTCTTGGCCTTCTTCTTGCTCTTCTTACTGCTGCTGGCGGCCTGTGCAGGTTGTGAGGGGTATTTTACGCCATTGGCATATACGTCACCGTCTATAAGTTGGCCGAGTTAGACGCAATTACCAGACTCGAATGCGATGCCAAGCAGATATCTTACCATTTTCCAATTCGGAATCTGAAGGTTGAAAGTACTTGACGTTGGAGAAGTCCTGGGTTTGGACATGGCTCCAATCAAGGTTCCGCCGGTAAGGGCAGACGTCGACTGGCTCTTGCGAATTCATGCTTCCGGGACCTGGTGTTTACGGGAGCCCTTGTTTCGTAGCAGCTGATCAATGCGAGTTCGGGTACGTAGTCTGATATTGCCCACGGCGGCAAGGGGAGGGTGGTTTCAGGGGAAGAATAAGCTTGGAATTATTCTTTTTTTCTTCCGTAGGCTTTTGTGATCTTTGTTGGTATGCGGTGCCCAAACCGGAGTTAAAAAAAAAGTTCGAGTCTCTTGGGCGGGTATCGCGAGACTCAAAAGCAAAGTACGCAGTGGTATTTTGTCGCCTATGAGACGGCCGTTGTGTAAACAACAGTCAAAAGTGCAATTGATGGTTACGGCGGCAAGGAAGCATCCAGTTTCTTATCTCGGCTTCATGACGGATGGAGTTGGGCAATAAGGGACCAAGAGTGACAAGAGTGACGAGAGGCGTTTTGAACAACGGCGACCCCAGGAGGGCACAATTGGGCCGAGCAGTGGTGGGATGAAAAGTAGGTTCTAAACTAGACAAGCAGGGGGAGCTTCCCAGCCGTGCCAAACATCACAAGCATCACTGGCCAGAGGCAGGGTTCAAGGCGCGGGAGTAAGGGGACCCTGACACAGGCTTACCCCACGCAGTCCCCACGAATGGAGACAAAATCGGGCAGTTCTAGAGTCCAAGTGATCAATGTCGTGCGTGCTTGGGAGCCATTGGCTTGAGTGAGGCGGGAGAACCACTGGCGCCACGTCGCAATTGGGTCGAACTTGGGGGGAAGCGCGGCTTCTAGGACTGGGGAGCCTGAATGGTTTGGAGGGTGCTGTGATGACTGATGAGGGACGAAGCAGCAGAGACAGGCTTACTGGTTGAACACATCAGACGGGCAAGGAGACCGTGTAGGAGGGATGATGGCTGCCCGACGGCGGTGGGTTGGGAAGCGAGCCGCCAACCCGCATAAAGAGCCGGTATCGATGAGGCCGGGCATGAATGAATGTCAGTGACATTTCCCAGGATGAGTGCGTTACATTTTGTGGTCTTGTCCCTTTTGGTAGTTTCATAGTAGTAGGGCCGTCGCCCATGCATCGACATGATGGGCTTCCCCCCCCCCCCTTTTTTTTTTTTTTTTTTCAATTTCTCCTGTCTCCTTGTCGCTCAGTTCGAGTTCTTTCAGTGACTGGAGAGGCAAAGTCACTTGAGATTTTGCCCCGATATTCGTAGAGAGAATTGATTGATGAAGAAGAAAAATAACTCAAGTCGGCATTACGGTGAGAGACTTTTGAACGAGACGAATTGACCATCAATGAGCCAATACCCGTCGAACAAGTGCCCCGAGCAGTAGTCATCAGAGCTCAAAAGCGTACAGTACTACGGCATATCTGACCCAAAGAGGTCTAGATCGTCCGGATTTCTCCTGCAGTGTGGGAATTTTTTCTGGACTTGATTGAAGTGCAAACTGTCAAGCGTCCATCCGTTCAGCGGTAATGAGCTAGAACGGGCGATGCTGGTTGTTGGTCTCTGGTCCAGCACTCACGCACGCAATGGGCAGTCGGGACAGGGAATGGTCGATGGGCCGGTCCACCGAAGCCAGGTCGATCCTTGCAAAAGCCCTCATCGCCCCGGTTGAGACACAAGGAAGAGATTGCCGATAGAAGGGTGGTGGTTCCTGAACCGTAGTGTAGGGGGAATCCCAACCATCCTGCCATCCGTTGTTCGAGAAGAAGAGGGATTGGACGAGGGAGAAACCGCAGTCTAGCCACATGCATCTAGTTGGCGTTGAGAAACGTCCGATTTGCGTGAATGCAGCGCAGCGCATGCGAAGTGCACTGAGGCAGGAAACTTGCTTCCAACCCCTACTACTGGAAGTCTAAGAAAAGCCTTTGGGCGGCAAGCATGTCAGTTAAGTGGTGGGTTTAGAAACGCGGTTTGTTTCCCACCGGCCATTAAACCCCCGGTCAGCGGCGTGCAACGTGGCTCGCCTGGTTAAGGCTCGCCTCTCAAGATCCATGCAGTAGGAGGCCGGACGACGGCTGGCGGGAGGGGCGGATGTGACCGTACAAGTGGTTGACGTAGGCGTGGGTACACTACTACTACACGAGTGGTGGGTGGGGGGTTGGGTTAAGTGGTGGCATCTTAGCGAATTGGCTTCAGCAACGAGAGGGCGGCGTTGTTTCCTTGTGCTGAGAAAGCTAGCTATGAATCAATCAATCGATCAATCAATTGATAAGAATGCGGTCGTGACTATGCAAGCAAAGAGACATGTCGTGGCAACGGCTGGTTAGTCGTCCTTTCACCTCGGGCGGAAGGTAAGGGCTCAGGACGGAAGTTGGGTGACTTTGGACACATGCTGGTGGTGGTGAGGTTGGGCCGGATGGCCGTAAGGCGGGTGGGATTGATGGGACGGGATGCCGTGGCAAGGCTCCTCCCGACGACAGTGTTTGGGAGGTGCAGTAGTCCTGTCTTGGGCCGAACAGATTCTCAATAGGCCAGTCTGCATTGCAGCGATGTAGGTAGCCCGGTGCTGCCGGTGTTATTGGGTGCACTGCAAGCACCCGACTTGGCCCGACTAGACGCCACTGGGCAAACGGGACAAGACGTGGTGGAGGGCCGTACGAGTCGGAGGTTGGGCGCCGAGGGATGCCGCAGACAACATGGCTGGTGTGGCATTGGGCCGTCGTCTGCTTTTTCGTGGCTGACGGGCGATGCTGACCATGTGGGGTTCGCAGTCGGTTGGACCAGCAAGACATCGAGATTTTGGCCGAAGCCATCGCGACACCGGAATCGCTACATATCCTGGGATACTACCAGGGAGCACGGCGTATCCGTACGGCACAACAACAAGGCCGAGTGGGCGTCTGGTTGATCGTCGATTAATCGTCGATGTGGTAGACTCTGTATCGATGCGTGCATGAAGGCGGCAGGGACAGCAGTCGATGGACGATGGTGAACGGCCTTGTTGTTGTTGTTTAGGTATCCTAAGGAACGGCCATCCATGAACGCACAGTAGAGTATCCGTATGTACGTCCGTTTTTCAGGGATACTGGGAGTGGATGGGAAGCGGAAATGAAGAAGAGTTGGCCAACGTTGGCAACTGACGACATTGTGTGAGCCGAACTTTCGGCAGGTGAAAACGTGTTAAAAATAAAGATAAAATAAAAACATTTTCTTGTCCCTCGCCGGGAAGGAAGCATTGGGTGTAACCGACTGTGTTCACTCGCTCTCGCTCGTGGTCTCGGACAGTGGCTGACACCTGCATCACCCTGTCAGCCGAGAAAGACAACTCAGGGCGTCTTCGGTCCCTGACAGGCCTGTACTTAGGTGCCCTCATAAACAACGCAAGTGGGCCACGACAAATGCATGTATCGGTATCCCCGCCGCACTTAATACCAAGCATGGCAAGTTGGTCACCAGCTCGTCTCGCCAGGAAGATACCAGGTCCGGCAGCCACTGCGCTGTAGGCTCTCTCTCCCTCCTCGAGACCCGGGTTCCGAACCAGGCCAGACAGACGTCTCGCCTTGCGTCTCCTTTTTGTCCACAATGCATCGCCTTGTGGTATCCTAGGAGTTTGCATTGACCAGGCTGGAGAGCCTCATTTGCTTTCCTTCGACCATCCGAGTCGGAGCATGTATCGCAGTGACATGAACCCTGCCTCGCCCGCCTCACCCGCCTCCCCTCGAGGGTTGTTGGTTGGATATTATCCGTGGCGGGTGTACTCACAAAAAAGCAGACGGACAGATCCGCCTCTCTTGTCGTGACTCGAGCCGAGCCCCTCCCCCTCACAGAACGACATCGGATGCGCATACGGCCAAGATGATCGTGGCTTCGGACGCCCCAGCCCACGATCGGTCGCTCCTGGCGACTGGCGGTGTGCCGGAACACGTGAGAGATGGCTTCTGTCCCGGTCCCGGTCCCGTCAGGTGGGCACCCAATGCCAGCGGACTATGATGTAGGATCTTGCCATAAACTGCCCTGCCTTACTTTCAGGTGGACCGTCGTCTATTGCTTTGACCGTTCCTTCACCGAACCAAGTACCGCTGCATTCCGGCCGCATCTCCGGTGCATAAGCCAAGCAAACCCTCCACCCCAAGGGGCATGTCCGAAACTGCACGCTGCATATGGTTCTGCGAAACCCTCGCCTAGCTCCTCAACAACAGTCGATATATGTTTCTATGGGGGAGAAAAGACGCACGCATAGTACTCGGAGACTTGTAAATTGCCACTCCAGCAAACCCTGAAAAGCTTGTCAAACTCCCGTCAACCTCCTCAACCGCAAGATCCCCGTCGATTGACGACCCCGCGTATCCCAAAAACGCCAACGCCAGTAAACAGGTCTGATGAAAAGGGCCAAGGTACCCGAGAAACGTATGAACAAAGGCCGCCCTTGAAGTTGTCGCCGCATCGAATAAGCAAGCCTGTGCAAAGCCTACATCGTACGTCGTGTATGTCGTGCAAAGCCCACCAATTCCCCCCCAGACAGACTTGGGCTTGGCTTTGTTCACACCCCCGTATAGCGGTCCCATGCAAGCCTCCAGGAGCCCCGTTCTTGGCCACGAATGCTATGCCATCCTCCTCGGCCGTCCCCGCGGGAACAACTGCCACCTGTAGCCCCTTACATGGCCATTTCCGCCTGCAGCTTGCGGAGCTCGGCCTCCTCGTCGTCCTCTTCGGCAATGGGTGCCTTGCCTTTGACTTATTTGTCGCATGTTAGCCACTATTCAACGTCCATGAAAGGGGAGGGGATTCCTTACTTTCTCCGTTCGCTGCAGCCGGCATGCGATGGACGGCATCCGACACTGGCACCGACCCAGTGCTTATCATTTGCTCGTCCAACTGCTCCTGCTGCATATTTTCCAGCTCCTCTTCCAAATCCTCGTCGATGATGTTGTCAGTCTGGCCCGTCGTAATGGCGTTGACGATTTCCTCGCTGAGGGCATTCTGTTCGCGGAGTTCCTCCCTGTTTGCACCGTGTAAGCATTCGTTCCGTTGGCCGTCAACGCAAATCGCGGGTTTTCGGAAACATACATTGTCTGGTCCACCTTGTCGACCGTAAGCTTGCCGTGAATGCCCTTCATGGCCTGGCCGGCCTTCTCCATTGCCAGCAGCGTCTCCCGGTTGATATTCGCCGACTCGATGGCGTTGATCTGGGACTCGAGTGTCGTAATCTGAGATATAGTCTGCTCGAGGCTATGCTCGTGGCCCTTCTTGCGACGCAAGGCAGCCTTTGCGGCTATCGGGTTGCCTCGTCAGCCTTCAACTTCCTTGCGGTATATGGCTCAAATGACTTACCGTTCTTGTTGGTGTTGACGTTCTTCCTCGCAATAGCGTCTTGCTCGTCCATCAGGTTTTGGAGGTGCTTCTCTCTCTTCTGAAGCATATCGAGCTGGACCCGAAGGCCAAGGATCGCATCTTTGGCGTCATTCTTCTTCTTGGCGCCGCCGCCGCCGCCGAACCAGCCCCAGACGCCAGACATTATGATACAGGCTGTAGGATTAAGAGGTTGGCTATCGAGTTGAGTGAACGGAAAGGGGGCCGAGCCGGTTTTGAGGTTGTGCGCAGGCGACTATCGGTCGAAGGCAGCCGTATTCCACGATTGCGTGGCACTCGCCGAAGTTTGATGGCGGGGTACCGAAACGGGAAAACAAGCGGGCACTCGTCGTCGTTTCAACGAGCCGCAGAGGTAGCAAGGAATATTGGCTAACACGGTTGCCAAAGTCGTGAAATCGTGTGATGAACACTCGCGGCTCTCCAGGTCAATACGTCGCAGGGTCGGTAGGTAGAACGCTGAGAGATAGGATCAGGTAGCCAAAGCAGGTATGATGCAAGCTTCCGACTGGCTTAACGATGCCGTTTAGTGGGCGGCGGGCGATGACGGCGGCTCTGCCCAGCAACACCGTCCGCTCGGTTCGGCCGAGGTTCAGCCGGTCATGTGAGAAGGGCCGCGTGACTCTCGCAATGTGACTGGCAGATAAGCATGTTGCTTATCGCCGACTTGATCCAGGTGTTACCAGCTGTCTGCGCATTATTTGGAAGCTTCGTCCTGTGGGTTGAACTGACAAGTCCAATCTTCTCTAAGCATTCACGTTCATCAACCCATCATCAGCCTAGCCATGTTCCTCAAACCAGTGTCACTATGACAGACTTCTCAGGGGCCTAAACAATTCTCTTTCGGAGTACGTCGGTGAACTGTATGCCTCGGACAAGGTTGCCTTTTGCGTCATCATGTCCAGAGGCCCGCTTCCTTCCCAGTTGTGTCTTCTATCAGACCTGCCGTTGAGGTCTCCAGGCGACAAGGTCAGATTCATGGGATGGTAAGATCCGCTTCCCCCATCCCTGATTCTTCATACCATTGTTGGTAGAATCTCGCCCATTGATTTTTCAGAAGTCGCCCCGTGCCTACTATATACTGATTTGGCTTCAGTGTAACATCGTACTCAACGCACTCGGCAGTGCTTACGCTAGAGCACAGCTTCCCCAAAGGGTCCCACGTCACTGCATTAGTCGACGTTCAGCTTCTACTTGGCACTATTAAGCCGAATCAGACGCAAATCGGCGAATGGGTTAATGTCGTTGGTTATGTCACACCGTTGCCTCCGGGAACACGGGCCAAGGGAACAACAGGAGAGCCCAGGAAAGCGGCTATCCAGGCACTGATGCTTTGGTCGACCGGCCCTCTCGATCTTCAAAGATACGAGTCTACATTTACCATTGCCTGACCAGAAGTCTGGACGAGTCCGCGGTTACTGCTTGACGAAAAGAAGCACACTCACCATATGTCGTGAAAGGCTACGCATGACCCGGGCACACCTCGATAGGAACCTTACTCACCACATTGGCAGACGTGTCATGCTTGTCGGGCTTGCCGCTCACCACCGCTTTCAGGCTGCCTCATGTCTCCCGATTCGTCGTCGAACACACGAACCACAAGACTTCGATAAGGATTACGTCTACTAGACTGGTGACAAAGTTCCCGATCCGTGGTTCGAGCCTTGGGACGGACCGAGTGCAGTCCCGACTTTGGCGTCCTGTCGGAAGCCTCTGTTGTACAAAGAATTTGGGCAGCACATGCTATTGGCCCACAGCAGCACCTTTGGTGCGATTGTAATGCATCTTGTCTATTTCGGGAACCAAAAACTGTACAAAAGTGAGTATCTGAGTCGGAAAAGGCTAGCTGGTCGCATCCCGCCGGGCGCTGAACTTCCGCAGCGCGCCTCTCACGACGTTTTTGCACACGCATACCCATTGAGAGCAGTGGACGGACGGTGCCGTAGTTTTGGCTGCTACCATTGGCTCCCCGGACTTGCCAGATGGCGAACTGCTGCTGGATGATTCCACGGCACATACTCTTGTTCGTCCCAATCAGAAAAGACTTGGTTATGCTGCTTCATCCCGCCTGTCGCCTGACCAGCCACAGAACGATTGCTTGACCGGGTCCACCGTCCGCTGCGGCCCTAGGCCACACAAACCGCTTCCCCTCACCAAAGACACGGCCTTCATCGCATACCTCGAATCATCGAATTCCACAAATTCGTCCCGATATGCAGCAAAGGACGAATCCAGCCATGTGCGACGCCCTTGGTGTTTACGCTTGGTTCCAAAAGTCTGGCCCAATATGAGATTTCGGTCGCAAGAACCGACTCAACCGAACTGTCCACCCTCACTCACGCCGCCTCTCATCGTAACGTCGATGCCGCTCATGGCTTCGGTGTGTTTCATGTCTCCTTCGCGAAGAATCGTTTGACCCTCGCGATATCACGACCGGCTGGTGCAACGGCCTCTTGAGAGGCTTGTCCGCTTCTTGTGCCCTAATAGCCGCCTGTCGCTCCCATATCTCCTTGGACTTCCTGCAAATATCATCGATTTGCTCCTAGAAGAAGCCAAGACAGTTAGCGGCAAGTGCGCTTTTCAAAAGAAAGAATGCGTCATGGTGAAGCTCACGTCGGTCAGGCATGGGCCTGGAGTAGTGATGAGAAACCCATCTTCTCCCTATAGATGCTGTGAGAGGCGGCTCGATCACACTGGATGACAAGTTCACACCTCGTTTGTGTAAGGCCTGACCGTTGCATCTGGGCCAAGATAATAGGGAAGCTCTTGAGTGATGATCTTCTTGTGGATATCCAAACGAGGGATCCAATATCTGTTCATCTCTGTTGTTGAAGACATGGCAAGCGCTCAGACATGGGAAATATGATTTGTCTGCTCGAGCACCTGTAACGGATGAGATGGCTCGAATTGTTAGGAGGTCATGGCGATCAGGAGGACGAAGACGGTATTTATCTTCGCCCAACTACTTGCGCGATGATCTGGGCGCGCCAATCCTCGTACACGGCAACAGAGTCGAGATGACTAGTTTCCAAGGCCTATCATTTGCACCAAACAAGACAAAAGGAGCACTTTTGGACTTGCCTTTTCGGCACAGTTATTGTCGGCATCCTCACCGCTTCGGGCTGTCAGTCGTCAGAACCTGCCTCGGTAATGCCTGCATGCAAGGCCAGACGCTACACATGTCCGTCTGTTGTGTCGGTTCTCATGAGGGCGGGAACCAGATGGATGGGTTTGCGTGTGCGTGTGTGCGTGAATGTGCGTTCCACCTCTCACGTTGGGGTGGTGAGCCTGCAGGAGATAGGCAAAGTGAGGCGGACGGCGGCAACCCCATGACGGTCCGCCTCACACGCTCGCAATAATCCCGCCAACGCAACCGCAAATCACCTTCGGGCATTGCACCCAACGTCGAAGCCACCTACATTGAACTGTGTCGTCGATTTTCGCGCCCGCGCCCAGTCATTAAACCATGCCTCCTACGCTGGCCATTCGTTAGTCACTTCTCGGTAATGGATGGATCAACCCGCTGCCAGATCCAGTGACGGGGACTAGAGTGCAGTTTCTGCAGGTCCATCTTCTTGCCACGGCTGTTCTCGAACACACTGGAATGGAACACCCCCTCGTGGCTTCCTGGCATACCCTTTTCATTACGGGGTTCCCTCCATGGATGACCCCGGTGGGTAAGGTAAGGCGCCGCTCTTCACTGGCGGTCGAATGCGCAGATTGGGACGATCGTTGTCTCCGACTTCGAGGCGAACTTGCGGGGAAGGGCGAAAAGGCGGCCACTCGGTGCCCACCGGAAGTTATATTCATCTAGGATCTCGCGTTCTTCAACGATCCGGATGAACCCTAGACCCTTCCAGCTTTGATGCTGGTTCCAGGTCTGTGGAACCCAGGGCTGCCGTGATCGGCGACGTCACGTCATAGTTCGGATGAATAATAATCGAAAGTCGATCATCATTCTCGAGACAGCCCTCCCACTGTTCTTTGTAGTGTGTATAATCAACTCCTGGCTGTGGACTGGCACTTGGAATGTACCTACTCCGAGACCATGTCGACTCCTCAATATTGAAAGACGACGGCAGTACAAGGCTGACTCACGCAACTACGATGAACAAAACCGGCGCTTTCCTACCAGGGATCTTGTTTGGTGATCACCATATAACCCCCCCTGGGTGAACACAATGCCTGGACTCCCCGCCGTAGGTAGAGGGATGGTGAACAAATGCCCATGTCCTCGACTACGTACGGATTGGCTACTGCACGAGACAGACTTATGTACGAGACTCTGTGCTTCACCATTACCCACACACTACCTTTACTTCTCTCCCCTGCCTCGTCACTATTGTTGCTACCGTCTCAAGCTCTGCCGTTGTTTAAGTACCTAAAGGACGGCACGGATAAAGAACGGGGTGTGAAAAGCAGGGCGAGCATTTACATTGGTATTCGTCGGCCGCATATTGTAAAGAAGAAATCCTGTAATGGACAGTCCATGGCTCGTACGATAAGGCGGCCAGGGCCGTCTCTCGTTGCATACCACCAACAATGGAAACCCCTTGCCAAGGAACTACCGGGAGATCCACTCGAGGTGGGCAGCTAAACACTTGCAGCAATCTCCCGCGATTCTCCCTCACGAATCAAGGCTCCTGTCGGGGGATTGGACATCCTCGACAGCCCTAGATCGTCACACTGGTGGGTCGATCAAGGCTTGGCTTATCGCCGTCGGCGCTGCTGTCGAAGTGTCGTTGCGCGTGATTCATTCGCGTGTCAGCTGCTATTATATGGCGAGCATATTGTATGCTCGTCTTCAGACATACTTGGTCGCCTGGCTTACTGGTCGACGTCAATTTTAGCGCAAGACCTGTGCCCTCGATCGTTCGATTGAGCCGCAGAGGGCCACGGCTTACAGGGTTTGTTTCTAAGGCCATCATCCACTCTCAAGACCGTCTCAGTTGGCCACCGGAGAGACAAGTACAAGCCTGTCCTGGCTACGAATAATTGCCTGTGTGTTCTTCCCTTCTTCAAGTTAATGGTGCTGACCTCGAATGTTACTACCAGAGCTGATAACGACACACGACTCCATTTGGTGTGCACCTTTCAAAGCATCTGCCTCTGCATCACAATCTGGCACGCCTTGACATGTCGAGGCAACTTTTATTTGAGAAATTTGATGACAATTATGCTTGTTGGTTTTTATTTTTGTTAAGAAAAAAGAATGCCAGTGCAAAATCCTCGTCTTTGGCCGGCTGCGAAGGATGCACCGCCTGTCTTCCTCTACTTGAACGGTTTCGCCGGGGATATACTCGGTATGGATATTCAAATCGATAAGACTAGTGGTAGGGTTTCGCACATCAGTGGATGGTCGGTCGTTGAAACGTTTTCGCCGGATGACTCACGGCTGATAACGGGCTCAAGAGAACAGTGTGAAGACGACAACAGGAACTGAGGCAAGTCGATGGTATAAATGTGCTCTTGTTTGTGTATCTCAGCCAAGCCTCGAAATAACCTTCAAGCCCCCAAAATGTCTGACAAGAAGATTCTCGTCCTCGGCAGTGGCTTGGTGGCAAAGCCATGCGTCGACTACCTCCTACGGAACGAGAGAAACAAGTTGACGATTGGTCCGCATTCCTTGTTCCGGCAAATCTCTTACCTAGCACAGCTGACAACCCACCCGTAGCGTGCCGTACCAGGTCCGCTGCGCAGGCGTTGGCGTCAAACCACATACGAGCCACGGCCATTGCTCTCGACGTCGCCTCCCCTGAGCTGGACGCACATGTAGCCGCCCACGACTTAGTTATCTCTCTTGTTCCCTTCGTTCACCATCCGACAGTAATAAATGCCGGGATAAGGGGAAAGACGCACGTCGTGACTACAAGCTACGTGTCTCCAGGCATCAGGGAGTTGGAGGAAGAAGCCAAAGCGGCGGGGATTACGGTTCTGAACGAAGTGGGCGTTGATCCCGGTAAGACGCGTCCTCCTTATTTGTTCTTCACGGAAAGAAGATTGCTCATGGTGGCGTTCTAGGCGTGGATCACTTGTACGCCATCAAAACTATTGGCGAAGTGCACCGCAAGGGCGGGAAGGTGAAGATTTGCTTTGCTTTTCTGCTTCGCACAACGACGTGACTAACGGAGGAATTTGACAGATCAAGGAGTTCCATTCTTACTGCGGCGGCCTGCCGTTCCCAGAATGCGCCGACAACCCCCTACGCTTCAAGTTCTCCTGGTCGCCGCGCGGCGCTCTCCTCTCTCAGTTCAACTCGGCCTCGTACCTCCAAGATGGGAAGGTGGTTGACATCTCCGACCGAGACCTCATGGCCCGGGCCGGCCCGTGCCACGTTGCCGACGGATACTCCTTCGTGGCGTACCCGAACCGAAACTCGGTCCCATTTCGGGAGTTTTACAACATTCCCGAAGCAGAGACCGTTGTTCGCGGGTCGCTGCGATACGAGGGGAACCCGTCCTTCGTGGCGGCGCTAATCAAGCTAGGGTGGCTGGATACACAGTCGAGGGAGTGGTTGGAGAAGGAGAACAGTGATCTGACGCTGAGAGAAGTGTTTGGACGCATAATCGGCGCACATGGGTCAGACGAAGAGTGAGTTCTCCAAAGAACGTGATTCCTCCTGTATCCATTCCCCTAATGGGGCGTAGGTCCCTCATCGCACGCATCGACGAGTTGTGCAGCTTCCCAGACGGCGCGGAGAGAGGCAGGATCATTTCTGGGCTGCGGTGGATTGGTCTGTTCTCCAAAAGCCCGGCTACCCTTCGCGGGAATCCCCTTGACACGCTCTGCGTCGAGCTCGAGCGGCTCTTGAGCTTCCAGCCTGGCGAGAGGGACTTGGTCATGCTGCAGCACAAGTTCGTCATCCAGTGGGAAGACGGCAGAAAGGTAAGCGCCGCCCCACCAGCTAACATGCCATATCCCGCGCTTCGTGTGATTAACGCTGATGGACGGCTCGTGAAGGAGACAAGAACCTCTACCCTGGAGCTTCTGGGAGATCCCGACGGCCACTCTGCCATGGCGAAGTCAGTGGGCGTTACCTGTGGCATCGCTACCCAGTTGCTGCTTGATGGTGAGCCGGCTCTTGATGTACCTGGAGTGTTGGTGCCTTATACAGAGGATATCTGCAACCCAATCCGCAACAAGCTTGAGGACGAGGGTATCAAGTTGGTCGAGAAGACTCTTTAGGCAATTGATGTTTCCGATCTCCTTGTCTAACCCTTTTTTTGCCGGGGATACAGCATGTTTAGCTGTACTTCCGGGATTGATTCATACTACGAGAGTCAATTGGCTGGCTTTCTTTATATCCATCTTTGTACTCGCGTGCCTGGCCTACAGTTCACCAAGCTTGAACATATTAACACTGTTCTTCCATGCAGCATCCGCCACTTCCTCGACACTCAAGCCCTTCAACCCCGCCACAACATAAGCCACCCTTTCCATTGTACAACTCTCGTTCCTGCCCTTTACCATGAGCCCCATCTCGAACTTATCCTTCTTCTTGCTCTGCGGTAGAGCAGGCGCATTGGCAAGGTATCTCTTGGCAAGTTCCGAACCGGCGGGGATCTCGCCCCATGGCGCGTCCGTCTCGATCTGCAGCCTGTCCAGCGGGATCTCGCGCACCATCTCCAGGCTCTCCCTGCCCTGGAAGCTGAAGCCGTTGACGCTGACGTCGAATCCCATTTCCACGAGGGCTTTCATCTGGGTCGAGGTGCCGACGAAGGAATGGACGAGACCTCGACGGGGTAGCCTGGGGAGGTAGGGCCCGACAACGCCCGCGAAGTCGTCGAATGCGGCGCGGCAGTGGAGGAACAGGGGCAGGTCAAACCGCTCCTCGACAAAGAGGTCCAGTTGGCGTTTGAAGGTGCGGATCTGGGCCTCCTTAGAGGCGTGGTTGAGACGGTCGTAATCGAGGCCAAGCTCTCCAAAGGCAGCCAACACCGACGGGGACCTTTCGGTCGCGGGTTTCAGGGCGTCGCGTACGGCCTGCGCCAGCTTCTTAAAGTGCCCGTCCTCGCCGCCATCCTCTTCGGCATCCGGTTCGGCCGCGTGGTACGGGTGTATACCGACGGTAACGAAACAAGTCCCCGCCGGCCGCGACTTCGCAATGCAAACGTTGGTCGCCGCGTCGCCGAGCGACATACCCGTCAGCATCACCTTGTCGACCCCGGCGGCCAGGGCGCGGTCGAGGACGACGTCAAAGTCCGGCTGATGATACTGCTTGCCACGGTAGAAACCTGCAAAGTTCTTTGCTGTCGCTGTGACGGCGACCTGGAACACGGCCAGTCAGCCCACCAAAGGCCCGTGTGCTCTTGATGCGCATAAAGACTTGGAAGGAATCAGGTACTTACATCCGCGAAGCGAAGTTTCTTGGTCGGCTTCACCGGCGCTTTCGTCGGGAAGCCGGCGAGTAGGTCTGCATCCGGTGCCATCAACTCAAGATGACCAGTGAGTCTCACCGGTCGGGAAAAGTGGCGATCAGAGGTACTGCATGCCCAAGCCTTTTTTCAATAGATCAAGCGTTTGACAACACCTCAGATTTGTTATCATCACCAGTAGTGAGTCATTTGCTGTGATTCAAGCAGTGTTCCCACACGTCCCCCCCCCGCTTCGGAATCAGTTAGGCTAGTGGAGCGGACATCTTGGCAGCAGGGCTCAATCTATCTCTGAGCCCCATCGCAGGGTGACATTGAAGTGACACGATGGCATAGACAGGCAGTTGACAACGATATATAGCCTCAAATCCAACTTTTCGTTGCCCACTGCAACTGAAGATAGGTTCATGGCAAAATCATTCTAGACATAGCATCTACTCATGATAAATAGAAGTAGGGCTGCCTTCCTTGGCCCTGGCCTTGACACATCAGTAGGCTCAGTAAGTACCTTCGTCTACTTACCGCACTTAAGCACACGCATACTGAAATGAGAAATATCTGTCTGGATAGGGCCCTGATATTCTGCCCGCAACTACTTCTGGTTCATGAGTGCAGATAGTCCATCTACTCTATTGTGTCTATTGACATTTTCATGGCTGCGGATTTAAATGCTCGCGGTAGAAGCGACAATCCCGGTTCTGTGGCCGGGCCGGCGTTAACCGTGCGTAAGCACCGTGTCCGCTTGAGCGGCGGGAACGGTCACCCGGTCGGGATTGGCTATGCGGAGAAGAATACGTACCTACTACATGTTACGCCCTTCCAAGCGGAGGCTGTCTTGTCATTACTTCGGCCTGGTGCATGCTAGACATCAACCAAGGACCAACAATCTAGATACAAATTCCATAAATACAAACGTCTTTTCCACACGAGGGTTTGGAAATCACACGAGGGTTTGGAAATCTGCAAATCATCTCACCTATGTTGCTATCAACATAAGATCAACAATCCCGAATTCCTCTTATCTCATCTAAGCCCTTCAGTTATCACAACTACCACCGTCAACCCTGCAACAGCAACCGACTTCACCGCGCTTTTCTGTAATCATGACGAGCCTCAAAGACTTCCGTGTTCTTACCTTTGATGTCTACGGTACCTTGATTGATTGGGAGACTGGTATGCTGGCAGCTTTACAGCCCCTCCTCGAGGAGAACCAGCGCACCGACTTCTCCCGCAAGCATCTCTTGGAAGTATACCAAGACCACGAACATAAACAGCAAACCAAGACCCCAGAACTGCCGTACTCTGAGCTCCTCACAACCATCCATCCGCAGATAGCCGACAAGCTCGGACTGGCCGCTCCCTCTCCGGAGTCCTCGAAAGCCTTTGGGGACTCGGTGGGCCGCTGGCCTGCCTTCCCGGACACGGTCGACGCCCTGCGCCGTCTGGGCAAGTACTACAAGCTTGTTGTTCTCTCCAACGTCGACCGCGATTCCTTCGCCGCTACCAACTCGGGGCCCCTCGAAGGTGCCCCGTTCGACCTGGTGATCACCGCTCAGGATGTCGGGTCCTACAAGCCTGATCAACGCAACTTCGAATACATGCTGGCCAAGGTCAGGGGGGGCTTCGGGGTGGACAAGGACCAGGTGCTGCAGACGGCGCAGAGCCAGTTCCATGACCACCACCCGGCGAAGGAGGCGGGGATCAAATCGTCTTGGATCGTGCGGCCCGGTGCGGTGATGGGAAACACAGAGCGTGAGGTGTACGACAGGAAGTTTGAAACCCTGGGCCAGATGGCAGATGCTCTCGAAAAAGAACTGGCTTGATTTAATCCTGGCCGGTGCAAGACAAAGCTTTTCCCCATGACTTCTGGCCGATGTGCTCAATTGCTCCATGTAAGAAGGGTTCGTTTGGTTCACGCAATGAACTGGACTGGACATGTCTAGTACACCATGCGAAGCTATGGATATTCTGATTGATTCTGCGTGCCATAAAAATCAGCCATTGCCTTTACAGAAGTACTTGATCGGCCGTTTCGCTAACTTATGTTATGTATTGAATGATGCCGTTCAGAATCTACGTCTCAGGCTCAGCAAGCGTGTTGACGTGTTGGCGGCGCCGAACTCGGAGCCGATGACGACGTACGTCGCCGCCGTGACGGTCCCGTCGAAGCCGTACAGGAAGACGTTGGACATGATGGCCAGCTCGATCCAGCCGAAGCCGCGGGGGGGGGCTTCCACGTCTCGCCGTCCCCCATCGCGGCGGCCGGGTCGCGGAGGAGGAGGGGCTGGTCTTCGCGCGGGGCGGAGGGTTCCGTTCCCGGATCGTGGTACGGAGGCGGAGGCGGAGGCGGCGACGATGCCGGGTTCGGGGGCTTGGCGGCTCGTGCGCCCCCGGCTTCTTCGTCCGGGAAGCGGGGCCGGGCGTGCGGTTTAGCCATGATTGCGTCGTTGGGTGGACACTATGGCGTGGAGGGCGAGAGTTTGCTGGTCTTTGCGGTTTCGAGATCGGATGGCCTCCGCACCAATGCGAGATACTGCCAGTGGGGAGAGGGGGGGTAATTGCTGAAGGAATGGGAAGAATTCAGAGACAGTCAAGGACCGAAAAAAAGTGTGGAGGCCATCACGCAATCGCTGCAATCTTCCCACCCACCCCAGCTTTTCTCCAACTGCAATGACGGGCTGGCTGACTAGGGTATACCGGAACGGCGATGAGCGGGAGACTTTTGTGATTTTTCTGCAGTTTTATCCAGGGAGCTCTCCCGATGGGAACCGGTGCTGCGTGGGGCCGGGTAGTGCCAGTTTGTTGCAACTCAGCTTCGGCGGGGATCGGGTACCGGATCGGACGCCTACGGTCTGGTTGGCAAGCCGCACACTGACAACTCACACCATCAAGATCTTGAGCCCGCAATTCTGCGGTCCGAGTGTGGATTTCTTTCTCAGTCCAAATCTTAAAGGCGTACTGGCTACGGGCACTAGCGCCACGCGGCGTCTGTCCTGAACACTGTCTTGTCGGAGTTGTACGATCGACATCATCAGCACAGTTGACCTTGCATAAATCCTGCCCATAAATATGCTTGGTATATTGCTGAATACGGTCTGTCTCATTCATCACCATGTACCTCCGTTCTATTGGCAAATCATGGATGGGGAGGTCTGCAGTGTTTGCCAAATAATTCGCACAGAGTACGCCATGCAAGGCGTCCGGCTCTCTGGGCTGGAAAAAAAAAAAAAAAAAAGCTCTGCAGGTTTCCATTAAGAAATGAAAACACATAACCAACTTTGCTTCATTCGGATTTCTGTCTCTGTGTAAAAGACTTATGTGTGTTACACTAGTGATGGGAGTTGAGCAAAATGTAGGTGACCTAGAGCAAAACTACACAACTCAGTCGACAAACAATAGTTTCATATCGTGAACGAAGAAACTTGATTGATCCAGGTGATTCAGCCCGTCCCCAGTGACTTGACGTCTTGGGACCTAAAACCCCAGCAGTATTCAAGCCGATCCAGGCTATGAAAGCTCTGATGTCTGACACTAGTTCACACCGACAGCTTTGACAAGGAACCAGCCGGCAACGACCTCACATTGTTGCCGGTCTGGGGCCGCAAGGTGTCTCGCCCGAATGTCTCGGAGGGTGATATTGGCGAGAAAATGCCCAGGAAGGCGAAGAGCTTCTGAGAGCGAAGACAGCTGCTGTTGACTGAGATGGTGGCTCCCGATCGCATCTTATCCGAGTGAACGTCTCCAGATTCTAACAAATGATGCCGTTCAAAGTCGCGATAGTTTCAATAAAGCGAAGACAGAATGTCTTGTGTTATCATCAGCGCCCGAACCCGCAGGCTTCATGTCGCAACCAGCATACGGCCCCAGCACCAGATCATCTATACTCTAAGTCAAAGCTTCATGGTACTGGATTTTAGGTTAAACGTTTCACATAAGGAAGACTCAGAGGGGGAAGATATAGACGGTCTTAGCCTGGTGTTCATGATTCTCAGACGACGCTGGCTCAGTTCCTTGGCGGCCCACATGCATCCGGTTTTAGCTATGAGAATTTGACTCAATGTATCAGAATCCCATTTATATCCACGACTTGTGAGGCAGTTTTCCAGTCACCTGTCTCACAATCTGTTATACCGCGCCAAATACGAGATAATGAAATCAAAACATGAAGCTGAAAAGTGATGTTCAATTGTGAGTTACCTCATGTACCGTATGAGAGCATAGGAGCGAGAGGATTGGAGGGTGGAGCGTGCGCCGTCGGGGAAATCCCGCTTACGTAATGAGCGCGACCCCACGCCGCCCGACAAATAAAACCAGACCAGCCGCAAAAAAATCTTCACTTCTCTCGTCCTTCGCCAAACCGAAAAAAAACCCCCCAGCAACACGTAGGCGGTTATTCGTTGACAAACCAAAAGGGATCAGACGCGGCTCTCGAGACGGTCCCGGGTGGCAATCGTTTCTCATCGGTCTTATGCAGACCTGAGACCGGGTCGTCAGCTGAGAGCCTGTCTGATCCCGCAACACTGATGGTACGTTTGTAAGATTTTTCTCACCTCGCTTCTTCTCCCACACCGTCCTTAAAGATGATACCGGGATATTTCCCATCTGTATTGATATCTTATTAAATGATTATTTATTCACACTGAAAATTCTGAATCGACACAATGATTGCTCTGTTATCAAGGAATCGCTCGGGAGGAACCGCTTGGCTAACAAGACTTTACAGGTTCCAACGGAGAAGTTCTGCAGTAGAACTTACTCATATTGTCGATGTCTTGGTTAGCTATATAGCATAATACTTACTGCCTTCTCACTTCTTTTGGATCGGGGCTCCCTGCCGTACATGTGACTACCGTTTGAAAACTCGTGATACAGGCCATTGTGAACTTGTTCCGCATCTAGCGGCGCCAGCCCAGTCAGTCTGACACCGGTACGTCGGTGAGCGCCGGGGTCGGCTGGTGCATGCCCCCCCATATCCGTGGGAATGCCCCCGAACCAATCGATGGGATACTGCATCGACAAGCCACAACAGGAAGCATGCCGGCGTCCACGCGGGTCCAAGGCTTTGGGGCTGTGAGGCCCCGGAATCCCTGAGATGTCGACAATAGTGGGCAGCAGCAGCAGTCCCCGGGGCGGAGCAGATGAGCCACGGCGGGCTGCAGGTCATGGTCAAGTGCCGGCTGTGTGCAGCGAGGCAGACAGCTCTGCAGCTGGCCAAAGTCGATGGAACGCAGGCCTTGGAAGGTAGTCGCCTTAATAGGGCGTATTAAGAAAGCGTTCCCTGGAAGCAGATCTGCGGCATCGACGGCGGTACAGCAGCGCAAGAAGAAAGTTGGTAGCGGGCGGCATGTCGTGGCAGTGAAGCAGGGCCGATCCCAACGATTGACAAGCTTTCCGAGATTGGAAGATGGTAGCGATGGGAATTTTTTTTTGAGCCCGTTGTCCTTCACATCACGGTCTCGGGCAGCAAGCGTTCTCTTCCTCGACGGCAAGACCAGACCGGACCAAACCATACCAAGCAAGACTAGACAGGGCCAGGCCAAGGTGGAGCTAGCTTGAGAGAAGTCTTCTTCGGGCTTCCCTCAGTGTTCTGGCGTTCCGGCGGGGCTGGCGCATCTAATACAGAGACAGTGACACCTGGTAGTCTACAGGTGCTCTTCCGTGCCATGACGACATGCAGCTGCGACGAAGCGGGGCAGAATATTCCAGGGTTCAGAACATGAGCATTTGTGATGAGGGATGCATTTGTGAAGAAAGACTGCGGCACACCACATCATAGACGCCGTCTGAACTGTCAAGATGGCGTGGGACGGGGAACCAAGGTTATAGATCGAGAAAACAAGAGTTCCTTCGGGAGGCAGGCATCGAACCGTGCCGCTCTTTTCTTCGTCGTTCGCCCATAGACCATTGCCACCCCCCTCCAGGCAGTGTCTCCTGCGGGGCGTCCAGTTGAAGTCTGACCAGCTGCCACAGGTGACAAGGATGGGGACGGATGACAAGGCCGCTTGAGGGGTATCGTGGCCTGTCGTTGCTCTGAGCCACCCACCCATCGAGGCTTCGGATGGCGTGCCGCACCAAGTCTGGCTGGTCACAAGGCTGCCCTGGCCTCGACGCTCAGTACTGCTTGGCCGAGAAGGCATTGTCACTTGGGGGGGGTTTTTTTTTGTTGAGGAGAGTGGATTCTAGCAGGTGCTTCGCGAACCGTGCTGCTTTTGTGTCTCGCTCGTGGACAGTTAGCACTGAAGAGGGGTGGGAGGTGTTGGGTGCTTTTTTTGGGTGGGTAAGAGCACGGCCATTACAAATGACGTAATATTGTCGACACAGTATGGCGAGGGGGCCGCGACAGAAGGTGGTCAAGTCAATGTCGTAAGGTGTCTGGCTGGACAGGTTCGGAGACGCAATAATGCAGATAGTATTACGACCTTGCATGGGCAGAAGGAAGGAAGGGGAACATTGGTTGAGAAAGCGTCTTCCAACTCCAGACCCTGCTTGGTCAGTTGCCGCCAAACGAGAAGCTTTCATTTGGGGGGATGACATGGAACCCCCTTCGAGGGTTTGGAGTTAAGCTATCCGTACCTAGGTACCTATGCAAATTTAGCACTTTACTGCAACAGGGAGTCACATTCCCATGTGCTGGCCTTGGCCTGGACCCGTCTTGAGCTGGCGGCGGGCGCCGACAAGGCCGGACTGGCCCCTCTCCCGTAGCTTAATGCCTTGGTCGGGAGAAAGGCCCAGGGGGTCGGGGGAGGGAGGACGAGTCGGGACGCCTCAAAGTAATTAGTTTAGAAAGAGACGGCTTTAATACATTGATTGCATGCCTATCCGTAGTGGGTAGGTAGGCTGAGTACCTAAGATAGGTAGGGCTACCTACCTAGAGAGGAGACGCTAGGTAAAGTACGATGTACATCACCACCTCCTGCTCCTGGTGGTGGTGGTGGTCCTGCTGGGTTGTCTGTGTCACACTTTGCCCATCCCAGCCCAACACCACGGTGCCCCTCCACCACTTCCATTTCTTGCCGTCCCTTCTTTTCCAGGTCCGTCCTCCTCCCCCCCCCCCCCCCCCCCCCCTCTCTCTGTCTCGAACCGCTCTCCACCCACTTCTCTGTCGTTCTCTCGGGCAGCACTCCCCTCTCCCCATCACTTGTACATGTCCAGTTGTGATCCTTTCACTCGCAAGACAGAAGCAATACACTAATACATCGGCTGGTATGTGTGTGTGTGTGTGTGTGTGTGTGTGTGTGTGTGTGTGTGTATGTGGTGTGTTCATTAGACAGGCTGCCTACCCGCTTCCACCCAACCAGAGACTGTCGCAGGCCCACCAGCACTACGTACGCTGCGCAGTACACACTACCCACTAGTGTCCCCTCCTCTATATACACACCATTTAATCCTGTGCTCCCCTCCGTCATCATCGCACATCCTGTCCTTATCCTTTGTGCTTGATCCCCCGCAAACCTACACCAAAAGATCTGAACCGCGTCGCCCATTTGACTTTCAGCTGCCGCATTCCGCAAACGGCATTGCCCTTCTTTCGCTACCATCGCATCCAGCGATGGCTGGAGTTTATAGAGAGTCGACCCGAGTTTACCGGGATCCGACCGACTACTCATCCGACGAAGACCGTTACAAGTCCTCTACTGTACGCCGTTACAAGGTCGGCCCCAGACGTGTTGACACGGTCGAGCGCACGGAGCGAGTCGAAATCGACGAAGACGACCGCCGATCACGCTATTCCGGCTACCCGCTGCGCAGCTCCGGCGGCTTTGCCTATGCTCCCGAGCGTCCCCGCTCCGCTTTTGACTCTCGGAGCCAGGTTGTCGAGCGCCAGGTGATTGAGCGCGAGCGCGACGTCGTCGACCCCTACAGAAGCGAAACCCGCAGCGTCGTCTCCCAAATCAATTACGAGCGCGAACGTGACCGTGACCGCAGCCGCTTCGACGACACTCGTTTCGACGAAGCCCGTAGTGCTGTCGACAACCGAAGTGTCATCGAGGTTGAGCGCGAGCGGGTTGACTGGGACCGCCGCTCCAGAGGAACCTCCCACCATCACCACCACCACCATCACCATGAGCCCGAGACAGAAGTCCGCGTCGACAAGCGTGTTGAGCGTCGCGAGGATGGCGACGTCAAGGTTGAAAAGCGTGTCGAGGAATACCGGGACGACCACGGCGGCGCAGAGGTCGAGACATACCGCAAGGAGACCGAGTACTACTCTCCCATCAGCCCTCCGCCTGTTCCCCAGCCTGTCATCATCCGCCAGCAGGCTCCCGAACCTCAGCAGATCATTGTCCAGGAGGCGCCCCCACCTGCTCCCATCATTGTCCCTCGCCAAGAACCCGGCATTGTCGTGCTGAGGGAGCGTGAGTCTCCCCGTGAAATGGTTCGTCGCGAGCCCCGCGAGGACGAGTACTATTACCGCCGAGAGACCAAAGACATCGGTCCTTACCACCGGGACGAACGTGAGTATCATTACGACCGCCGAGGCCGTGCGCGCGACTACATCAGCGACGATGAAGACTACTACATCAAACGAACCGTCATCCGCCGGAACAGAAGCTCCAGCTCCGACCACCACCACAAGCGCCATCTTGCCGAGGGAGCCCTTGCCGGTGCTGGCCTTGCAGCGCTAGCCGCAAGTCGCAGAGACGGCCGTGGCGAGATCCCCGCTAACCGCGGGAGCAAAGTCCTCGCAGGCGCTGCCATCGGTGGCTTGGGCACCGAGATTCTGAGAAGAGCCCGCAGCGCATACGAAGACACCTATCACGACGACCACTACAGGTCTCGCTCGAGATCCCGCAGCCGCAGCTCCAGGATCAAGACTGGCCTTGGCATTGCCGCCGCAGCACTCGCCGTAGCAGGCGCGGCCAAATATTACCAAAGCGGCAAAATCGAAAAGGAAGAGATGCGCCGCGGTCGGAGCAGGAACAGAAGCTACTCTGTTTCGAGCTATTCTGTGTCCCGGTCTCGCAGCCGTAGCCGCAAGAGCCGCAAGAGCAAGAGCCGCAGCCGGTCCGTTGTCAAGGCTGCAGCGGCAACTGCTGCCGCCGCAGGTTTGGTGAAACACTTCCGCGATAAGTCCAGATCCAAATCTAGGAGCCGTTCACGGTCCAAGTCCCGCCTAAGGACCGGAGCGGAGGTGGTTGCTGCCGGCTTGGCTGGAGGCGTGGCTAGTAAGATTTACAAAAACCGCAAGGACAAGAGAGAGCGCGAACTAGATCGCGAACTCAGCGATGATGAGTATGAGGAAGAAGTCCGGCGGGAACGGCGTGAACACCGTCGGTCGCGCAGCAGGTCTCAGGCCCGTTCTCTACATCCCGAGCCGCACAGCGCTGATTCCGAGCTAGGCTTAGTTGAGTACGGGGCTTCACCGCTGCCGACCGACCCGCCGTACCCTCTAGATGATGGGTATGAGTCTGCAGCGAACGAGAGGCGGCGCCGTCGACACCGACGTACGTCAGCCGATGATTACGATGACCGCGAGCCAGCGAAGAAGAGGAGCAAGAGTCGGCTGAGAGACATGGCAGCAGCGGCAGTTGGGACAGGAGCCGCCGCTATCGGGCTTAAGCAGTACCAGAAGAAGAAGGAGAGAGAGGAGGAGGAGGAGGACCTCAGGTCGAGGGAGCGAAGCGCCAGATCCCGCTCCAGAGACAGATCTGTCTCGCGCTCCCGAGGACACTCGCGAGACCGGGCATACAGCAGAGAACGAAGCACAGACCGGCCGATAAATCGGGACCGCGAAAGGGACCGCAGGAGTACGTAGAGTTGAAATGTGCATCGATTTCTGTGGAGAGCACGGCTGACAAGCTTGGCAGGGTATGAAGAAAGCGTCCGGGACGATGGGTACTACAACGATTACAGTCGTCCGCCGTCGCCGCCTCATGCGTCAGGCGGTTCTTACTATCCGCCACCGCCGGCCGCCGCTGCGGGCTTCACTCAACATCCCAACATCTCGACCGCCAACTTGAGGGAGCAGTACCCGCCGTATCCCCAAGACTATCCCCCAGGACCACCGCCAATGGGGCCTTCTCCGCCTATGGCCACTGGCGGTGCTGGGGGATATCCCCCTCCCCCGACTGGCGGTCCTCCCCCATCAGGTGGTCTGCCACCGGGGACGAGGTTCGGTCCTGATCATGTGAGTGATGACATATCTCGTAGCGCCTCACCACAAGATGCCCAGCCAGTTGGTCTGGGCCGTGAGGGTGGGTTGATCTAGTCGTTGTTTCTTTTTCTGAGACTTGAGTCGCTCCCTGCGAACCGGCGGCTAACATTATCTTGTAGATGGTCTAAAATGGAGAGAGCGTGTCGAACAGTTTCTGCCGCCAGGTTCACTATCCCGGCCTCAGTCTCAGCCCCAGCCTCGACCCCGGCCGCGGTCCTCTCCGTCGTCTTCGGAATCAAGCTCTGTGTCTGAAAAACGCGCCCAGGTGCCGCGTCACTCATCTTCCAAATCCGTCACCTTCATTCCACTTTCCCCTCAATCGTCGCAAACTCTGCGTCGTCATCGTCTAGAACATGAGCAACATGCGGAGCAGGAGGCCAAGAGGGAAGAAGAACCACCTGCGCTCAGTGAAGAGCAGTTGGAAAGTCTGCGGCCTGTTCTCAACCGCCGGCGCTCCTCGTCAGACCCTTCTTCCAGCAGGCCGCTAGCCGCTCGTCGCAAACGAGAACTGGACTCTCCTGAACCAAGTGACGAGGTCGAGGTCTTACCTGATCGATTTGACTCCGAGGGCCGCCCCCTTGGCAGTGCGGGAGCCATGCGGTGGAGGCAAGGCGCTTTCGAAACCCGACTGCGGCACGGCAACGGCTGGCACTCGAGCGGGGCGTGGGCTGTCGGCGGTACAGACGAAGATATGGTGCAGAGAGTTGCAGGCGATATTGAAAACATGATTAGTGGGCAAGGTAGCTGGAAGAGTCTGTTGAAGGATGTTGTCGGAATTGTCCAGGAGGTGCAACAAGGTGGGCAGTCGCGCAGGATTGAGGATACGGACGAAGAGGAGGACCGTCACGGCCGGCAGCGGAGGAGGAGGAGGAGGAGTAACTGACGACTTACGACTGATTTGATTTTTCGATTATTTACGCCCTCTTGTACGCGGGGGTGCCTTTTCCTATACCTGACCTGACCTTGGGGTACTTAGATATGATATGACGGGAATTCTAACGACTTATGATTCTGCTTCAAAAAATATTTTACGGACAAGATGGCATCAATAGAAACATGAAAATACATAGAGCTTTGCTGAACATATCTGATAGATTTTCCAATCTTCCAAAGTACAAAAGCTGTTGGAGACGAGAGCATCGGATAAGGCAGACCTATGTACACATGCTGTTTTGGCCATCGTCTATTTCTCTATATCTCACTTCATCTACATGTTTCATCATAACTCGTCGTGCACCACGGGCTTCTCTGGCCGCCCGCTGTCCTTGTGTAAGTCGACGCCGATCTTGCCCCGCCATTTCTGGAAGACGCTCCAGAGCTCCTTCTCCATGCCCGACTCCATCTGGTCCGGCAGCACCACGACGTAGTCGACGTACAGATTGCCAAACTCGGTCTTGTGGTAGACGCTGTCGCCGTCCTCGTGGTACACGGGCATGCCCTCGCCCTTGACCGTCTCCACGTGGCCCGGCTGCACGACCTGGCCCCTGTCGCGGCCGAGACGCACGATGTGTCCGTCCAGATGGGTCAGGTTCCGCGTCCAGTCTCCCATCCACGCCTCGCGCAGCGAGAGGACCTCTGTCCAGTACAGGTCGTGGTCCTTGCGCCTGAAGAAGGTGCCGTCGACGCGGTCGGGGTTGTCCTGCTCGAGCTCCGGCTCCTTCTCGGCCAGCGTGACGACCAGGTTGCCGGCGACGTAGTCGGGGCTCGCGTCCGCCTCGTTCTCGTACACGATCTGGCTGTCCCTCGCGGCGCCCCGGGCGACGGTGAGCTGGACCGTCGTAGGCTTCCGCACGACGCGCGCGCCGCCGCAGGTGCGGCACTTGTGCTTGATACTCTGGCCGCGGCCGCCGCAGGCGTCGCACTGCATCTGGACCTGCTGGAACATACCGGGGGCGAGCTGGTGCTTGACGATGCGCACGCCGCGGCCGCCGCAGACGCCGCATGTGTCGACCTTGCCGTCGGCGGAACCGGTGCCGTCGCAGTCCTCGCAGATGTGCTGCTTGTCCCACTGGAACTCGGTGTTGACGCCGTTGTAGAAGTCGCGGAGGGAGATGCCGATGCGCACGTTTACGTCCTGGCCGCGGCGCTGGCCTTGGCCGCCAAAGTGACCGCCGCCGCCGAAGAAGCGGGAGAAGACGTCGAAGGGGTCGTGGCGGTGGCCGCCGCCGCCCTGCTGCTGCTGCTTGAGGCCCTCGTGGCCGTACTGGTCGTAGATCTTGCGGCTTTCGGGGTCGATAAGGGCCTCGTAGGCCTCCGAGACTTCGACAAACTTGTCCTTTGCGGTGGCGTCGCCGCTGTGAGAAAGGGATTGTGAGTTTCCGAAATCAAAGGGAGAAGGGTGGAGGGAGCAAGTATTCTAGAATTAGAAGACTAAAACGTACGGGTTCTTATCGGGATGGTATCTCTTGCTCAGTTTACGGTAGGCGGACTTGATCTCGCGGTCCGAGGCGGACTTGCTGATGCCGAGGAGGTTGTAATAGTCCTCGGCGCAGAGAGCCAGCTGGGCGAGGCATAGGAGCAGCAGCACGAGTGCTGCCCCTCGGAAGAACATCGCGCTCCCCTTTGGTGTATTTCGTTTGGGAGGTGGGTTATAAGAAGTGGAAAAAGAAAGAAAGAACGCTTGGTATTTCTCGTATTAAGAACAGCCTGGTGTTCTCAAGTCCTCGAGAAGCGACGAGGGGGGGGAAGAGAAGGGGTCCTATCAAGGATCTGGCGGAGGAGGAAAGGGGATGATTGTAGAAGACATCGACTAGAACCAAGCGCAATTGGGAGCCAGCTTCTTCTCAAAATGTAAAGTTCCAACGTGTTAAGAAGGGAGCTGGAGAGGTCCGATAAGACATGTTATCGACGCACGGTCATTGGGCGGCAGCTTCTATGCAGCATCCGCCCCACACCTGGCTGCAAAAGATGTGGGCCCCGTGGAGGTTCAGATGAATGCGCAGAGGCACACGCCAGGGAAGTCAACCGAGGCCTCAACTTCCGTGACTTGACATCGCCAGGCAGTGCTCGTGCTTGCCTCGAATCCTGTTCACCATACACACCTGAGCCGCCTTTATCGATTCACAAGCGCGTCTTCTGGGGGGTTCTAATTGCCACACACAGCTATGGCGTCAAAGAAGTACGCCTTCCTCCCAATGGAGGACGACGAGGTCGGTCCAACGAAGGTGGTCAAGGATAAGAAGAAGCACAAGTCGCGCCACCGAGATCGCTCGCGTGAAAGGGAAAGGGACCATGGCCGCAGCGAGCGAACGTCGAGACGCCGATCACGGTCCAGATCGCCCGCCCGACCGTCGAAACAGTACCGCAAGAGGGATGCCGACACCGACGACAGGTGGGCGGACGAGGAACCACCATCGGACGCCGACGAGATTGAGGATAATCAGGAGAACGACTTCCAGGAATCAGCATCCAAGCGCGTCAAACTCAGCCACGATGATCGAGACCGCGACGGCGACCTGTCGGATGGCGCGAAAGAGGAGTTGGAGCGCCAACGCGACATTGAGGAACGCGAGGCCTTTGCGAAACGGTTGCGCGAGAAGGACGACAAGAAATCGTCCAAGGCAGGCGCCGAGAGCAGACGGCCGGAAGTGGACCGCAAGGCGAACATGGAGGAGCTGCGCATGAAGAGTCGGCAGATGTACCTCGGGAAACGAGAGGCCGAGAAGCTTGCCCTGCTGCGCAAGCAGGTCGCCGAGGAGACAGAGGAGCTCAGGAGCGGCGTCAGGTTGTCGGAAAAGGAGAAGGCCGAGTTCGCCAAGAATCGCGAGATTCTGCGGTTGGCGGAGGAGCGTCTCAAGATTGACGACCACACGGACGGGTACTACATACCGGAGGACTACATCACGGAGAAGGGAAAAATCGACAGGAAGAGAAAGGAAGAGGCCATGTACAAGAGGTACGTGGAGAAGGACGAATACGGACAAGAGAAGTTCGTCACGGAGCACGAGGAGTGGGAAAGGGAGCAGGCGACCAAGGCCAAGGCGCAGATTCAGAGGGCCGAAAGGGACAATGACGACTATTCGTACGTCATGGACGAGGAGCAGTACATCAAGTGGAACCTGGGGTCGAGTTTGCCTGGGGAGGGCAAGCTGACCAAAGAGCAGCAGTTTCTGGCAGCTCAGATCGAGGCGGCCGAGAAAAAGCAGCTCTCTATCCAGGAGACGAGGAAGAGCCTGCCCATCTACGCATACCGAGATGACTTCATCGCGGCGATAGAGAAGTACCAGATCCTCGTCATCGTCGGAGAGACGGGTTCCGGAAAGACGACGCAACTGCCGCAGTATCTGCACGAGGCTGGGTACACCAAGAACGGCATGAAGGTCGGGTGTACACAACCGCGTCGCGTGGCTGCGATGAGTGTTGCCGCGCGTGTGGCGGACGAGGTTGGCGTCAAGGTCGGACAGGAGGTCGGCTACTCGATCCGTTTTGAGGACAACACCAGCGACAAGACGATCCTGAAGTACATGACGGATGGCATGTTGCTGAGAGAGTTCATGACAGAGCCCGATCTCGCGGGGTACTCTGCCATCATGATTGACGAGGCTCACGAGAGGACTGTCCACACGGATATTTTGCTTGCGCTGGTCAAGGACCTGGCGAGAGAGAGGCCGGATCTGAAACTGCTCATTTCGTCCGCAACGATGAACGCTGAGAAGTTTGCCGCCTATTTCGACGACGCCCCCATCTATAACATCCCCGGACGAAGATACCCGGTCGACATTTACTACACACCCGCTCCGGAAGCCAACTACCTGGCCGCTGCCATTACGACAGTATTCCAAATCCACACGACACAGGGCAAGGGCGACATCCTCGTGTTTCTAACGGGTCAAGACGAGATTGACGCCGCCGAACAGCAAATAGCAGACACGGCGAAAAAGCTAGGAAGCCGTATCAAGGAGCTGGTGATTTGCCCCATCTACGCCAACTTGCCATCGGAACTACAGGCCAAGATCTTCGAGCCGACGCCCGAGGGCGCCCGCAAGGTTGTTCTGGCTACTAACATCGCCGAGACGAGTTTGACCATTGACGGCATCGTCTACGTCATCGATCCGGGTTTCGTCAAGGAGAACGTCTACAACCCGGCGACGGGCATGTCCAACCTCGTCGTTACGCCCTGCTCGAGAGCGTCGGCGAACCAGAGGAGCGGCCGCGCCGGTCGCGTTGGCCCCGGGAAGTGCTTCCGACTGTACACCAAGTTTGCCTACATGAACGAGATGGACGAATCACCAATGCCCGAAATCCAGCGAACAAACCTCAACGGCGTCGTGCTTCAGCTCAAGTCCCTGGGCATCAACGAGTTGCTCGACTTCGAGTTCATGGACCCACCTCCCACTGAAGCGCTCATCGGCGCGCTGAACCAGCTCTTCGCCTTGCAGGCGCTCAACCACAAGGGCGAGCTCACAAAGATGGGTCGGCAGATGGCTGAGTTCCCGACGGACCCTATGCTCGCCAAGGCGGTGCTCGCCGCCGACAAGGAGGGCTGCGTCGAGGAGGTGCTCTCGGTCGTGTCGATGCTCAGTGAGGCATCGGCGCTCTTCTTCCGGCCCAAGGACAAGAAAATTCACGCCGACAGCGCGCGGGCGCGGTTCACCGTCAAGGAGGGCGGCGATCACCTCACCTTGCTCAACATCTGGAACCAGTGGGTCGACAGCGACTTCTCGCCTATCTGGGCGCGCGAGAACTTCCTGCAGCAGCGCTCCCTCACCCGGGCCCGCGACGTGCGCGACCAGCTCGCCAAGCTCTGTGAGCGCGTCGAGGTCAGTCCCTCGACGTGCGGCGCGAGCAACCTGCAGCCCATCAAGCGGGCGCTGACGGCCGGCTTCTTCCCCAACGCGGCGCGCCTGCAGCGCAGCGGCGACAGCTACCGCACTGTCAAGAAGAACGCTACCGTCTACATCCACCCGAGCTCCGTGCTCATGGGCGTCGACCCGCCGGTCAAGATGCTCGTCTACTTTGAGCTTGTGCAGACCACCAAGGAGTACATGCGCAGCTGCATGCCCATCGAGCCCAAGTGGCTGGCGGAGCTGGCGCCGCACTTTTACAAGCAGAAGGACATGGAGGCGATGGAGGACAAGAAGATGCCCAAGGCGAGGAACTACGAGCGGTAAACTCCGAGAACCGAGGCGTTGAAGGAAGGGGTGGGCCCAGCGGCTGGCGGAACGGCGGGTTTTAGCCCAGATTGAATAAGTCGAACGAATTCATGTCCAAAACGCTTGACTCACGCCACTGTCTGCTGGGATTTCTACGAGCGGTTTGCCCATTTCCCTATTTTCCGATGGTGCAATTTATCTGTTCCTCGCGAGTCTCGACTAACACCGCCCACCCACGTCGACCGACGGCCAGCCGGTCCGGGTTTCACATGTCGCCGTCCGGACGCCGGCGCACCAGCAACGCTTTCCCCTCCATACCGCTCCCCCCTCCTCTGCGTCTCCCCTACCTCCATCCCACAAGGTCGAGATAAGTATACATCCATGTACCAAAAAAAAAAAAAAAAAAAAAACCACGACGTGAATGACGTCGTTGCGACCTGGATCATGACTGTATAGGCCACACTCTGCGCGTTTTGCAGTCGTCCGAATCCAAATCATTCCATTTTATGTAACGTGAAAGGCCATAGCCCGAGCCATGACGGCACAAGGGGGGGAGGGGGGGACGGGTATCGACTTTCGCTCCCATGATGCGTCCTAGAGGAGGAGAGAGGAGTCATAGGGGAGTCGCGGCGTTCACTTTCTCGCTCGCAGGAGAGAGGAGGGCGGGGTGGATTCTAACATCCGAGACATCCACGAGAAAAGCTCGCGTCCGTGACAGCTTAGCTTTTTTTTTTTCTTTTTCTTTCTTTATTCCCCCACCCTCAAACACGGTTCCCACCTTAGGGGGCCATACCAAGCAAGACCTGTCCGGATGAGCGCCTAGCGCCAACGGTCATCCACGTGTCGAGAGCAACTGGCACGGTCTTGGGCCTGACAGGTGACAGGAGAGGGGAGGGAACCCTTGATTAGGTAGAGAACGAGGGGGAGAGAGAAGAGGAATCACTTTAGACAGTCTAAAGGTTTTTTTATTCGAGTTACTGCCCGAATTCCCTCCGGCCAAGATAAAAACAAAAAGTACAAATAGAAAACAGTCCGTCACAATCTTGATTGCCTTCGCCCTAGGAAGCGTATGCGCGTGTCGATGGAAGAATAGAAAGTGCAACTGATCCAGGCCCGAACCGTTTTAGAGACGGGAAGAAATGAGGTCCCTCATCTCGAGGAAAAGAAGATAGATATCTTGCTACACCAACGCACCGCGCTTACACACGCACGCACACGCACGCACACACACATACGCACACACACCAGAGACCATTCGAATGAACATGGCATTCCATCTTTCTTTACCCCTTCAACTCCAAACCAATACTTGTAAACAAATGCAACAGTCTCCCTCCCTGATCCGAGAACCAGTCTGCAGAGGACTGCTCGGCCTTACTCAAACGCATTCCGAGGAGAATAAAATGTCATCCGTGAAATAAACCCGTGCGATAGAAACGTCCACTTTGGTATCAATGGTTCTCCGTTTGCCTCCGACTCCGTACCTGTATACTTATTTTCTTTTCTTTGGTTTTCCTTCGTTTTCTTGTTCGTCTGCAAGTTATCAACGCGAGGGTCCCTCAACCGGGCTTGTGGGGAAGCTGCGCACGCCGCTGAGATCCGAGCTTCCCGTGCGCCTCAGCGCCTGCGTCATCGTCTCAATGTTAAGATCGCCGCTCACGTTGAGATTGTGATGGGACGAAATGGGGCTGCCCAGAGATTTCCGGCCAGGGGACATTTCAAATCCCTTGACGGATGCTGGGTTGCTCGTCGGCGGCGAGGTGCCCAGGCCTTGCGATGACACGGGCGACCGGATGGGCGAGGGCGAGCGAGCATTGATGGACGAGAGAGATGTCAGACCAGCAACGTGCGCCGAGTCCCGTGAGCCTCCTACGCCGGCGAGGCCGCCGTGCTCAGCTTGCACGACATCGGCGAAGGAGATGAAACTCAGTCTTCGGACGTCGGCGTTATCGAGCGAATTGAAATTGGATGCGTCGTCGCGGTCGGCAAATGCGCGGAGCTCGTCTGTCCAGGATGCCGACATGGAATCGGCGGCATGGGGCGTTCCACTTGAGCCAGTCACGGCAGCTGCGGCGGGTTGGTGCTGAGCATGGGTGATGATCTCGACGGAGTCCGGGTCGAGGTGGCTATCGGTGATGGCCTCGGATGACGCATCTAGGACGGGCGGAATGTGGTTTTCGGTTTGGATGTGCGACGGGATGGCAGGCGACTGAGGCTTGATTGACATGTTGTCGACATCTCGTTCAAAGATCTGAGAGCTTGCCGGCGAGATCATTCGCGGGGAGGCGGACATTCCGCGACCTGGCGACGCAGAGTGGTCGCCAACGTAGGGTGATGCCGCAGATCGAGCCGACGTTTGCGAGGGGTCTCGTGACAAGTAGGGGTTGCTGGTCACATTATTGGGTGCCGACTTGTTGGAGACGTTGGGCTCTTCCTTCTTTTTCCCCAGCCCGAACAGCCCGCGCATTTTGTTCTTCACATCTTTCTTACTGCCGTCCGTATCTGAAGTGCGATGACTCGAAGAGCGGGACGTCGCATCGCCGCCTAGTCTGTCGGCGCCGACGTGGACGGCAATGGAGGGGTTCATAGCCGTCTGGCCAGCGCTGATGGGTGCTGCCTGTGCTAGACTCATGGTGATACAGAGTTGTTTAGGTTGAGTGGTGTTTGTTGGGGTGTAAGGTGTGTAAGGTGTCTGCGCTAGTAGGTTTGCCGACAGCTTGGTGACTTTTTTTTCTTCGTTTCTTTCGGGTTGGGTGGGCTTGTTCTATCAAAGAAAAAAAAGATCAAGTTAATGAGATTGTCTCTCTTACAAGCAGGGACCCGGGCGTTGACGTTATGTTTTGTAGACCCAAGAGGGAGAGGGGGAAGGACGCAAAAGGAACGAGTTTTGGGAAAGCAGGTGGTGGGGGGGGGGACAATAGATTGGCTTGGTGGCCCTGTGACCCTGATTGACGTCGATTCCCGCGATTCGCCCTTTTTGGGGGGAGGGGGTCACTGCAAGGGAAGGGGAAAGTGGAATGAGGGGGGGGGGAGGGGGGTGTGCAAGTTCCGTGGTTGTCACAGGCGAAGGGCGGACATCAGCAGCAGCAACGCCAGCTGTGCCACCCCCAACTCCGAATCAAAGGTTGGCCTGGTGAACATAGGGTGGGATGTGCGTTTGGGCGGGATAACAATATCGAGATGTACATACCGGGAGGGGTTCGAAACCGACCGTTGGTTTAGCCTCGCTGGAAACAGAGGGAAGAGCCAGGAATGGGCACAATTTTTTTACTGATTTTTTCCCTCTTCTTTCCCCTGCGTATGGAAAATGCTCGGCGGAGGAGTTGGGAATGAGACTAGCCGTTGTGTTGCGTTGTGTTGCGTTGGGCGTGGTGAAATGGGACGATTTACACGGAATGGCGTTTCTCGTTTTCTGCTGTCGGCTACTAACAAGGTTCGCGAGTCTTCGCCCTTCTGACTACCAACGGACTTGGTATCTATTGTGGATGCTGTCTTCTTGTGTCGTTTTGCTGGAGTGACTCCTTTATTTTGTCTTTTCCTCCGAGGCCGAAGGGTAGGTATCTGCCGCAGCAGGCGTAGTAGCCAGTCAGTCGTCGTCGAAAAATGGCGCCCGATCCAGACCACCCCCAGAAAGAGAGACAGAAGTCAACAGCCGCGAGCAACAGGTCGGGTCCCCTGATTGACGAGCGAATCTGGAGACAGTGTGACGCAGCGGCCGAGGGCGTCTGTCTGGTAAGCAGGTTGGGAGCCCTGTTCAGGTGTGCTGATCTGCAAGAGAGGCAGAAGAGGCGGGACCGGGGTTCGCTGCGTGTCCTGTTCAACTTTGGTGGTTGGAGATGGATGAGTTCGCTTGGGTCATGGATGGCTGGCCCGGTTGTTCGGTGGAGTACCTCTCCCTCTCCCTGGGTGGATGGATGTACGAGTACCCGTGGATGCAATGCGCCCAAGGTCACGGGTGTCGTTGGGCTTTCCCTGTGAGTTCGCAGTGTGGTCGGCGAGAGCTATGATAGGAGGCGTGGGAGGACAAAGTACAGACTCGCAGAAGTCTTCTAGACCACCTAGGTAGGTATGATGATTGCGGAAGGGAAGAGGCTCAGGAGAAAGGAGATGGAGTCGGAAGAGGAACAACGGCCCATCTATCTAAGTAGATATTTATCTTATTCCGGAGATTAGGAGGTGAGCAGCGAGTTCTTCTTTTCCTCTTTTTTTTTTTTTTTTTTTTCCTCTCTTATAATTTATTTAGTCTTCGGCCGTTCGTCCTCGCACAGGTTCCTTCTGCAAGCCAAAACTAAACTGCCACTAAGGGCAAAATCATCCGCCGGTCACCCGTCAACAACGCCCTGGCAGCTTGTGAGAAAGGGGGCGCCAGTCAGTCACGTCCGGTCCCCCCTCGTATCGCGTAGTTGTTTACACGTACAGGATCGGCAGAGTTCGTGCAGTGACGTGATAACTACCGCACGAAGGAGGAAAGGAAGGAGGCAGTGACATGCTGCGTGCAACCTCTCCATCCATCACCTCCCTACTTACAAACAAACACAAACACAGACACTCAATTACACTTCTGCCCAACTATCTACAGTACGGACAATCGGCACCACTAACCCTCTAGTGATGCACAGCCGCTCTTCGCCGGACCTGACTACCCCCCTCTCTCCCGTTGTCGCGTGTCGCGTATCCATGAATGAAACGATGATGAAAACAGCTAGCTACTCCGTCCGAAAGTAAGGTATTTTTGAGCCCGAATCTCGTTAACGCTGTTCAAACCAATCACCCGTCCGTATCGCCACTCCGTCATCTTTCTATCCAATCTTTGGGCCTCCCCGCTAGCATCCGCAGCCTCTGATGGCTTCAGTCTTTTTTATTCTCTCTTCCCCTCCCTCCCTGTCTCCTTTCTAACCTTTTCTTCTTTGCGCCTGGCGTCAGGGGGGAAACAACGACGACGACGACGACAACAACATGGCCTCGCGCCCTGTGGCGTGAGTCGGGTCCAAACGTTACGTGGGCTGATTTCGATTGACCATCCACCGCAATCTGTTTGGAACGCGTCCTTCTCCCCTTCTCGGACCCTTTCTTTCTTTTTCTGCCCAGTCTTACACATGCGTTGCTCGTTTTCCGAGTTTCTCATTGATTCCCTTCCACTATAGCTAATTTCCTTTCTGCCTTGAGCTCAGCTCTTGGGCATTTCCGTCGTCGTACAAATCCGGGCTTTTTCACTGGCCAGTTGAGCACAGCTTTAGCTTGGCCCACCACAATGCCATTCTCGACCCTGGACCCCTTTTCTTTTCTTTTCTTTATTTCGCAATGCAGGCACTGAAGTGGAATGTCTTGGACCCAAAAATATCCGCGGGGGATTGTTTCGTCGTCCTCCTCGGGTCCTTTGTTTGTTTGTATTCGCAACCGCTTCTCGACCCTTCTCCGGTCCCGCAATGCTCTATCCCAGATCTTTGACTCGCGCACCCCTCAAGCGGCAAATGCCCCGTCATGGATGAAGACCATCCCAGGGATGCCCACCGTCTGAAGTAAAGACGTAACGTGACTACCCCCGGTAACAGCCATCAAACCCCAGAAATCCATTCGCCGTCTCTCAACTTCTCATGCCCCGAGCCCGGGGCATTGAATGGAACATGACCGAACAAACATCGCAGAAGGGGGTATAGGGATAGTCCCCTTCAGACGGAGAAGGCCGTGAGTGCATGTCAGGAAGTTGACGGCGTTAGACGAATCACATCTTGGTTGCGTGCCAAACATCGACTCTGCCAACACTGCTGTTCCCTGTTTCCGCGCCCCTTCTTCCCAGATCCCTTCCCACATGGTTCCTCTCGGACGTCTCTCTATCTCTGCGCTCCACACCTTCATCGCTTCTCCTCCCTATCAGCCTTGATCTCCGCCGCGTTCCCCTCTACATTGGCATTTCCCTACAGGTCTGGCCTCGAGGGAAAAGCCCCAGTCACCAAGCTGGCCGCGAGAGCCCGCGAATGTGTCCGCCTGGGAAACAGCGGTCATGACCAAGGGCTGCCCCTCCCTCCGCCTCGTCTTCGGCTTACCGCCTAGGAGCGAACTCGATCAAAGCGATAGTACCCTCCTACGGGTCTATGCATGTGTGTACTGTCGATGGCAAGGCAGGGCACGAATCCCTGTGTCAATCGCTGAGGTGGTCCCTCTTTCCAGCCTCGCTTTTCCAGGAAACCGGGGCCCCTGTGCGAAAAGCATACGCACGTCACTCGGCACTCGCATGAACAACACCAATGCAGAGAACTGCCAGCGGGAAACCCTTTCAAAGCACAGCGACTACGTAGCCAAGGCGGTCCCGCTCGTGATCCCGTGAGATAACTCTCCTAGATGCCTCGGCCAAGCCACCTCCAAGGGGGGCGCAGAAGAAGGGAAGAGAAAGCCTCAAAGCTTAAAAAGAAGAAGAGGGAGAGAAAGAAAGAAAAAAAGACGCATTCCCAACCAAACGGAGATCTGACACCGTGCCTGACGGCGGCGGTCAGAAAGCCTCAAGTGACAGACACGAAGTCAAATCGGCTGCAAGATCCGACCTTCGTTTTCTCCGCACTTTCTCGCTATTAGCCTTTTCTTTTTTTTTTTTTTTTTTTTGTACAACCGCCGGGTGCCACGACACGAAGAAAGTGATCAGGTGTGTTGGCTGCGAGCTGGCTGCGAAGACGTCACATAGGCGAACGAACGGCGCAACCTTGGTCAAACTTGAGTCTACAGACAAGCTGATATTGTCCCCCCCCTGTCAACCCGAGAGTACCGTGCACGATAACAGCGATAAACCTCATCCTAAAGGCTGCAGGTTCAAATCCAGTTCAAATCCAGTTTTCTTAGATTTTTTTAATTCCAAAACGGCTCCGCCGGGGAGGGTTGGAATGGTCTAACCCACCCTGCTTCCTACGCTGCGCTCCGGGTCGGGATGGGCCAAGACCATCCCTTTTGCCTCTAGAGATAGTTGTGTTATCACTAAATCCACTGTCTGCTGAGCTTTATTGCTGTTATTGTGCACGGTACTCTCGGGTTGACAGGGGGGGGACAATATCAGCTTGTCTGATCACTCGTCAAACTTTGGATCAAGTCGCCTGGGAGCATCGATTCCCCGAGCCAATCACGTGCTTCATCATGTGATCTAGCTTATGCTTCTTAGCTAATCATACATCGCCTCGGGTTTCGACAAATGAGAAGAGTAGAATAATAGAGCTGCCTGTCTGTATTACTTAAGCAATTCCTTCCTTTCGGGACAGCTTGTTCCACAATCTTACCTAAGCCAAATTACCATCGCGCTTTCGAAAAACTTCAGATCGTCACCTCAGGGTCCCCGTGAAGAGCCAGCTAGCACGCGACACCCGACTCACGCGCCTCGCCCGTCCGAGCATCACGCCTCCCTTACTCCTGCCGTCGTCTTCTCCACCATCTCCCTCTGAAGCGACGCTGGCCGTGCCTCTGTCCAATCGGTCACAATCGCAGTCGCCCAGCGTGTCCCCCCTTGGCTTCTAAAACGACCAACAACCCTCAGGAGGCTCTCGAGCTCGACGAATCCACAGTCCATCCCCGACTTCCCTCCAATTCCATCCCCACGACCTCCTCCCTTACGAACCCCCCGAAAAAAAAAAACCATGGAGGCCAGGACGTTAACTAGACCGGCCACCACGCTGGCGGCCCTCCTCCGCCAGCAGACCGCCGCCGTCTCCGCTCCCCCCCGGCGAGGCCACAAGACCTTCTCCCGCACGAAGCGCTCCCTCAACATCCCTCCCCACCCCGACTTCCTCCCCGCGGCCCCGGCCGCCGGCGACACAATCATCTACAACCCGCCCTCGGCCGCCCCCTCCGTCTACCACACCCCCTTCAAGTTCCTTCCGCCGTCCGACCCCCGCCGCCGCGCCAACCTCTCCTCCCTCTTCGCCAACTCCTCAGCGGCGACATCACAAACGACGCCGTCGTCGTCGGCCGCGAGGTCCCTCCCCCCGGCCCTTGACGTCCCTTCCCGCGGCCCCAAGCCGCGCTACCACCTCTCCCGCGAGGACGTCGCCGAGATCCGCCGCCTCCGCGCCGAGGACCCGGGCTTCTGGAGCGTCACCGCCCTCGCCCGCAAGTTCGACTGCTCCGAGACCTTTATTACCATCTGCACCCCCGCGCCCCGCGAGCACAAGGAGCGCCTCGAGCGCAAGCTCGAAGGCGTCAAGAGCCGCTGGGGTGCCATCCGCACCAAGGCCCGCGAGGACCGCGCCCGCCGCAAGGAGATGCTCTTCCGCGGCGAGCTTTAAAGGCGAGGGGAGAGGAAGGGATGAGACGGAACGGGGCCTTGGGCACGTCACGAATATAGGCCGTCTTGAAGAAAGAGATGACCCAAGATGCAAACATCAAGGTATGCCGCCAAATCGGAGAAAGGTGTCTAAGTATGTACCAATACGGGACGAAAAAGGGGAGAGAGAGGTATGGCACTTCCACTGTTTGTACCATCACATCGCAATGAGTATCAAAAAAGGGGGGGGTCGAGGTACTGTAGGATAGAAGCAGGGCATTTGCGGGTTGCCGATGTGACTGAAACCCCACCCAAACATCTGTACAATGAGTAAAAGCTATAGAAACTCGTGTATAATTTTCCCATGTCGACTTCGCCGCGTCGTCATATACACTGAAATGCTCGTCTTCGTGGATGGGCCCCCTGACTGGGACGGCCGATGGCGCCTACGCTTTCACAGATATGCTCCCTCCAACAGAATACTGGCTGTTCCGGGCATCCCCCCCCCCCCCCCACAGGCTGTTCATTTCGAGGCACTTTGCCTCGGACCGATTCCTCATTTTGGCTATCCTCGTGCCCCTGATCCCACTGTCCATCCCTGACGCCGTATAGGAGGAGTTCCATAACAGCATTACTACCTCTCTCATACCTAACTGTCATAGAAAATGAAAGTCAAAACATTACAATGAAAGTATATCGTTTATCCAACTGTCAAAGTTGGCTCATCTTAATACCAACCTTTGCCAAATCGGCTTCACCAGGAATCACTCTGTAGCACCAGCCGCACCAGCTCCTCCTGGTGCCTTTGACCTCCCTCGCGAGGATTTTGTGCTGGCTTTTCTCGTCGTCCCACTCGGGCACGCAAGCGCCGACCCTCACCATTCTGATGAGTTTGGTCTTGACACAGCCACCGATGCCCTCGATCTCGTGCCTCTCATACCCAGGGCCGAGCTGAGGACTCGGCGTCCGTTCGTACCGCACCGTATCCAGATGCACCTGGTCCGTGGCCGTCCATAGGTTCGCGCCGCTGACAGCTGCATCCTCGGCGTCACAGTCGGTCTCGTTCTCGCGTTCTTTTGCTCCGGCGCAGGCGCTCTCGCGGCCACAAATTACACCGCGGTCACCCTCACCGATGCCCGTTCCCAGGCCGCCAAGCACTTCGCCGTAGTGGGCTCGCCACTTCCAGACGCTGAACAAAAGCTGTCAGTGTATCGAGCTTTGTGTGTCAAGTTCGAAGGGCCGGATTCATACCGCTGATAGTCGTGATCGGCACCGCGCATGCTCCGCCCACAAGGCTGGCAAAGCCAGACGCCGTCGATTTCGCACCGGCAAATCTCCCGTCTCACCGCGTCGTCCACGAGAGACGTGTCGGGTTCCAGTGCGTCGTTGACAAGTGTCGCGATGGGAGCCTTGGTGCATGGATTACACAACCTGCGATGTCGCTCCCGAAGGGCGTTGTGGGCTGGAGGCTTGATAGCGCAATTCTGTTGCCAGTGTCAGCGATCAACTGTGCTCGGTCATCTCCATCATCGTTCCCCCGGCCATTGCCTAAAACCCTTGGTCTCCGCTCTCGCGACTATGAGGGGGACCTCGCGGAAGAAAGGCCCAAGGGCATGTGGCTCGGCATAGGACAGCATACCCTGCACACAACGGTCCTGCACCTTCGACACTCCGTTACCAGGTCCCGGGCACAGCTGCCGCTCTTGCCGTTGTAGTTCCGGCCGTCTTCCATATAATACCAATTGCCTGCCCTTGCGCGAAAGCGGAAGGTGGACTCTGGGTCGACAGGTACGTCCTCATTGGAACAGTGCAGCGTCGAGGATAGAAGGATGGAGCGGTACTGCAGCAAGCCACGGCGGACCTGACGCGAGGTGCGGGCTAGGCTGTCGAGGGTGTTGAGGTCGATGTGTTTAGCAATGGACATGACGATACTGTATAAGGATTCGACGTCAGCCACGGTGGCAATGGGCAACACGTAGCAATGTGTACGGTAAGCTTACGGATAGCAGCCAAAAGCCTCGGTAGCAGCACTCCGAAATGTCGGCGTTGGCTCTGGTGCGGGAACGGACGCCACTGATACAAGCGGAGCGCTCGCCGGCTTCTCGAGCTCACGACCAAGCTCACGACTGCTTGGTTCCAGTGAATCAGTCGCGACCGCGGCAGCAGCTGCCAGGCGACGCGCCTCGAGCACATGAAGGGGCTCCATGTCCTCATCGAGATCAACAAAGACAACCATGGCGGACAAGCGGCGGCAGGATCAGGGAAGCTAATTGAAGATTTGGAACGGACAAGCAATGGGCGAGAGCTTGCTCTGCTGCCGATCTCCTCTCGGTCCCTGGACACCGAGCCGAGCTTCAGCTGTGAGTAAGGATTGACGGGCGGGGTGGGGTTCGAGATTCCCCCCGATGCCGCAGCTTCTCTGATTCCCCGCTGGGTCAGGTAGATGACGCAAGGCAGATCTCAGGAGATGCTGTGGAGAAACAAAGCAGGAAAAGAGAAGAGTGAGTAAAATGTGAAAACAATACGTTGCGGACACAACACTAGAAGAGAGGGGTTTCAACCTCCGAGTCCATCGCAAGTTGGCGATGTTGAGCTGAGAGCACCGCGATAATAGGTAGGTAGGTAGGTGAGTGATGGAAGTGTGATGTGGGGTTGGGAAGACGAGAGAATCGCTGACCGGTTGGAGAGGCCCAGGCCAGAGATTAGATCAGCTCGAGGAGGAGAGAGCGTCAGAGAACACAGTTACCTACCCAAGCGCACAGTGAGGGAAGGCATCAAGATCTCGGACGAGAGATGAAAGAGAGAAACGCCCAAGCTAGCTTCTCGGCACGATAGGCCGGCCAGAAACAACGGAAGACAAACCCCCCCCCCCCCCAAGATCGTGTACCGTCGTGCTGCCACCCCGATCAAAAGATACACATGCACTCTCCGCGGCCTACATGCCTTGGTTGCACTTGGGGATGGCGGCATTCGCTCGTGGCGCTCTTAGCGCCAGCATAGTCACTAGCGCACGCGCTGTAGTACTGATCACCGGGGTGGTCCAGCGCTCTCCCTGTTCTGATGGGGGGTCTTCACACTGTGCTGGCAGGGAAAGCACTTGCGTCGCTCTGGGGTGGGCAGTACCCCGAATTCCGGAGACGGCCAGACGGGATACCCCACACCGCACGACCGACCGCCGAGGCGTCTTCGGCGATGACGAGACATCCGTCTCTTTTTGCATCATATTCCTGATTCTCCGACCGGCTTGGCATGCTGTTTCCCAATATGAATAATTACTCCGCTTACCAACACAGTCCTTCTCGTCGGATCAACTCTGTTCTTGACGCCTTTCGTATTTTGACCGTTCTGCCGAGAGACATCGGACTCGGCCCGGGTTCTGGCGTCGACTTTTTTTTTCCTTTCCCCGGAATTTCGGGCCTTTGAGCCTGCACCGGCCCGGTGGGGCTACTCCCGCTGCAACATACATGATCTACCTCCGTCGGCTGACAGAGATGGGTAGAAAAACATTGGCTCTCATCTCTTGGAGAGAGAAGACACTTCTAACTCGAAAGTCTTTGCGGTAAATTGCCCTTCATTTCTGGGTGCCGTTCAACCCTCTGTCGAATACTAATACTGCTATGGCTGGCTAGCAAGATTGACATTGTTGGAAATCTAAAAAGCCATCGACTGCTGGTGTAACCCTAGCCGTCATACGGAGTCGCTGAAGCAGTTTAAGATGGGGTGGTCTGTCAAATCATCTTCTAATTGAGGCCTACTCAAGCTTTGTGGTTTCGTCATGTCAGAAGCGGCATGTGTTGTGTTCCGCGCCCTTATATCCGACCGGAGTGGTCTGTTCACGTTACGATGATCCCATGGAGGCAGACCTTACAAACGTCGGTAAACCAAACAAAGCCTGAACCTACTGTTCTCCCGTCATGGTCACAGCTCAGCTGGCATCAAGGGTGCCACCAGGTTTGATTTTGCATGCATGGTCTACGGCGTACGTCATCGATGCCGACTCCCGAGTCTGTCTCTAGAGCACAACAACCTTGTTTGGACATATCTCCATGCGATGTAGCAAAATGCCGACGTCAAACCTGTCACCTACTCCCAGGTAGAATCTGCCTGCCGAGCTCACAGCATAGTTAGTGAAGCCCAAGTCCCTGGCAAGCCCAGCGGTAGGTTCGCCACCAGCAGTCTTGGTGTTTGCCCAAGTCCTCCCAGGCTTGCTCGTCCGGCTCCTCCTTGGAATCTAGTATTCACCGCGGGAAAACCTTGACGGTAACTTCCCGGGTTATCTCTGGCTCACCTGCCATCACCTGACAGAAAGCCAACGCTGCAAGGATGATTCCTGGGAAACATGCCGACGAGCTCGGGGGTCAGATCGTCGTTAAGAATCATAAACCGCTTAGCTGATACCACATGGGGGGGGTTGGGGTTAAGAGGGGGGGAAAATCTTTTCTCATTGAGGCTCTTACAGATCCGGACAAAAAGAATCGAACACCCGGTTTGCGGGGGCCCGAGGACTCGGCGTCTCAGTCGACGGCCCTCGGGGGGGCCTAATGCACAACACAAGGTGAAACCACTCACCCTGCTTATCGAGATATCGGGTAATCAAAAGACAAGGGCACAGATTTTTAACCGTAGTGTATACTACGGAGTACGTTCCGCTTATGAAGTAAGGAGTGGGGTTGGGAAAACCACATGGTTCACACAGGGGCTTATGTCGAGAAACAGCTTGGAACATGTCCAACATCGCTTGGTTTCGACTCAGATGGTTTGCTGGCTCGGAACCCCTGAAACGTCCACACCAAAACGCCGCCCAAGCAGAACAAGTTTTTATACAGAAATCGGCCATGTCAATTACGATGCGAAGAAGAAGAAGAAGAAGAAGAAGAAGAATAACGATAATACCGTAGCCGAGATACTGCAACGTGATTCGGACTCGTGGAAATCTTGGTCGCACCCCGAAGCTTCTCCCCTTACCAAGAGAGTGTGTTTCTGGCCCCGGCGCATCTTTTTAGCGGCCAAGTCGCAGATAATCAATGGGTTTTTCGCGGGCGTGTCATGACGGGCTGGCGAACACTTACTCGGCGAGTCTTCAGACGCCTCAGTGCCATTACCCGCCCCGGTTCCTCTGCCCGACCTGCCGCTTGATCGGACGCTCGGCGGCTACGAGAAAGGCAACCACTCGACAGTCCGACCGACCGAGACTCACAGCATCGCGGCTGCAACGATGGCCAAGGAGATAGATGCAGGGGCTTGGCCTGCCGGAAGAAAAGAAAAAAAGGAAAGAAAGAAAGAAAAGCCGTTAATGTCAAAAGAGGTCACTTGAAACTCGGATGGCGGTTAGGCACGCAGGCCTGATTTGTCACGGCAAAAAATCGCTGGTGATGTGGAGCACCCGTATGGAAAGCCGGGAGGGGCAAAGGCGATGCAACGGAAGCCGCCTAAGTTCTTCTAGATCAAAAAAGACGGGGGGGGGGAGGCCCTCCACGCAGGCAAAGAATGTGCGCGGCAGGCCGGCCCAGATTTGATCGCCAGAGGGCGCAGCACGCATCCCAGCTCTTGCGTCAATGCCGAAGCTCGACGGTCACAACCCGATGGCACGCCGGATGGATCTGCGGAACCGAAGCGACGGCCTCGCACCAGGCTGATGATGGCTGAGCGCCGCATCTTTGGTTCTAGACGCATCTCGTGCTGCCATATCCAACAGTGGCAGTCGCACGAGGGCCGAACTACCGTTTTCGAAGAGGGCAGTACGCAGAGAGAGACCTTGGAGGCTAGCGTTATACCAAGACCGAGTCACGCCGTTTTAGTCTAACAGGCGACTCTGCCGGGACTGCCAGGTTCAGATGAAGCAAAGTTTGTCTGAAGGTTCTGCTGTGGTTCATCTCAGCTAAGTTGACAGCCTTCTTCCTTGATGTCGTCTAGCCTAGTGGCAGCGACAGAGCGGTCTCGTCCCTTGTTGGCAGATTTTCCTAACGGCGCAAGGGAGGGGGGGAAGAGCTGATGCTCGGAGCTCCCGTTGGCCAAGGGCGATCTCCAACGGTCAAGTACATAGCAACGCCTAAAAAACCCTCACGGCGATTCACCATCGGCCCGCCGTGTTAGCAAGTGGCCAAGAAACCGTTGCCCAAGGTCCCACATCGTGAAAGCCGAAAAGCAGTCGACATTGGCAAGTGAAGTGGTTGCCCATTCCGGGATGATGCTACATGGATGAAGTCTCACACAAATTCCACTATACCCCTATGTACGCAACCTCAAACGGCCAACCGTTTAAACATGGGTAGAGGGGCAGCTGTCGAAACCAAAAGGGGGTGCAGAGAGACAGTGATACATACACGTACCCGTAGAGAGAGAGAGAGAGAGGGAGAAGGGTGAGGGTCGGGGCACCTACGATCTCCCGCATGGGTCGCACACGCCAGACCTTATTCTCGGGTTTAGCCTATCGCGGAGCTCAGAACGGCGGGCATCAGGGTGATCAGCGAGAACCTTGACGGCGGCGGGCATTAAAAGTTACAGTAACGAATCTCCGATAGACGTCGTGGATTGATAAGATGGCTCTCCGACAGCGGTAGCAAATGCAACTGTTCTGCTATTCATCTGTTGGACACAAGCTAGGCTTCGCTTTTGGTTCGATGCAATATTTGCCCCTCTTCTCCCTCCCCGGTTACGCTCTCGGGAAAACTCTCGACGTGGAGAATAACAGCGAGGAAGGGAATAGCTGGCGACCCAGTGCCCACTGTCGTCCAAAGTCTGCGCGGAAGACGACAACTGCAATTAGCCTCGATGAAAAGTAGCGCAAAGGGTGGGGAGGGGTCCAAGGTCCAGGGCGTGTCGGGCGTGTCGGGCAACATGACATCATCAGATGGGCATTGGTGTATGTCTAAATCCCGTGAAGGACCGAAAAGGACTGCTGGACGAGGAGAGGAGAGGGCAGATGGCGTTCATGTGTCAGCAAAGGCCACCCACCACACCACGTGTGATCTGAAAGCGGTTTCGGTCGAATACTCGGGAACGAAAAGGGGAAGCGCGATGGAAGTTGATTGGACAGTGGAGAACACCAAGAGTCCAGAAGCCCTTTAAGTGTGGTGGTCGTTTTCTCTTAATATCAGGGAAGCCACAGTCAGGGGAACTGTGAAGAGGCTCGACTTCCTCTTTCGGCAATCAGCTGAAACAGGAACAGCCGGGTAGGTACGAGGGAGGGGTTGGAGGGGAAAGAACCTCAACCTACCTACCTACCTACCTACCTACCTACCTGTATGTGCCTCCCTAGGTACCCAACCATGAGGTGGTGGGGGGGAAAGTGCGCGGGAATCTTCAAACGAATCAAGTGGGGTCTTAGCCGCAACGTTATATTACTACGTACGTACGGCAACATGCGCAAGATCCCCCGATCTCCCCTCCCTGATGGGCAGGCAGCGTCCGATGGATCCGCAATCCCCCCCGGCGTAAATCATGCACCGTCCCTTCCCGGTAACCCTGGAAGGCATGGGCAGAATCCCGACACCGACTTCATCGCTCAGTCCTGTTCAACGTCCCCCCTTAGTCTGGGCACTCAAAGTGAACCTCACTTCCTCCACAGGCCTGCACCCCCTCGGTTTGGAGGGCCCTGATACCGACCGCATCTCCTGTCCTAGCCTGCCTGCTCCCTGCAGCAGGTTTTTCTTCTTCATCAAGCTTGATGCTGTTATGCTTTATTGGTGCAGAACATCGGACGCCAAGCGGCTCCCTCTGAGCCAGCCCCCTTCCCCTGTGACCGGTGCAAAGAAGTCTTTGAACAGGCATCGCTCCCTGAGCCCGTCCACCGTTTGCTCCCATTTGTGCAGTCCTTCGAACCAGGGGGAGGTTGTCACTGGCCTGTCCGGACGTTCAGGAGCTCAAGAAAGTATCGTTTGGTGGGTCTGAAAGAGACATTTCGGAAAAACACAAGACGGCAGACGGCAGGATAGACAACAGATGACCTGCAGATCGTGGTGACATGACAGAGAGATCAGTTGAAGGTGAACTTTGCTGTAGGCCGCAACGAGACCATCATCTCGTCCTTCTCATCATCTTCCTTCATTCCCCTCGACGGTTGGATCAACAAGCCTCCTGCAGTACCTGCGTCGGCAGATGTCGTTGCATCCTCGTAAACCACATCCAACCCTCATTCCATAAACTTGGTTACTGAGCTCCGCTTTCTCGTCACTACCTCTGGAAAAAGGAGGCGCCCGCATTATGTCACGGTGTGATATAGGTGTGCCCCCCTCGGAGGAAGCATCCCATTACGCCGTCTCCTCCGTTCCTGAGTCCACAGACATCAACGCCTAACCCTCACCCATCCCCTCCATCCTTCCCACGTCCCCTGTCGTGCCGGCAGGGGGAATAACACAGCCTGCCAAAAGTCGGCCCCTCGGGAAACACGCTCTCGTGGATGATGCCGCCCTCGCCGCTAGTCATCTTCCGCGAGAATACTCTGTTCGCCCCTCTGGTCAGCATTTCCTCCTCCTCCGCTGCCTCCACCCTGCGACCCCCCCTCTCTTGGAATTGTAAACACCAAACGACGGTCAAGCTCGTTCCCCTACCTTGGCCCCGCAGCCAGACCGCTTGTTGACCCAACGTCTCACGACGATCGTACCCAGGCGATGGCGAAGCAGCATCACTGGGAGGGGGGGGGGGGATGAGACTAAGTGGCTTAGAGATGTGGTACCCGATCTGTCAAGTCGAAGGGCTAGGGTCTGGTTCGAGGACTATCCTCCTGTCCATCGGTCAGATGAGGACGAGGAAACGCGTTTAAAAGATGCTCTTGTTTCCCGTCTCTGGTCCAGTCCTTGTTCTTGCCACAACAGCTTCTTTGGTCTGACATTCTTTGGCATCCATCTCCGGCCAAGTTTCTCCTTCTTTCTTCTATTCGCCTCTTCCTAGAGGATCCTGTCATTTTCTTCTCGGTGCTAGTCGCCCACTCCCTCGAAGGGCCTTGCTTTCTGTTTCTTCCTCTTGATATAAACGACTTGGACGGCGCCCCCCCCCACTCCCTCCCCTTCCTAGCTTTCTCTTCTTTCGTCAAGCTCGTCTTCGCATAACTATGGCGAAAACACCGACATCCTTCAACATGTTGTTCAAATCCGTTCTCCTCTTCACTCTCCTCGCCGAGCTTGGTCTCGCGCATCAGGCGCAGCGCCTTGGATACTTGCCCCAGCACCAGGTCAAGCGTCAGAATGTTGCCCCGTCGCCCATCCTCTCCAGAATCAGCATCCCGCCTCCTCTGTCGACTGGCGCTGGTGTCAACGTTCCCGCCGGGCCCGCCCCGCCGGGGACCACGGGCAGATTCCTCAACACCACGCGCCCTGCTGCAGCTCCATCTCCCCCGCCGCCGAGCTCTGCCGCCGCAGCTCTCCCCCCAGCAGCGAGCTCTGCCGCTGCTGCCGCTCCTCCCCAAATGTCGACCCTGACGGAGGTCACCACCGTCACCTCGCTCCTGTCCAACAACGTCACCACCACCCAGGTCGTCACGACAGAACGCACCGTCACCGCCGCTGCCCCCATCATCATGCAGCCGCAGATCATCATCATCTCCCAGGTCACCTTCTTCAACTTCAACTCCGCCCTCGGCGGCGCATGTCCCCCTGTCCGGCAGGGCCAGCAGGGCGGCTTCATCGTCGCCGGCCAACAATTCCAGCAGTTCCAGTCCGCCTGCAGCGCTGCCTGTGGCATACAGCTCTCTCAGTGCCAGAGCATCACCGGACAGGGTTTCCAGCTCTCCCAGTGCCAGTCCCAGCACGTCGCTTGCCAGAACGCCGCAAAGACCGCTACCGTCACTGTCACCGTCCCCACGACCGTCACCCAGACCGTGGTCCTGCCCAACGGCCAGGCCACTGGCGCCGCTGGTGGTGTTGCTTCTGGCGTTGCCGAGGCGGGCGGCTCCGTCATCGCCACCACCACCCTCCCTGCTGGCGCCGGCGTGTCCGTCGGAACCGGAGGCGTCTCGATTGTCACCGTCACCGCCGCCCCCGCGGCTCCTCCTTCCCAGCCTGCCGCCCCTCAGACCAGCGTCTTGACCACCACCATTGTAGCCAACCCTGACCAGCCCAACGCCACCCCCGTGGTGTCTGTCATCACTGTCACCGAGAACGCTGGCGCCGCGCCGTCCATGCCTGCCGGAGGCAATGCTCCCATGCCTGTCGTCACTTCCGCTGTTGTTTCGACCCTCCCTGCTGTGGGCGGCTTGCCTCCCGTCGTCTCCACGATCTACGTCACCAAGACCGCCGAGGCTGCTGCCCCTCCCCCTCCTCCCGCTCAGCCCCCCAAACCCGAGGCGCCCAAGCCCGAGGCGCCCAAGCCCGAGGCACCCAAGCCCGAGGCGCCCAAGCCCGAGGCACCCAAGCCCGAGGCGCCCAAGCCCGAGGGCCCAGCCCCTCCCGTCGTGACCACCATCTACGTCACGGCCCAGCCTCCCGCAGCCACCGCCGCTCCCCCGCGCGTCATCACCGTCACCGTCGGCACCCTTACCGGCGTCGTGACCGTCTCCGACGAAGCCCAGAGCACCGCTTCCGCCACGACCATGGCACCGGCCCTCCCCAGTCCTGGGGCCGAGGGCGGCGAAGGCGGCCAGAACTGCCTTCCCGTCACTGTTACCCAAAGCTGCGTCCCAGTTACTGTCACCCAGACCGTCTCCTCGTGCCCCGCGCCCACCGGCGAGCTCAAAAAGGCCAAGGAGGCTTTCAAGAAGCACGGGCACACACAAGAACCCGACGTGGCCTACCGCCCCCGCAACTTCGGCCGCGCCCTTGGCTCATGGTAAGACGGCTTTGGAGCGGAAGGGAGCGGAGGCGCAGTAGCAGACGAAAGAAGAGCTCGAACACAAGTTCAGCCTCCGGTACTCTTGCTGTCCGCTCTCCTACCTACCTTGCTGCAAAGACATCATGCCATGTCAGTCATACACACAGAACGTTGACCCCAGAACGACTACCACCAACAAACAAACAAAAAAAAGGGGAGAAAAGAAAAAGCATAAAAAATACCCTCATTTGACATCTTTTTGTTTGGGAAAGGCAAAAAGATTTATTTGCACATGATACAAACGAAATTTGATCACCCCCGGAGCAGGCAGCTGTGCTGGGTTCTGACGTGGCTGGAGCATCAGAAAACGAAACATGAACCCTTTGGACAGGATGGACGGCAAAGGGGAAGGGGCTCTCGGAGCATTGTACTTTTAGGGGGATTTGCGGTCTTTTCCTCTCCTCCTGGCACACTGTGCGTGTTTTTTTGTTCTTGTTTCTAGCATAGATGGGACAAGGTCCCCCAACAGCGGTAGATATCCCATGAATGTTGAAATGATGCCAGGAAAAGCGTACATGAGTGCCCGCCCCGTGCTTTGGTATCCGGTGAATGTTCTTACAAGATTTAGTAGGCTTCCAAGTACTTATTCATCTGAACCCCCCTCGATGGGATCACCGTCATGGTCCGGCACTCGGCGGATATCGGCTCTCCCGTCCTTCGCCTTCTTTTTCCTTGACCTTCTTCTCGGCCTGACGCTCTTGCTAGCTTCGTTGTGAACACTCAGGGGCACGATAGGGCCTACGTCTTGCGCGAACGAACTAGCCAGTCGGCCAATGAACGTCTTTGGTCGTACAAACTGGAAAGAATGACCCGGCACTTCTCCCACTTCCGACTCGGGCGGGTGCGCCGCTGTAGACGCAGAGTCCAATGCTGGTGTTGATGACATGTCAGCCATGTAATAACCTGGCTGTACCCCCTGAGTAATTGATCCAGAAACTTCCACAATGGTGGACTCTATGTCTGTGTGAGCATCCACATGATTGTATGTCTCCAGAAGAGCGTCCGTGGAGTCTTCGAAGGCTTTCATGGATGTATGACCAAGCCCGAATCCAGAAGAACTTCTTGAATGAGGTGAAGGAATGATGTTATCCTCCTCGGTTTCATGGTTGGACGTTGCATAGGTAGCTGCGACTGTTGTGGCATGGTCAACGCTGGGTGGTCCTAGAATTTGAGAGCAACTGTTGGCAGAGCTACTTGATGGCCGTAGATCTCGAGCTGCTTCTTTTCTTGCTTCTTGAAACGCGATTTCTTGGACTTCATAACCACCGTCGCCAAATATGAAGTTGATCCACTCTGCATCCGCTCCGATCCGCATTGGTTCTGGTACTGGTGTGTTTCGACCTACGCCGATCTCTAGAGATTGCAACGATAAACTGGGATTCTCAAGCATTCCCGTCTTGCCAGCAGTGCATTCATCTCGCTCGTGCTGGTCGAGATTTCGTTCTCCAGGGATGTCCGAGGCCATCGATGACGAAGGGTATTGGATCATGGTATCTACCATGTTTCCCGCAAGCACCTCTTCGGTCATGCATGTTATTCCTTGGATATGACCGATATCTTCGTTAAGGTCACTTGAGGCTGGGCGGTCTAAGGAAAGAGAAATGTTGGTTGGCGAGAGTGGCGAGGAGAACCTTATCGTGGGAACAGTGTCTTCCAACGGGTTTCTGCCGTCATCAGTTTCGTCAGAAGATCCAACATGGCACCTTCGCAAGCCTACTTGCACAACCTTATTGAAGCTAGGACTGTTTTGTAGATCTGAGAGAGAGTTACTTTGAGTGTCTTCAGGACTTGACTCCTGGATTGGTGGGAAGCTAGGGACTGGAAAGTTGCTGACTCCAGGACTGATATCTTCAGCTGCGGTAATCCCGTTGTAATCTATGTTATCAGGGGTTTCTGCGCGGTCGCCGGAAGATGAAAACATGCCATGCCAACGTTCGTTCTCACTCATCTCTGAGGAGGGGACGGCGGCAAGGGGGTTATGACTAACTTCGGCGATGGTGCTTCCGAATGCATCCGATTCGGGGGTTCCCAACTTCTGTGCCGAAACAAGCTGACTGAGTCGTTGAGGAACCGGGTGGTGAACGACGGAAGAAGATGATTGAACAACCAAATGTTGGCCTGCTCGTTGCACATGTTCAGGCCTGGTCCGTCGGCCATATGAAGCGGATGATGACACAGATATTGCAATATTCCCGGGGGCCGCACCGTCTCTTCCAAGGCGAATCTCCCGCAAACGCTTTGTCCCATGACCTGCCACTTCTCTGTGGTCATGGCTTTCTGGAGATGCGTGGTGCTGCGAAAGTGTCCGAGATGAGAAACTCTGGAAGTAGCCCGACTGATGATAGTTGTTTGATTTGGAGATAGTTCGAAGAGACCTTTTGTTCCTGTTCTTCTCTGTGTTTGAGGTCTCGCTACCGAGCCGAATATCTTCGCTGCCAATCATGATTCTGACTTCTCTGTCTCCATCCTGAGTGCTGCTGTAACTGGTGGCGGGTCTCCTCAATGCATCATTGTTGTGCCTAATCTTCTGAACGAAAGGAGCGGGCTGCCCAGTCATATGTTTCTTGCGAAAGCCCCAGATCTGATTTCCAGTCAAGTTATTACGGGCCGAGAAATGGAAGGGTATTGGTTTTGGGACGTTGATGCCGGCCCAGTCAGCCTTTTGTAACAACCGCCGTCTCTTCACATCCAACGCTTCTTCATCGCCCACAATGTGCCTTCGCTTGGCGCTCGTATGCATCGATCCGTGAGGTTTGGGAAAACCACGACCATCCATGGATGGTTTGACCTCCTGCTGACGCTGGTGGAGCGAATGGCCGACATGGCGTTCTCCATTATCTCCATGCGGGCTCTGTCGGTGCTGAAAATGCGGCGAGCTCTCCATCAAAGTCCTTGACGGCTGTTTACCAGGACGCACCGTAGGCGATTCGGGCCGTCGAGGAAGAATTGAGATAGAGGCAAGATCCGGCTTCGAGGTGACCCGAAACCCTGCTCGAGCCTTTGCAAAGTACTGCCTCTGCTTCGCGAGCTCCGGATTCCAGCCTCTTCCTCGCGAATGACGAGCCAAAGCCCCTTCGGTCCAGTTCATGGCGCAGACATAAAGGGGTGCTGGTGTTGGTGGGCACCAAAACAGCCAGGAACCGGGCTACTGATTGATTCAGAAGTGATGCAGCGCAGCGGTGACGAAAGACAGAGGTATACTTTCAGTCTGCGAAATTCGTTCGAGATCACTTTCAGACTCTCAGATACGTCCAGAGAAGTCCTTTGTACGCAGCAAACGTCAGGCTGGTGCAGTTTCCCAACCCATCTATCGTTACGGTTTCCCCAACCGATCAGAAGTCATGTGATGCTTAGCCAGGAATTTACAGTCCTGTCCCTTTCGGGAAGGAAGAGATCTTGGATTGGGAAAGATGCACTTGCTGCCTCAAACCGCCATCAGCCAACTCGGTTCTCTATACAGTGCGGTTTCATATGTTACCATCGTCCACGCACTGTCAAAGACAGCCTCCTCAAGACAGCCTCCTCCTTTCAGCTGGACTCGGGGCGGCGCATCTTGTTGGTGGATGCAGAACCCGCCTTGCCTCGCGCACATCCATTGTGCGCTCGCGCTGTGACACATCAAAGCCTTACCCTGGGAGTCTTTGAACAGCCTCTCTCCCGTCTCATCTCACATTTGCCCAACGCTTGGTCCCGGAACGAAGCTCCGATGATAACCACATGCCCCCGTCGGCCGAACACGAGCCTGACTCAACCCGCTTCGTGATGTCGACTGCGCCCTGCTGTGGGCTTGTGTCACGCCCGCCGCCTTGGCATATCGGCACTGCTAAGGCCTTTCGGCCTCTCCATGTGGCGCTTGCCGCACACCGAGACGCCTACCCGCTGAGGGGGCCCCGAGATCCAGCTATAGATCACAACAGAGGGACTCCATGATCCGAGTCCAAATTCGGTATCTCCACGTTCGAGTCGAGACCACTGCCGGTCGATACTCGTCGCGGCCGTCGTCACGGAAGCCGTCTTGCCTTCTCCGGTGCTGGTCCCCGAGTCGGCTTTTGCAGACCTCCTGAAACAAATTACTTTCAGACCACAATGATGATGGATGTCGCCGCTCTTCTAGGCGCTCTTCTGGGTCATCGATCCCCGATTGGAGCCCTGGCATGTCTAGCCCAGGTGCCCCGGGCAGTGTTCAGCCAGGTCCCATTCGTGGCGGATGGTAGCCGACCAATCAGAGAATAACTATGTGTCAACGCCAACCACTCAGCGACGAGACAATGGTCGTTGATCAAAGCTCGGACGATGGCAAATGATGACTTTTCGCATGCCCTCGAAGAGCTAAAGGAAAAGGAGAGAAAGAGCGACGATGGCAGCCGACAGTTCCGTTGTTGAAAGCGACAGAGATACTCGGTAGAGATGGGTCTGTTCGATGAGTTGCCGGTGTGGGATTTACGGATATCGCACGTCGTCGGGGTTCGCAAAAGCCAAGAGCGGTGGTGCCGTCCGTGTCTGCGCTTGCCGGCCGTTGCCGCTGTGCTGCTGCTTGCCCGGTCTCGGCGGCCTGTTCGTCAAGCCGGTTCTGCAGAGTCCTGGTCACCGTCAACTCAGCGAGAGAACACACCCAGTCCACATTCCACCCGATTCTACCTTTTCCCCCCATCCCCGCCGGTCCGGCGACCAAGCCCAGTAGCTATGGCTGCTCCATCCACATTTTCCAGAACCCAACTTTGCAGCACTAGCCATCGGGTTGGATCCAAACGGTTTGTTTCTGCCATGGACGGGGTGCTTTTCACTGCATCTCATGCTCGCAGCGACCCCATGTCATTGCCTACCGCTGCTCTCCACCAAGTAAGCTTGTCAGCTGCCACATGCTTCACCGAGGCCAACGACACCTCGTGAAGCCTTGCATCGTTGCAGGTGAACAGGAGTTGCGAATGACAAGAGATGGAAATGTGCTTAGCAGTCAAGGGCGTCACGGGTGACCAGGTCCTCTTGAGCGATTAATGCCCGTCTTTAAGGAGACGACAGAATCGACACAGCTCTTGAGAGAATTCAATTATTCTGCAGAAGGGCTCTGACCAATCACCGCCCAGCGATAAGCCAGCAATGAGAAATGCCCACTAGCGCCCCACATTTGATGGTTTGGAGGCACCCGGGATGGAGGTCTCCTGAAGGTCACATCTGGAGAACAGGTTCCATAATGGAATCATCAAAGTTTTACCTGAGCTCACTCTAGAAGCGGCAATGGCAAGCGGCCATCCCAGAATATAGCCTGAATCGCCCACGGCCGACGAGTGATATTTGAGATGTTGGGACGGTATTGTTGGGAGTAATCAGCTCAGTTTTGATACGCCGCCGTATCGGAGCAAAATGTTCTGTGTTCGATATGACCAACTGGACAGCATCCTACTCCTTGAACGCAATGTTGTTATCGAGCAGCATTTCTCCTTGACGGCCCCCTCGATAGCCTCCAGCCTTGTTTGTGCATGTTGCAGTCTCCAAGACGTTTGGGCTGCATATCAACCAGATATTCACTCAAGTCTCGCAGGACGGGGTCACGGCAGGCCATGCGGACTGGCCCTCTTTCAGGAGAGAGGGGTCCTTTGATGTACAAGGTGGCTTCCTGACGCAAAATCTTGGGGTGGGGAGTTCGCTGACGAATAGACCATTGAATACTGGCCGGAAGGACGAGCTCGGCTAACGATCCCGAAGGTTTGGGAAAGCCGTCATCGGAGAGATCGGGAGGTGTTGTAAACTCGAGGTTGCTAACAGGATACCGACAAGAGTTCATCGGATCGTACCGCATTGGCTACTCACCTCAACTCTCGGAGGGCATCTGGACCGCAACATGGCCTCCCCCACCTTTTGCCCCTCGCTGCCGCGCGATAGCCTCGAAGTGGAATCTGTGACGACGTTGCCTGGGTTCAGTCCAAATCGGGAGTCACCCAGGACAGATCCATACAGAGAGGTACAGATACCTCAAGAGAGGGAACCCCAGTCGCCAGTTGACCCCACCAAGGGGTTACAGACACACACGGGAACGAGAGAAACTTGCCAGATATCACTGAGGATGGCCGACATATGCCTGCTGAGAGGCGGCTAATGTTTTATGGGAAGGCCATATGCACGAACCAGACGGTGTTGGTTCCGAGGGAGGAGAAGAAGACGAAGAAGGATACGACTCCTGAAGGATGGTTATCTTTCCTGTGCCGCGCTCAAGCATATTAATGGCAAGGTTTGGAGATTGAGGAGTTGAGGAAAACCAACGCATGCGTGTTGCTGTTTGCGACGGGCTACGCCTGCGGGACGATAAAAGACTGTCGCTGTGTCGCTTTTGTGTGATCTTGTGTGATCTAGGGTCTTCTGGAGAAGAGAAATGACAAGGTGACGAGGGTTAGAGATTGAACGGTCCCCCCCAGCAAGAAACCGGCTCCAGGAATATGCAGGTTGTCGCAATATGACCTTGCGATCGTCGGCGTGGAACCAAGTTGCAGGCGACGCGGTCTTCTCTCCCTTCCTCCCCTCCCCTCTCAATGCATTCTGGACCGCCAGTCGTCAGTTATTACCAATGAGCGCTGCACTTTCGAGGCCTGAAAGCTCCAGGGCGCTTCCTTTGGCAAGTGGTCTGAATGGGAGGTGGTCGCCGAGTCCAGGAAGATACCCGTCATGCTTCTGGCCCGGGCGCTGGACGGCTGCCACAGCCACCACCAGCAATTGCTACAGGCATTGGCTTCCCAACAATAACCCCGATACCGACAACGGCGGCGAGGGCGAAGGCGAGAGAGAGGGCGAAAGGCTTGGTGTGCATGCACACGAGCATTTCCAAGGATAGAAACAGAGGAGGACGTGGGGTGTGCGCTTGGTAAATCATGCATCGGTACGTACCCCGCGCTGTTGCACGGGTGGACGGCTACCGGTATGGGCGAGAGTCACTTTTAGGCTTTGAGTACCTAGTCCCTAGTGTAGGATTGACTGCGTACGAATACCTACCCTAAACTGGTTAGGTACGATGGTGTATGTGTACCGCGCGCTCTTTGTCTTTCACCTCTCTTTTGGCAAACTTTTTCCATGGGCTCGCTGCTATTCACTATGATGAATGGGGTTGGGAGGTGGAAATTCCAATGCAGCTACTTGCAGGCACATGTTGTACTGGCTGCCTCCGGTGACATATGACTGGTTCCAAGCTGGGCCTCTGGGCGTACATGGAGGCCATCGTCACACGTTTTTTTCTTTCTTTCTCCCTCTTGTGACTTTGCTACTTATCAGCCCCGGGGACTAGGGTTGACAGAACAAAATCATCCAAGTGGGAGCGCAAGAGGAGATCCTGGGGGGTCAGTTACGGAGAAGAGGGAGTTGACGATGCCTCTAGAGGCGAATGGTCCGGCCGTCACATTTCCGTTGGACTACCGGAACCCAGGAAACCGCGATGCCGTTGGTTACGAGAGGATAGGATGCTGTAGGAGTACATACGACTGCTGTGCAAATGGTGGCGGAATAGGTGGGCGCAAGTATCTCGACTTGGACAATGTGAGAGACCCTGGGTAGCAAGTTCAAGGTGGCATGTACCTACTGTAGGTATCTGTGGCCCCCCAAACCCTGGGTTGGCGGGCGAATGGCAGGAGGTGCGTTTCCGGGCTACACCCCACCAGCCCATCGCAGCGTGCAGGGGTGTGGCCAGTCTGTGGCTTCTGGTATCGATTGTGGGTGGGGTAAGAGGGGTGGGTAGGCCTTATCTTTGGGCTGGAAAGGACCAAGGAGGAACTTGAGCGGGGGACAAAGTGACGGTTCTGTACCGGCCGCCTGTGAGAGTTCGTGGGCGAGGACCGCGGTTGTCATGTTGTATCTCGACGGTACCTTGCAGATTCGCTGTGTGTACATGTTATGTGTGTGCGTGTAAGAAAGCATCGACGCATCGCGCCGCCCTGTGAGGGTGTTTCCTAGCCCAGGTCTTGCTCCCTCCTTTGTGCCCCCCTCCACCCCCGAAGACGAACAGCGCATTGAGAAGACATAAAACCCTCAACCACCCGCTTCGTCTGCCTCTCTTATCGAACCCCCTTCTCTACTTCCAGATCCATCCTCTATCCCCCCATCGATACCTAGATCACCAGATCTTTCTTGCTTGAACCTCCTCGGACACTAATTGACCCTGCGTCTTTTTTCTTCTCCCACATTTACATCATACACAACCGCAAAAATGGTAAGTTTCACTCCGCCCTCAACACCGCACTTGAACCCCCCACCCACATCATACCCTTCCGATGGCGACCAGACCGCCTTCTCCCCCTCCGACACTCACACGATGCTTGTGCGAAAAAGGGCATATACTAACATGAGTCTTGACTTCAGGCGACGGAAGCTGCTTTCACCTCCAAGCCCGAGACTGTGAGAACACACCGCCTCTCCCCGGAGCTCAGCTGACAGTAGGATCGACTAATTGTAGCCGATCCTGCTGTCGGCTTGGCGCATCACGACTCAAGCACAAAAATAAGCAAATATGCTGACCCCGTCGAATAGTTGGCCAAGTACCTCAAGCTTGACCAGAAGGGCTCGATCATGGCCGAGTACATCTGGATCGACGCTGACGGTGAGACCCGCTCCAAGTCGAGGGTAAGTTTGCGACATTCGTCTCGTTCTTCCTCTCTTCCTTTCCCTTTTTGGGTTTCCCCTTTGTTGGTCCTGGCCGGCCTCAGCGCTGTGTTCACCCAAGCCGTACGCTCTTCGATGTGAGAAACATCAGTCAGGTCCTTGTTCCCGCGGCCCGTCTCAGCGAGTAAGAGAGAGAGCGCTGCTGTCGCATGGCTCCTTTCTTTTTCCTGCGGCGACAGGGCGCGACAAAACTGGGGCGCGGCCCCCCGTGCTCTGTATTCTTCCCCTCGGGGCGTCTCCGAGTACCGGCTGGAATGGCGGGCAGAGGGGGCATCAAAGATACGGATCGATGTGCGCTTGGGGGGCTTGGCGGGGGTCAAACCGTTGTCTGCCCCTCCAGGTGCGGGTGGGCGGTCGGTACGTACCTGTCTGACCATGTCTGGCTGGCAGCATTCGGCCACGACTCGGTCCTGCAAGGAACCCCACCCCACACAATTCGTGTGGTCACCAAGACACCGAGACCCCTCCAAGGCTTTGCCTTGCCTCCGGTTGCAGGGTTCAACGCCGCAATTCGGTTATTAGAGATTCTTGCCGGTCTCTCGCCCCGTATCTTTGCCCTTTTGGCCGTCGGCGCGTTCTCGGTGTGTCGTCTGTCCCCAGTTGCTGCCGCCGGCCGAGCGTCGTTCTCCGCAGGAACCCCAAAACATGGGCTGCTGGAATCGCTCCGTCTGGCATCGTCGGTCTGACGGCAAGGTGCATCGCATGATGTAAGCCTCGGCGGCTAGGCACGGCTCAGAAGCTTGCTTGGGGCATGGAGTCGGGGAACCATTCACGCAGTTGCATCATACCGTTTCTGGCAGACACACGGAGCTAACCATCATGTGCCCCTCTAGACGCTCAAGGAGAAGGAGTACACCCCCGAAGACCTCCCTATGTGGAACTTCGACGGTTCCTCCACCGGCCAGGCCCCCGGCGACAACTCTGATGTCTACCTGAAGCCCGTCGCCGTCTTCCCCGACCCCTTCCGTGGATCCCCCAACATCCTCGTCCTCTCCGAGTGCTGGAACGCCGACGGCACCCCCAACAAGTACAACTACAGACATGAGTGCGCTAAGCTGATGGAGGCTCACGCCGCCCACGAGCCCTGGTTCGGTCTCGAGCAGGAGTACACTCTGCTTGACCTTAGCAACCGGCCCTTCGGCTGGCCTACCAACGGTTTCCCCGCCCCCCAGGGCCCCTACTACTGCGGTGTCGGTGCCGGCAAGGTCGTCCAGCGCGACATCGTCGACGCCCACTACAAGGCCTGCTTGTACGCTGGCGTCAAGATCTCCGGCACCAACGCTGAGGTCATGCCCGCCCAGTGGGAGTTCCAGGTCGGCCCCTGCACCGGCATTGAGATGGGTGACCACCTCTGGCTCGCCCGCTTCCTCCTGGCCCGCATCGCCGAGGAGTTTGGCGCCAAGGTTTCGGTTGAGCCCAAGCCTATCCCCGGTGACTGGAACGGTGCCGGCCTTCACTCCAACTTCTCCACCAAGGAGATGCGTGTCGAGGGTGGCATGCAGCACATCGAGGCCGCCATCAAGAAGCTCGAGGGCCGCCACAAGGAGCACATTGCCGTCTACGGCGAGGGCAACGAGAAGCGTCTCACTGGCCGTCACGAGACGGGCTCCATTGACCAGTTCTCTTACGGAGTCGCCAACCGTGGTGCCTCGATCCGCATCCCCAGAGAGTGCGCCGCCAAGGGCTACGGCTACTTCGAGGACCGCCGCCCCGCCTCAAATGCCGACCCCTACAGAATTACTGGTGAGTTTGATGATGCACCCATCTCACAACGCCATGTTGTTTGCCGTGACGCTAACCATTTCTTGCAGGTATCATGATGGAGACTATTTTCGGTTCCGTCGCGTAAGGGGAGAAGGAGAAGAGAGAGGATGCTATACCCTAGTTCAACGGCTCAAAATTCGTTTTGAATATGCTTTACCAGCGTGTTACATAGATCAGACAAGGTTATTACGGGTCAATGAGAAATCCAAACAAAGTTCAAAAAATGTTGATCGCAATTATTCCTTGATGTTGAGAAGAATTCCCTCCATACGTAGAGACAGCATGCTGAATGGCGCTTGCTTAATGATGTTACGACGTCATTTTCGAGGTGCGTGACGGAGAACCCATTTTGAAACGTTCAGCTCAGCTCGGGTTTGGTCTGGAGACCTTTCTTGTGCCTCGTATGTGCCGCAGGTGGCGACGGCATCCCACCGTCTAACCACCGACCATCGTGACCGTGACCGTATTTCGTAGAGCCCTGTGGCGCAGCGTTTTTCGCCAAGACTTGTTGGAGGAAAACGATGCAATAGCAGCAGACTTGTCATGTTTAGAGTTTTTCGGTTTGCTTTACGGAAATGGTAGGGTGCCTTTAACAGTACCACTAGGTACTGCTTTGTACTTTTTCGAAGGGTGCTTAAGCCCAGCGAGGAGAAGGGGTTTTTTAGACTTTGGGTACCCAATCCACAGGAGAAGGGCGACATCGGACGAAAGCCCTGCCGCCCACCCGTCCGTCCGTCCGCTGGCCTGTTTCGAAGAGAGAGAGAAAGGGTCGGTTCGGTTGTTTCTGGCGGTGATATCACCGTCCGATGAGTTGAATTCACATTGTCTTCGAACGATGACGATATATATTCTTTTAGCCTCCCCCTTTCTTTTGGAGGACGGATGAGGTGTAGGGCGGTTGAGCGCCAGGCGGCGAGCCGGCAGGTGAAGTTGGTGAGGCCAAGAGTCTGTAAGCTCGGTCTGGCGACCATGGGATGGAGCTTATCACGAGCGGTGAGTGATAGTTGTAGGCACATCCCAGAAGAAGGAGGAGGAGAATGTTTTGGGGTGGAAGGGGCGTTTGGGGCTTACTTCTCCCAAGCGGTGGCGGCTGAGCGGACCGTGGTTTGGACTGTTGTGTGTGTTGGATGGACGGGACGGACAACTGTCAGCCTCGCGTTTCTGCGGCGTCGCTATGCGCGTTATTGGAGCTCGATATAACTGTCCAGCCTTTTTCGCACCTTCGATGCCGAGATGTTGGACATGGGGTTGGTCGGTGAAGTGTGGTGTTGTACTCCCCTTGGCAACGACGGCGGGCATGGATGTTTCGTTCGAAAAGATAGCTAGTTGGATCGGAGGCTTGTACTCTTGGAGAGAATTTCTGCGTCAAGCAGCGGGAGATCTGATGCATGTGCGGGTCTGATTTACTCGAGGCTTTTCACACAGCAAGGGCTAGATGTGAAGCTGGAGCCATAGAGTTGGCGATGGCTGAGCTGTCAGTATACCCTTGCTTTCTATTGCTGAAGACTACGTGACCACAAATTGTTCCGCGACAGCGCAAAGCCTGGTCAATTTTTGTTTTTTTCAAGGAAAAAGGGAGAAGGGGAACTTAATCATTCTATTTTCTCTGCAATTAAAACCATATCTTGCGTATTTGCATATAACACCATTATTCTCAGGCCAGACAGCTCTTTCGTGCACCAGTCTTTTGTCACTAATCCTTCCAAGCCTCGATGTCCCTGGCCCCGCGCCTTATCTTATCGAGTCGACGTGGGGTATCCGCTAAACCGAACCGGGACTAGCCACCCAAAGAAATTCTCAATTGAGAATCTTTTTTTTTTTTCCCCTTAGCAGCGGTTTTGCCAAACTCCAAAAAAAATATCGCCAACGTCTATCACGACGACGATATCCCCCCTCCCTCCCCATCTGAGCCCACTCCGCCACGACCACCCCTTCCACATAGGCATACCGAGTAAGACGCAGAAAAAGTATCCCGCACATCATCACAATGGCAGCTCCCGTGGGACCCCTCCCGCAGGTGAAGCTGCCCTCGGGCCCGTCCCCCGTGACGGCCGAGCAGCGCTACTGGAAGTCCTTCAAGAACCAGCTCCAGATTCCCTCGCCGACGTCTTACCCAATCACTCACATCTCGTCGACTTCGGCGGACGGCCTCTTCGCCGTCACCACCGGCACCCGCGTGCAACTCTACTCGTCGCGCACCCGCAAGCTCGAAAAGACCATCACACGTTTCGCCGACGTCGCCCGCTCCGGTTCCCTGCGCCGCGACGGCCGCGTGCTCGTCGCTGCCGAGGACACCGGGCGCATGCAGGTATTCGACACCCACTCGCGCTCCATCCTCAAGACCTGGACCAAGCACCGCCAGCCCGTCTGGGCCACGCGCTTCTCCAACACCCAGCCCACGACGCTGCTCTCCGCCTCCGACGACAAGACCGTCCGCCTCTGGGACCTCACGGCCAACGACCCGACGCATACCTTTGTGGGCCACGCCGACTACGTCCGTTGTGCCGAGTTCTTCCCTGCCACGTCTCCCTCCGGCGCGAGCAACATGGTCGTCTCGGGCTCCTACGACTCCACCGTTAAGATCTGGGATCCCAGAATAGGCTCCAACGCGGCCGTCATGACCTTCAAGCACGCCGCCCCCGTCGAGTCCGTCCTGCCCCTGTTCTCGGGAACCACCCTGCTCGCTGCTTCGGGCGCCAACGTCTCCGTCCTGGATCTCGTCGCCGCCCGCCCCATCCACCAGATCTCCAACCACCAGAAGACCGTCACCTCCCTCAGCCTCGCCTCCAACGGCACCCGCCTCGTCACCGGCGGCCTCGACGGCCACGTCAAGGTCTTTGAGACGACGGCCTGGAACGTCGTCTCCTCCACCAAGTACCCCTCGCCCATCCTCTCCCTCCGTGTGCTCTCGGCCTCCGACTCCCCCGACCACGCCGACCGCCACCTCGTCGTCGGCATGCAGTCCGGCGTGCTCTCCATCCGCACGCGCCTCACCGGCCCCGAGGCCACCCGCCAAAAGGAGCGCGAGCGCGAGATGGCCGCCCTCATCGCCGGCACACTCGACCAGCACGACCGCGTCACCAAGACGCGCAAGCGCAAGGTCGCTGCCCACCGTCGCCTCGAGGCCCTCGGCGAGGGCCAGGCCGAGGTCATCGTCGCTCAGGACGCGCGCGTCTCCCGTACCAAGGAGACAGCGTGGCAGAAGGCGCTGCGGCACGGGCGCTACGCCAGCGCGCTGGACCAGGTCCTCGACCCACAGGGCAAGGACCACTCGCCGCTCGCGGTGCTGACGCTGCTGCTGGCGCTGCGGCACCGGTCGGCGGTGCGGGACGCGCTCGAGGGCAGGGACGAGAGGACGGTGCAGCCGGTGCTCAAGTGGACGTGCAACCACATCATCGACCCGCGGTACGTCAGCGTCTGCGTCGAGGTCGGCCTGGTGCTCGTGGAGCTGTACGCCGAGTACGCCGCCGCGAGCGCGGAGCTGTTCGAAGGCTTCCGGACACTGAGGCGCCGCGTCGGGAACGAGGTCGAAAAGGCGCAGCTCGCGTGCGAGACGGGCGGCATGGTCGAGAGCCTGATGATGGGGTCTGCCTAGTGGGACGGTTTCTGAATCGGGATGGTTTTGATTTCTGTTTTTTTCTCCCTTTTCTGGGTTTAGATGTTTTGTGTGACGTACGAGGTTGTTCTGGGCAATCCTCGGTTGACCGGTGCGTATACCAGGCCTCTCAGGTTTCTCGAAGGAATCGGAGATGACAACGACGAGGTTTGTGCCTTGTCAAGAAAAGGGGCGGGAGAGAGGGGATGGAAGGAGGGACCACGATCCGTCCCCCGGCGGAGGGATGTCCGATTGTGGAAATCGTACCTTGTTGGTCACTGATGCATTGCGATGGCGTTGGGGGATCAAGGAAAAACAAGATAAAAGAGACGAGGAAGAATAATTGTGTGTTGATATAGAATGTGCCCAACCTATCTATCTACCTTACCCGAATACGCCGTTAGAGGCGGGCCGGACATTCAAAAATCAGAATATCATCCAGGTCTCTCTGGGTCCAAGCTACACAAACACAAATGTGGAATCTGAAAGTCTATCTGCATCCCACCCTCCCCCGTCTATATTCCCCAATCCCGCAAGTTCTCGCGGTTAACTATGTTGGCCGAAAGAGGACGGGCAACAGGCCGAGAGGTTGTTGAATATCACGTTGTCCAAACAAGTGTTCTTAACATGCTCGATCTTTCCTGAATCAAGGCGATACGTGTATCCATCCATCAATGGCACAACCGTCCAGACCAACGAACGACGGGAGGCTCATCAGAATACGGTACTATCCAACACCACAATCCAAGCATAGCCATAAGCACACTGACCCCCTACTAGGAAGGAAAAAAAAAAAAAGAAAGAAAGAAAAAGAGTCAAGAAAGACCGTCCACGAATTCCTCCAACAGCCGGTTCGTCCCCGCCGCGTCCTCGAGCATGACCCAGTGGCCCGTGTCGAGCACCTCGAACCGGTACCCCGCCCGCGCCCACGGCCTCGTCATCTCGTCCTGCAGCCCGGCCGCCGTCATCTCGTCCCGGCCGAACCCCACGATCAGCACCGGCACCTCCAGCTCCTTCCCCATCCCCTCCTCGTCCCCAAGCGAGAGATTATCCCGCAGCGCCCGGTACCAGTTCGTCGGCCCCGTCCATCCGCCCGTCCGAAACGCCGCGACCTTGTCCCGGAAGCAGGCGTGAGACCGTGCGTCCCCGTCGCCGAACGAGTGCGCCGACGCCACCCGGCCTGCGGCCATCCACGCCCTCGCCCGGCCCCGCGGCCCCAGGTTCGCCGCCATCACGCCGGGCGGCGCCGCGTGCATCAGCGACACCGCGGACTCGGTCTCCCGCCCCATCAGCGCCGGCGCCTCGTCGCTCGTGAAAAAGTCCCAGTACCGGAACCGCTCCGCCCCGTCGGCGGACGCCGCCGCCGACGACGTGCGGTTGATGGCCTCGACGTCGAACCGCCCGCCCGGCGGCACGTACCCGACGCACAGGAACGCCAGCCCCGCCAGCCGTGCCGGATACAACAGGTGGCACAGCCGGCTCAGGAACCAGGACCCCAGGTCGTGGCCGACGCCGACGACCATGGGCGCCGTGTCGCCGCCGCCGCCGCCGATGAGAAGGCCCTCGGCGTCGAGGAGGGCGGCGATGTGGCCCGCCATCGCGCGCCAGGTGTACGCGCCCGGGTCGGCCGGCTTCGAGGTCCCGCCGTAGCCGAGGAGGTCGGGCGCGAGGACGCCGCAGCCCCGGGCGGCGAAGTGTTCGAGCTGCGGGCGGAAGTCGGCCGCCGTGGAGGGAAAGCCGTGGAGGAAGAGGATGGTGGGGAGGTCTGCCCGCGCGGCGCGGGAGTAAAAGTACCTGTACGTTATCCCGGGCGAGACCTCCAGAGTCTTGGAAGGGATGGACGTCATGGTGGTGGGTTGAATTTGAGTTTTTGGACCGGAATAGAACGATGTCGATGAGTTGCGAGGCGAGAAATCGAAACTTCAGGGTATTAGCATCTATGGACGGCTTTCGTGGAATGAGCTTACACGGCAGGGTTCACTATAAAACTAAAGCTGGTGGGCGATGGGGGTTTATGAGGGATCCCGTCCGAAACAAAAAGTCAGCGAGATGTTTCCGGCCCGGCTGCGACTTACACGGGCTACGTCGGCGATCTTTGGCGCCCCACTGCTCCTCTCCCGCTCCCACAACACCAAATAAGGGGGAGGAAGAGATTCGATGCTTGGGATATTGCAAGATTTTCACCCTGATATTGCAATCTTCCAAGTTGATACACCAGGATAGAGCCGGAGACCACATTGAGTGCAGTTCCGTCACCTGGATAACAGGCCTGCACGAGAGGGAAAAGCCCACGTCTCACTCTTGCAGGTCTCATTGCCGAACCATGCTTTAGCAACGAGCACGAGTTTCTGGATAGAACAACTAATGACAAAGCGTAACGAATGTAAAGACGCAGTGGGGCCATGACACCCCGCGTCGAGGCAGAGGCAGTGTTGGAGCTGCCTCCCTTGCTTCAATGAAGCACTTCACACAGGCGGTGTTGAATCTGCCCCTGAATTCCAAAAACTGAGTTTGCAAGCCGCATACTGCATTCACGCAAAGACGGTTCCTCGTCCCAATGATTCTTCTCATCCTATCTCCAAATCAGTAGTCACATCCCCGGCTCACGATTTCTTTGCTGGACTCTCGCAGCAAGATCGTCTGGGAAAAGTCAGCTACGCATCCTTGATCTTCTATGGAAACTTGTGCCCGGTGACCAAACTTACGTGCTCAAACTGCGAGCTGTAGGATCCTTTGATGTCCGCGAGCGGCGCGTATGACTCGAGAACGCCATGCGAAACCAGGGAATTCAGCTGTCGTAGACCAGCCGATTAGTACGGTACCTTATCTCGAAGATTATCCTGAGATAGGAGAAGAGAGACCTACCCCAGCTAAGTAACGGTCCAAACCAAGACGGTCCAGGTAGCGGCGGCAGAAGACGATACTCCCGAATTGTTCCTTGATCGTCTTATATAACCGGTTCGCGGAGGCGAAGGGCAACCTCACTTGCGCGGGGGCGTCGTGCCGGAGTCCGTATCCGTAGACACCGAACTTCCAATCGCAATTCAGCCTTTTTCATTTCACATCTCGGAGTGGCCAGTGCATTGTCAAGGGAAGCGGGGGTACTCACGTCGTCGTATAGCTTGCCGCGGCCGGTTGTGCCGAACGTCTCAATGGCGAAAATCTCGCCCTCCTCCATCTTGGTCTGGTCATTGTTCCGGATGAAGGGAATCGACTTGCCGCCGTGGATGCGGTAGCGCTTGATATCGTGGGCGCAGATGTTGCGCACCGCCCTGACGGGGTACGTCTTGCCGCGGATCTCGACCTCGTAGCTCTCCATGGCCTCCTGGATCTCGGCGCTAACGTCGCAGATGCGGACGTCGATGCCGGCGGCCTGAGATGGTGTCAGTCATCACATGTCCTTGAGGCTATTGAGAAACGTGTCTCACCTTGATGCCGGAGTTCGTTGCGTCCCGGGCCGCGGCCAGGAGGTTGTCGTACGTGGGGTCGAAACTCATGGTGAAGGCGCTGTCGACGATCCACCCGTTGACCTGCACGCCGTAGTCAACCTTCATGACGTCCCCGTACTGCAGCACGACGTCCCGCTGCCCGGGGTTCGGTGTGTAGTGTGCCGTCTCATGGTTCAAACAAAGCCCCGTGGGGAATCCCATCCCGGACCTTAGGTTGTCGCCGGGCTCGATCCCCTGGTTGGCCAGAAGCGAGCGCACGCCGTCCTCGATGCCGGTGGCGATGTCGAGGAGCGTCCAGCCAGGCTTGACGACTTCCTGTACCCAGTGCCGGACCTGGCGGTGCACCTCGGCGGCCTTGCGGTAGTCGTTGAGGAGTGCGGGGTCCTCAAGGTGCTTGCGACTCTGATACCGCAGCTCCGCGGTCGTGGATCGAGCCGTGTTAGCGTCCGGGTGAGAAACTTTGTCGTCGACGAGATCCTCGCCAGCGGGGTATTCCCCTGAAGGGAAGAGGTCGCTCAGCGGCACCCTTGGGGGCGACGACTGCTCCTTGGCAGCGGCAGACTTCTTTTTCTTCTTCTTCGGCTTTTTCTTTTTCTTCTTCTTCTCGGCATCTGCCGTCAACGGTCTGGAGCTAACATCGTCATCGTCAGCGTCGTCGTCGTCGCCCTGGTTCCCAAGGCTACCATCCCCATCGCGGGAGAGATGCGCGCCACGCGGCTCGCCGCCGCTGGAAAAAGGGCCGGCTGACAGCGGTCCGCCTGTTACTGGTAAGTATTTGTTACAAGTGGAAACGAGTCAACAAGTCACACCATTGCCTCCAGGAATCTGCTCTTCGGGTGTCTTGGATCCCATTCCGACATGAACGCTGGGAAGTTGGGTTGGATGATGCGATGGTGGATTCTAGACGAGAAAAGAAGAGAGGACGAAAACGAGCGGTTTCGAGCAAAGCCGCGCTCCCTTATATCGCTTTACAAGAAAGGAAAAAAAAAAAGGACGCAGGAAGTTGCGCCGTGCTTGTCAACCCAAGGGCGCAACGGCTTTATTTGGCTGGCTAGAAAGTGAAGCCGAAGCCGGCGGCAAGACTAGACGAGTACAGGCATGGATTCCCGAGGAAGGAGCGGCACTGCCTTCCCCCCATGGAAGAAGATATGACTAAATTGAGACAACACTTCTTCCAACGCAAGGTGCGAACAGGAAATCGTCCCTTACCTGTCTGAACGGCATGGACTTCACCAACACGATGGAACATACTGAACATGAAGAAAAAAAATCAAATTTTCCGGCTGCCTACAGCATTACCACAGTCCGTCAAGCCCCATATCCCAAGCCACATTTTTCAGTTCGTTCACTCAAGCAAGCATCGTTCGATCTCAGAAAGCATAGCCCCGTAACCATTATATAGTACATGTACAAGACGATTCTTGTCGACGCCACCAAACACACGCCGTTGCTCAGTGGTGCCGATGACGTCTGGAGCGCCCGGCGCCTATGTCGATGCGGCTCATTTCCTGCATCAGCGCCCACTCGTTGTCGCCGTTCGCGCCACTCATCATGGGCAAGGGGACCTTGGCCGGGATCGGGGGTGCGCCGCCGCCGTAGTTTCCTCCGGGAGAGCTGCCGTACTGCGGCGCGTGGTTCTCGCTCGGGTAGTCCCATGTGCTCGCCCTCGGCAGGCGTGGCGGTGTGAAGTCGCCACCGTTGTCCTGGTAGTTGTGTGATGAGATGGGGGCCAGAGGGCTGGATCCCGCGGGCGACGTCGAGGGAAGAGCAGACATGCGCTGGGTCTTCTTCTGGAGCCGGTTTCGGCCACCGCCGCTCATGTTCGGCGGAGTGCCCGGGACGTGGTACGGGTCCGAGCTATACGTCACTGGCGAGGCTTGAGACTGGGGCCGGCCGGCGATGCGCAGCTGCCGACGGCCGCTCGTAGGCAGGGCCTGAGCGCCGGCAGTAGACGCCCGTGATCGGGTGGACGCAGAGACCGGCGTCTTGGGACCCTTTGGCTCCGGCTCTGGTGCCCAGGTGTCCATAGGTAAATGATCCGACGGGTCGATTTCACGTCCGTCATGAGTGATGATCTTCTCGTCGGGGTCGGGCCTCGAGATGTCGCTGTTGGTGGTCGACACCGCCGGATTCAGCATATCGTATGAATCCGGGCCAAAGGGGATGCCGGACAACCTGCGGTGCTCAGATGGAGGCGGCGCGGGACTAACAGACTTCCGCTTGATCGTGTGCTGCGTGTGAGGATTGGGCGATATGCCTCGCGACCTCATGTGCTGGGGAGGGGGCTGAGGCGAAGTACCTCTTCTCATGGGGTTGGGCGAGACTTCCCGCGCAGCCATAGGGTTGGGAGAAGATCCTCGAGCCATCATGGGATTAGGGGAAGCGCCCCGTCCCCTCATCGGGTTCGGCGAAGGCCCTCGTCCTCTGTTCATGTCAGGGGGAGGCGCGCCGTACGCCGATGCCCGGGAGTTGTACCCTGGCGGGACGTATGTCTGGTTCGTGTAGCTGCCATCGTATCCGGCAGGCTCGCTATGCTGTCTCCCGCGATGCTGAATCGCCGTGCTCTGATCAGTATAGCGCCGCTGTTGACGTCTCTCGTCGTAGATCCGATCCGAAACCTCTTGCGATATTGTCGGATCGGTGCCCGGCACCAACGACGCCGGCACAGCGGGCATGCTGTGAGCCGTGACCTCGGTACCGCCCAGCTCAGACCGCTGCGAAGTGAATTGGGTCTGGCTACGGGAGTGCGAGTGGTACGGCGATCCCTCCATCGGGCTCGGAGCGAAGTCCCGAGTCGCAATGGGAGAGACTTGCTGACGGCGAGCCATTTCGTCTCCCCTCACGTACGGCTGCGGGGAAGTGCTGTAGTGGCCCGGCGACACGGATCCTCTGCCGGCAAGAACCAGCTCATCGCCTCTAGGCTGATAATCTTGTTGATGTTCTGGCTGAGGTGATGTGCTGTAGTGCCCCGGGGAAGCACCGCCTCGGCCGGCGAATACCAGTTCGTCTCCTCTCGGCTGGTATTCTGGGTGAGGCGACGTGCTGTAGCGGCCCGCTTGAGACATCTCGTCCCCTCGCCCGTAGCCGGGCTGCGGCGAGGCGCCTCTTTGACGAGAGGAGCCCGCACTTCCCCTGCCGCCGATGTTCAAGGGGGCAGGACTAGGCACTTGGTCGTAACCTTGTTCATATCCCATCTCGTCATATTGGGGTGTATACGAGTTCCGGCGCTGGGATAACTGCATCGCCTGCTGATGATGCTGTTGTTGCTGCTGTTGTTGCTGCTGTTGGAATTGCTGCTGCTGCTGCTGGAATTGTTGCTGCTGCTGCTGCTGGAATTGTTGCTGCTGCTGCTGCTGGAATTGTTGTTGCTGCTGCTGCTGGAATTGCTGTTGCTGTTGCTGATGTTGATGCTGATGCTGATGCTGATGCTGTAGCTGTTGTTGCTGCGACTGCTGAGGTGTTTGCGATGGCGGAAGCTGGTTGTGTTCCTGGCCGTAACCCGTCTCCTCGTACGGAGGCGCACGCGAGATCCTTCGTTGGTGGGGATTCGCCGAAGTATTGGGCAACTCGGGCACGTCTTCAACCGTCGGCTGCATGGATCGGTACTCTGCATGAGCATCATACGAGTGGTGCCTCGAAGATGTCAGCTCCTGATGGTGGTTGTGATGGTGGTCCTCAGGGGCTGGAAGCGCGTTGGTGACTGCGGGGGCCGAATCGAAACCACGGTAGGTAGGCCGTCCAGGGTACGCTGTGGAAGAAAAAGACATGCGATGAGCCTCGTTTCGGAGGACATCTTGCCTCATGGCATTCGCCGACTTGGGAGGAGTGTCGTAGGCGGCCCTCAGGACCATATCCTGAGAGTTTCCGCGGCTTCTATGAGCGGGCGGAGGTGGTGGACGATCGTCGTCGGCAGGGGGTTCTTGCCGCTGGTCCTCCAAATAAAGCATCTCACGCGGTGGCTCGGAACCCTGACGGTAATGGGCCTGGTTGACGATTTCCTGGGATGAGTATCTCGGACTGTAGTCCCTGTCGTCGTACTGAGCGGCGGGACTTTCGTAACGCTCGTGTCTCGGCGTGTGCTGTGGTGTCACTTCTGTCGAGTGCGGCGGCAGAGCGGTCTGAAGCGGCTGCGCAGGCAAGTCTTGCTGGGTGGGCTGGGCCATAGGGGCAGCGTTGGTGTTATACTCAATGGCCTGCAAGGGCGATTGTGTCGGCACCTGGGCTGGCTGTAACTGCTTCGGGCCCTTTGGCATCGGGCGCGAGCCCGAGAGACTTGCCTCCTGGGCTGGGGGTGTAGGGGTGCTCATCTCCTTGGGACCTCTGGGGCCGCCAGTGCGGGGCGGGGTCGGGGCTTGATCCGGAGAGGGGGCAGCGGGAGCCTCGCCGGTGAAGGGATCGGATGGCAGCGGTCGGCGCTTGATCTGCTTCCGAGGGATGGTGCCATGGTGGTACTCGGTAGGCTCTGCCTCGACGGGCTTGGGCTTAGCAACGGGCTTCTCGGGTTTCGGGCGTTGATCGTAGTATGTAATCTCCATGCGCACCTCGCCGGCGTACTTGCCCTTGAACATCAAGTTGCGCCAAATGTCGTTTTGGCCTCCGCCAGGCACAATGATGTCCCTCAGGTCGATCCACGTCTCTCCGATGAGGTCCGTTTTCTTATCGTCATGGAAGACGGACACCTTCAGCTGGTAGTAATCTGGCGAGTCGTGAACGGGGAAGCGAAGCTCCTGATCCCTGGAGAGACGGATGTTAGTACACAAGTGAAGGTTCGCGGAGGGGCAAGGATGAAGGGGACGGTTACCATCTTGGAGTCTGACCTCCGCGAATGTCCGTCGTGGTCCTCTTGGCTTCCTTGCCTAGCCGGGCAGCGCAGTAGGGGTCCTGCTTTCCGATGGTCTTGCGGTTGGGCAAGTTTTTGGCGCGGTCAACAATGGCAACCAGAGTTCCAATCAAAGGCCCGTCGATGCTGGGGTCGGCAAAGATTCCGGCCGTGTGCATCCCATTGAGCGGGTGGACTTTGGACGACTTGGCCGTAGCCATGGCTGTGGCTTGTTTGTTGTTGTTATTATTATTGCGGCTTTGTGAGAGCTGCGTCTTCAGCGAACCAATGCCGCCGGGACTTTGCAGAGTCGAAGAAAACGCATCAAGCAAGGGCTTCCGGCGAGCCACAGAGCGAAAGAAAATAGCTGGACGAGGAGCTGTCTACACGGGGCGGGGTTCTTGAAGACGGGTATCAAAACAGTCGAAGGTCGAGGAAAAGACGATGGCAGGGCGCAGCGCACCGAGAGAACAGCACAAAGGCGGAATGGAATGGAGAATGACGATGAGGGCAAGGAGAGTGAAACAGAGCCGGGCGAGTCAACGCTGAAGCCGTGGAATGAATGGCAATGGCAGCGGGTGTGAAAGAGGGGAAGGAGGAAGAGGAGGAGGAGAAGAAGGAGGCGGAACAGGTGGAAGAGGAGGTAATGCGCAGAGAGCGAGCGAGCGAGCGTTGCGTTGTGTGGTGTGGGAGAGACACGGCCAAGTGCGTGCGACGCAGACGTATGATGAATGATGTCGGCTCAGGACCGTATTTTGGCGTCGGGCGGCATGCACAGGATGCCAATTGGAGGGCAGGTGGGGGGGGGGGGGGGGGGCTAAGGTAGGTAGCTAGGCAAAGCCAGCAAGGAAGAAAGGAAGGGGGAAAAACAGGTACCAGCCGTGACAGCTCTCTTCCTAGGCAATGCCCTGAACCTGTTTGTCGAGAGCCGGACCAGCCAGGTATGAGCTGGCAGAGTGATGGAAACAAGATGAAGGTAGAAAATGAGGAAAGGCCGATAGCATAGCCCAGTCAGTCTGTGATGCTGCGTAAGTAGGTAGGTAGGTAGATAGGTAGGTAGGTAGATAGGTAGGTAGGTAGCTCGAGTAGCTAGCAGGTAATAGCCCTGTTGCCGTACCTACATGACCTTCCCAGGTTAGCTCTTCTGCGCCCTGCGTTTGGCTGGGGGTGGACGGGGCTGCACGCTAGCGACGACAACGACGGGGGTGAGGGGTTCGGCTGCGCCAAGGCACACGCTCCAACCGCACTGTGCGTGCAGGGACAGTCCCAGGGCCGCGCGTGTGGGTGGCTGGGCGAATGAGGTGCGACATGAGGGCCCCCATTTATGTGTCCCCACCGACGTCCTGGATTCTGGATTGGGGAATATGCTGTGGCTGGTCGAGCTGGGGGCTTCAACCTCGCCGTCTGTCAGTCGTCAGTCAGGAACCAAGCAAAGGCCAGAGGCGGCTTCCTTTGCGTCTGATCTGTGACGGACGGCATTTGCTTTGATCTCCTTTGGGGTTGGCTTCGTTGTGTCAAGAGGAGGGGGTGGGGAGAGGGGCGGATTACTGCTGCCTTGCAGCCCCAGATGAATCTAGCACAGTCTTGCGTACTACCTACTAACCTATGACATGCAGTGTATGGATATCGAGTTGGTAGTACGGAGTACGGAGTACCTATTTACTATACGGGGAATAGAGTGAGCAAGCAAGCACTCCGGGCTGATGAACTCGACAACAGGTACCATGCCATCCATCATGGTCCAGCACTCCAGGTTGGGCCGTACCATGCACTCCATCCATATCTGAGAAAAATTCAGGAGGCTGGTGTATTACTGGACCATGTCGGTTTGGATTTTTTTTTCTTTAATCTTTCTCCCCCCCAATTTCTCTCAGGCCCTCATCAGCATTTCCTCTTCCTGCAGACCGAGACGCCATCGGTCCAACATCACCAGGGAACCCTAGGACGTCAAACGCAGACAGGAGGTTGTTTGTCCTCGCCTGTCACTCTATTCTGGCAGGGTTCATGTGCCGTGGGCCTCCCCTCCAACAGGGATTCGCGAGCTGAACCACAGGGATCTTGCGAATCTCCTACTCTGTACGGAGTACTCAACCTTTTTTTTTTTTTTTTTTCTCCTTCCCACACCTCCGACGTATGTGATACATACAAGCACCATCATCTCTGTATGTATGTTCATGTATACAGTAATCACGACTGGGACACTCGCGTAAGGGCATGTCGACATGATGCCGCCGGTAGGGCCTAGGTCGCCTCCCGCTTTTGCTCTTCGACGATTGACGGCCAGGGCCAGGGCCTCTGCCAATGGCATTTCGACCGTCCCACTCGGAACTTTACCTCTCACCTGAGCACCTAAGGTTGGGTGAGTGCCCGCGACTCGTACCGGCGGGCACCTACAGTACGTTCCACTCAGTGAAGACGGACATGGGCCAAGGTCGAACCAGGCACCCGCACATCATTATCCAACGTCTGATGAGTTGGCGGTGGTTGGTCGCCGCATTCGTTCTGTCTCGCCGCTTTTCTCGTGGCAATCTACACACTGAGAAATGACCGTCTCCGGCCACGGCTCAGTCTCGACTCTTTTCATCTATTGAAGCCCAAGGTGGAACTCGAATCTTTGGTCCCAAGCCTTCTCGACTCGAAGCTTGCTGCGGACCAGTGGTCCCCCGGTCCCCCTCACCCCAGCTTGACTAACCCCTTGGCCCATTGTGGCTCGGCAGCCTGCAGGCAGGGGATATGCACATCATCCCGGACTGAGCCTCACTGGGTGACGTGCCCCAGGGGACCCAATTACTCTATGCCCCGTCCCCAATGACGTCCCTCGAATCCGCGAGAGCGATGAGTTCTAGACGTGTCCACTGAGCCAACCAACCCTCGTTGGCAACTCGTTTCTTCAGCATTTCGCCATGTCACTGTTTCGCGAAGCAATAGTGTATTGCGTAGGTAGCTACAGGCCCCTCCAGAACCTTTCACAGTGCCTCGTCCTCCTCTTCCGCGCTCTAACTCTGCGAAGTGTTCTGTCGCCAAGAGCTGGCGGCTGACGTCTCTCCCCCTCCCCCAACACCAAAATAGAAGCAAGAATTCCAGAAGGGAACCACGGCGCCAGACCCGATGGGCCGGTCGCCCCCCCCCCTGCTCTTGCTTTCACCAGGAGAGTTTAAGCTTCGGGTTTTTCGCGATCCTTCTCGAGCTCGCCGCGGCGTGTTTCGGATCTGTGAAGATATCGGGTCTTTCCAGAGACTGCTAGACTGCTAACCCCCCTCTCCCCGTCAATGCTCTAATCAGCGGGCCATGGTGACAACCAAAGCGGCCGACTCCGCACGGGATTGCGTACATGCGTGACGACTTCGAGCTTGCAACGACCGTCCATAACATATACTGAAAGTCTCACCACACAGGGCACACACATACACACACGCTCCGAAAGGCGCACAATACGCAAGCTATGTCTTGGCGGCGCCTCCCCCCCTCGCAGACTCCATCTGATGTTTCCTCGCACTGAAAACGCCAAAAGAAGAAAACGCTCATGTTTCGTCCCGCCCTCAGACAAGATGCGGCCTGATCCGGTCTAGGCTGTTCCGGGCGTCCTCCGGGGCAGCAACGGTCGAGGGGAAACGCTCTAGCGCGCACGGGGGAAAGGAGAAGCAAAAAAGAAGAGTAAAAAGCATCCTGACACCAGCACAGTGTCCGCGCCTTAGCGGGCTCTTTCGGGTCTCGTGCGCTAGGGAAGCCAAACAATGCTCGAAGCAGAAAAAGACGGCGAGGCAGTTCGTCTCGTCTTCCGGCCAACAAGCCTCAGTTGCCGCAGTTGTTGCAACGGGCTCGTCTTTTTTTTCTTCTTTCTTTTGCTTTGCTTTTGACTAGGAACCTACCTATGTAGCTGACTGTGAAGCCCTTGCCAGCACTACTTAGGAACTATGGATACGCCCCGTCTCTTCACAAGACTGGTCGGGTGGGAAAAGAGGTAAAAGGTCTCAGAACACCTTCTGTATTACTTCATCTCATAATCAATCCTAGAACGAGCACTACAAGGCCGCTCACTGGACAACCGCTGACCCGTCTGGTCCAGGCACGGGGCGGATGATGATGACCGCCGTCTACCGCGTGGTGCCGGAAGAGAGAGGAGGGCAGTCCGCGCAAAAGACGCTTCTCGCCGGTCCCCGTCCCGGTCCCGGTACCTCGATCCCTCAACAAGACGCAAAAGACGTCTCCATTCAACTGGCCTTGACAATTCCGTCCAAGCTTCCTCCACCCCTGTAACAAAAAAGACTGAATCGCCAGGCATGCGCTCGTCTCTCCTTCGCAGCCCAAGGTGGGCAGAGAGGAGCGGCCGGGCATCACCGCGCGCGAGGGGCAAGCGAGAAGGTTGGAGAAACCCGGGAAACCGGAACCACCCAGCCCCGCTAGTACCTTTTCGGTGACAGGATCCGGACCGATTTGGCCAACACAACCCGGTTCGGCCTTTGCATTCTTCATGCGCCCCCCACTCTCCCGCCCTCCCGAATTCATCATTCCAGCCTTATCTCGATCCAGCTCGTGAGACGCCCAAGAGCCAGTGCCCAAGTCTCTCTACAGCCTGACGGAATCGAGATGCGGACGATGGAGCCCGGCGGGGATATTGCCTGCATCACCCCCGAGGGGCGCTGGCCAAACGCTGGAAGAGGCGTTTCTCTCATGCAGGGCCAGAAGCCATCGGGCATCAAACACCGCGGCTGGAGCCTGCCGCCTGGAAGTTACCATTGCATTGGGGAAAAAAGGCCACTTTTGGTTATCACAAGTAACTTGCTCCGGGATCCATTCCATCCAAATCGTCATCGTCATCATGTCCAGGGATGACAAGAAAATTGCAATGCAAAAAAGTGGGCGTAGTCGCCATACGATTCATCAAGACTCGATTTCGGTCTTGATCCAGTAACATGCCGACCCCAGACAAACGTCGTCGTCGCCCGAGCTCAAAGGTCAGACGTGGTTTCCCAAGTGATATCAAAAACAAATAAAGCCTCGCCCCCGCGTGATGTCCCAGAAAAAAACGGACACCCATGATTTGGAGATTTTCTTTTGCCACTCCCTGTTGCGCACTTCATTAATCGCCGCCGCCAGCAAGAGACGGTCTCATTCCCGCCACTCCAAGAGCGTTCCCACTTCCAAAACGCCCACGATGTCCCCCTGGTCCAGGACGGCTAGTATGGAATCCGGACTGCAGACGTACTCGCCGTCGTCCGCGGCGCCCTGCATGCTCCTCACAAAGTCCGCGGCGCGCCGTATCGTCGTCCCCGCCGAGATGGAGAGCATCTCGGCCCGTGGCACCATCAGGCGCGGTATGTCGCGCAGCCGCCGCGCGAAGTCCTGCGTCGCGAGCTTCCGGATCCTGCCCGGCGACGCCACGTCGCCGCCGACACGCACCCACCCGGACGCCGCGTCGTACGCGGCCCGGAAGAGGTCCGCGCCCACGCTGCTGTCTGCGCACAGGCCCTCCGAGTCAGGGATGTCGGCCCAGGGGACGGCCAGGTCCAGGATCGTCTGGGGCTTCCGGAAGGCGGCGCCGATGGCGCCGCCCGGGTGGTTCCTGGAGAAGACCTGCGCGACGTTGGGGTGCAGCTCTTGCGCCGCGGCGATGGCGAGCGCGTCGCCCACGGCCAGGGCGACCGTCGTGGAGGTCGTCGGGGCTGAGACGCCGAAAGACGACGTTTCGCTCTCGTGGACCGGCGCCGGGAGGAGGATCGTGTCCGGCCGGAGCTTGACGAGCTCGCAGGTGTCCGGTCTCGTGTGCCCCGTGAGGACCACCAACGACGAAGGCTTGTCGAGGTGTGGTAACAAGCTGAGGAGTTCTGATGTCTTTCCGGAAAACGTAATGAACATGAGAATGTCGTGTTGTTGAATGATGCCTAAGTCGCCATGTAAAGCATCGATGGGGTTTAGAAACACGGATGCGATGGACAGACTGTTGAAAGTCGCGACCAGCTTGTTGGCGATGTGCCCAGACTTGCCCACGCCCGTGACAATGAGCTTGCCCTTTTCGCCCTTGTGCCGCGTAACTGCCGCGACGGTCCGGTTGAAGCCGTCCCTGGCGACAGGGTCCGTCTCGTACAGGTTTGCGACGGCCCGCAACGCTGCGGCCTCTGTCTTCAGGACATGTGTTGCGGCGTGGAGGCGGTCCTGTACCTTGGCGCAACTCTCGTCGTTCTCGGGGAGGTCGTCGGGCGACCCCAAGCTCAATTCCTCCAATTCCTCGAAAAACCCCTCTTCAGGCGGAGACACTGGTGGTGAAGGAGGCGAGGGGGGTGGCATTGAGTCTGCATGGGGTGCGCCGAGGACGTAGACGGCGCTGGTCTGCACCGGCCGGTGCTCCAAGAGACGTTGGTCTCCCATGTTAATGCTGTGTTGCCTAGTGTCTGGGGGGGGAGGGGGGGGACACTGTGCTTTCGAGAGTATATCTCGTTGGTATTGGCGTAGGATGTCGTAGTCAAAAGCAACAAGTCGTAAACTTCGTTATCCGTATCAATTCAATGGAGCAACGTTATCGTTGGTGGTCCCGAATGCGTGATAAGCTTGTTGATTCGTGTTGCCTGTCGAAGAATGGCAACCGTGGGGTTGATGAACAAAAAAAGAAGGGGGCCGACTTCACCTAGGATCAAGTCTCGGGGAGCAGCAGGAGTTGGGCACAGCACAATAATAGTAGCAGGACTCCATGACGTTGAAGAGTCGCGACTCGGGAATTGTAAGATCCTGTCCGAAGCGCGCGGTCGAGTTAAAAGAGGGAGGAAAAAAAGAATGGAATACGTAAGTTATTGTAGAGGGGCCGAGGACCCTGCGCCGGAGCGAAGAGACCTTCCCAAACTCACTTTAATTCGGTCCCATCTACTCGGGGTCACCCTGGGCTTAGCTTCAAGCGTACTATGTAGTGGGTAGCCCGCCCCGATCCCCCTTTGCTGAGTGGCCGATTAGACCCATCTTCCCAGCTCTGCTGCGGCATGTCAGAGGCATTGTTCTATACGCCCTGCCTCTGGCGTGATCGATTGGTGGGTGTGCTATCAATGGCTCCCCGGAGGCGACAGCACGGTTTGTCATCAGATCCGTCACACAGGACGGCTACCTAGGTACGCTTGGGGGCTTGCCAGAAGGGAGGGACAAGGACGCTTACAATACAAAGCCTTTACGTTTTCGTGTACGTCGACGGCGCTGCCCCCCCAATTTCGGACAATTCGGCCAGGGGGAGATTACCTAGCTAGACCGAACAAAGATACGGACGATAAAGAAGCTTTCCTCCATGTGAGATAGGGGAGGGGTCCGGCATCACAAGCAGCCCGGAGCCTGTTTGCTTGGTGGGGCTCCGCGAGTCTATGATCCATCGATGTTTCCTATGCATGGATTTTGGACATCGATGCGGCTTAGTCCCGCGATGATGCGTGCGTTTGCCCTATGCCAGCATCGACCGCCCTTTGGGATCCTGGAGGACCCCAGCTAATGGGGGGTTTTCGGGTTGACCGCTCTCAGCTCCGTTGCGCGTCTGGAGCCATCGCGAAGGATTCTAGAAATTCAGATTCGTTGTTTACTCGTTGTTTATTGGGGACCGCAGATCGAGGTTTGCGGACATTCCGGTCCAGTTTCTCTCTTCGAGGACAGGCAAATCGCCCAGGCCACCCCTGCGACCCTGGTCGCGAGCCTTAACAAGACCGCAAAAGGCCCGACCGCTTCCCAGGACATGTCAGTGGATTGCGACATCTGTTAGCTAATCGGCAGAGCTCCCTAATTTCATATGATCTCCTGAGTCGTGTGGCACTTGCCGCCCCTGCCTGACCGTTGATGTCCGCGGGAGATTATCACGGAGAGGCCCCTCAGCCAATCAAGTTGCCCACGCGCAAAACGGTTCGCCGGCTCCGAGGGGTGACTTTTAATGCATGGCAGTTGAACTACCTACCGGTAGTTCCAGTGAATGAAGATCGCTGCTGCCCTCAAAGTGAGGACCAACCAATTTGCAGCGCCGTGCCTGCGCATCGCGACTCTCTCACTCTTGCGTTGAACAGACCAAGTAACCATGGGCGGCTGAAGCGGTAGACGTCCAAGATGAAATGATTTAAAAGGCAGCTTTCGTCAACCTTCCAGCGATGAGGTACAAAAAGTAAGAGACAAGCCCGGTCGCGTCGTTCGTCCTCTTGTCGCCTTTTTACTTGTTCTTATCGTTTCTTCGTTAGTTTGAAAACCCGCTCCGTTTCTTGGCAACATGCATCTTGTCGTGGCCATCATCGCGGCCCTGGCCCTCACTGTTCAGGCTTTTCCACAGCATGGACGCTTTCGGATGCTGGCCCGGGCCAATGACACGGAAATAGCATGCGGCGCAAACGTGTACAGCCTCACCTCGGTGAGGTCGGCGGCCAACGCGGCCTGCAAGCACGTGGAGGCCGGGACAACGGCGGGCAGCTCGAGCTATCCCCATACGTACCGTAATCAGGAGGGGTTCGACTTCCATGGCGTTGCCGGGCCCTTTATCGAGTTCCCGATGAAGACGAATGGTGTTTACAAAGGCGGTAAGCAATCGATTTGAGTTTTCAAGCGTACACAAGATCGGCGATCCGGCGTGCACTCTGTCCGAGGGTCTGTGCTAGTCGAACACAGGCTGCCAAGGATCGCTAGCGGCAGGGGCTACGCAGTATAGACTCTCGTGGTGTTAGCCGCGCTTGGAGCAGGGCGAGCAGATTCTGCGAGGCTGGGCTGGAGCTGACTGATGAATCGCGAATAGGCAAGCCGGGCGCCGACAGAGTTATCATCAACGAAAAGTGTGACCTGGCGGGCCAGATCACCCATTCGGGGGCCCAGGGCAATGCTTTTGTGGGATGCGAGGGGACGGATTGATGGGATTGGGGACGGGGAGGACGTGTTTTGATCCAGGCGCTGATAACAACGGCATTGGTGTTTATCCCCCTACCACGATTCAGGTGCCTGACAGTGGCGGTTAGCACGGCAGGCGTGGATGGATTAGGCAGTCGAATTAGACGAGCTTATGGTCACCAACATAGGCAGCATTTCAATGTTTGCAACATCTGTCCTGAATGAAATCCCGTCTCATCACTCCCATGCCGTAGCCGGTGACTCACATCTACATGGATTTGGGCGATGTGCCTGATGCCAGCGTGTTCTCTCCGGATTGCCGGTCGTCAGCCAAGGGTCTGCGATGGAATCGGGAAATAGCGAGAGAGCCCTTCCGTAGAGCTGCGATCCGTGGAAGACAAAGCGGTGAAGGCCGAGCGAGGTGCTGCTACTTAGTTGAGGTGAGAGGAGCTAGGAGCAGGACGGGATGAGCGCTCCGGGTCTATCCATTAGGTCGGCTGCTAACTCTCTAACAATATCGGGTCCAGTTCATGCTGCCTACATGTAGGTTCCCGCGAGAGGCGAAGCAATCTTGGTCACGACACCCGGCGGTTGCAGCAGTGGGAATGGGCAGTTGGTGATCTGTGAGATGATCTGTAAGGTGAGAGGTGACGGCAGTGTGCCATGCATGCATCCATGCTGCCGCGCTGTATCAATTAGCTGCCGGCAAATGTTTCCCATGCCCAGCTGAGGGAAAAGGTACCTAGAGCACAAGCGGAATTAATGCTAGAATGCATGTCACTTTCCTCGAAGCCAACCATACGCGCAGGGCTTCGGCTTCCCGATTCAGGGAAGATAGCGTCATAACTGCGACTAGTCTGCCCACTACCACCACCTGCACCACCAATCATTGAAAGAGCATACCCCCCCAACCTAACCTGGAGAAGCCTCCTCCAGTTGTCTCGTTCCAAGGCATTCTGGCCATCTTCAATCCTGCCTCATCCATCTCTATTTTTCCCCTCAGGCAGGAGGAAGAGAAAACAGCGTTTACTTTACTGACTGCTACATCGTCGTAACCCGCGAACATGACACGAGTCTCCGTTTACAGCGCAGCCCTGGTGGCCTTTGTCGCCGGTAAGTGGCCTCTACTTTAACTTGACCAGGAGACGGACGACCCACACGTCAACGTCATCGCCGTTTCTGAAGACAGAACGACAGCAGCATCTCGAGGACGCCCATGGCGACGCTCTGGGTGAAGCGGAAGAAGCGCAAAGCAGAGCCTACGACGCTGACAATCTTGTTCTCCGCTAGCGACGGCAATGATTATCGCATCCATCACGCTGCCGCACTGGGTCACCTACTCCGTCACGGCAACTGACGGCAACGAGTTCTCCAAACACATCGGCCTGCATCGCGCTTGTTCGAACCTGTCCGACCCGCCATGCCAGGAGTTCCCAACAGAAGAGCTGTGCAGTAACGGCGAGCGGTATTTCTGCTCCATGTGGCGCTCCGTTGGCTTCTTGGCCTCCTTCTCAACAATCCTGCATCTTGCATCCATCGTCACCTTCCTCGTCATAATGGGCGGCGGCAAATATAAACGCGAGACCGGCTGGAAGGTCCTCAGTGGACTCCTTATATTCGTCGGTGCAGTTGAGTTTGTCTTGATGGGCATTGTGGTAAGTCGCTGATACTGCGCTCTAAATGCGAAATCAGAAGCTAAATGACTCGCCCGTTGTTGCAGGCATACCTATATGAGAACGATGAGCAGTTCCAGGTTCCGGGTTGGAACTTGGACACCTCCTGGGTTCTTTGCACCATCAGCGCATCCGTCTCCATCATCTGCGCTGTCGGCCTGGGCATCTCCGCCTTTGTGCTCCCGCCGGAGGAGGGATACGAGTTCCTCAACGACCCCTTGCCGTAAGCGACATGTCGGTCAACGGGAAACAAAAACTAGGGGCATGCCTCACCTTCTTTGGCTCTATAACGTACGCGCATAAGGCAAACCGGCGTCTTATATTTTGTTTTATTTCGAGACGATTTGTTTCTTGACATAGGAAGGGAGTTCTTCTACATTCGATTCTTCGGCAGCGGGCTGGTTAAAGTGACGAATTGGTGCATCTGGCAACGCGCGTAAGCATTACTTATGTAGACGCCAAATAAATGCATTTTATTGTTAGAAGCTTTCAAACCGAGAAAACAGACTGGGACCTACCTATTACTTGGCAGGAAACTGACGACAGTCCGTGTGATGGAGATAGGCGCTAGCGGGCTAGTGTGGGGACCGGGATCCCCGCATTCTCATGTCCCGCCAAATATTAAAACGGCGCGCCACTTCAAGACTCATAAAACATGAGGCCATCGACTTACCAGACTTGAAGTTGACACCGTTGCTGGCACGACTTACAGTTCTGAGCAAATAACTGTAACACATGTTCATCAAACCCCCCTTTGCGTCAAGCAATCCGATTTCATCCCACGGCTACCATTTGTTGACCTCATCACCATGACCGTCCCCTCACAGGAGGAGGGTCTGAGTCCGGAGCAGCTCGCCCGCTTCCACCGCGACGGCTACCTCATCATCCCCGGCGCCCTCTCCCCGGAGACCGTGTCGGGCCTGCTCGCCGAGACCCACTCATTGCTGGACAACTTCTCCCTCGCGGACCACCCCATGACTCGCTTCTCCACCGGCGACAAGGCCGATCACGTCGGCGACGACTACTTCCTCTCCTCAGGCGACAAGGTTCGCTTCTTCTTCGAGGAGGACGCCTTCGACGACTCGGGAAACCTTGTAAAGCCCAAGGCCCGCGCTATCAACAAGATCGGCCACTACCTGCACGCCCTCTCGCCGCCCTTCGCCGCCATCTCGGACCCGTGCCCTGCACCCGGGCGCGGTCCCGTCAAGGGCAAGCCGTCGGCCGTGGCCCGCAGCCTGGGCTTCCGCGACCCGCGGTGCCTGCAGAGCATGGTCATCTGCAAGCAGCCCGAGATCGGCGGCGCGGTGCCCCCGCACCAGGACTCGACGTTCCTGTACACGGACCCGCCGTCGGCCGTGGGGTTCTGGTACGCCCTCGAGGACGCGACGCTCGACAACGGCTGCTTGAGCTTCCTGCCGGGCTCGCACCGCTGGGCCCCCGTGACGCACCGGCTGGTGCGCAAGGCGGGTGGCGGGACGGAGATGGTCGACAACGACGGCCCGCGGTTCCCCCCCGGCGGGGAGTACGGCGGCGCCGAGGGCGAGGGCGAGGGAGGAGGGGAGTACGTGCCGGGCGAGGTCAAGGCCGGCGACCTGGTGCTGATCCACGGCAACCTGCTGCACAAGAGCGAGAAGAACCTGAGCCAGAAGGGGCGCATCATTTACACCTTTCACGTCATTGAGGGCGAGGGGACAAAGTACGACCAGAGGAACTGGCTGCAACCGCCCGAGGCCGGGTTCACCCGGTTGTACGCTTCATGATGTGTAGACTTTGTGGGTATCCATTGATAGGTTCAGTCTGCCCGCAGCACACAAAAGAAACATTAACAACGAGTTTCACTCTATATCCTGACATCGTCGCAGCGGACTGAGTGGTGTGGGGTGGTAACAGGTATGATGCATGACTGAATACAGTTCGACCTTTGCCGTGTTCTCTCTACTTCCCCCACCTACTTTTTCGAACCCTTCTGTCTGGTCGTCTCCTCTTCTTCATCGCTGTCATCCTCACTACTGCTGTCCTCCTCTTCCGAAGACGACGACGACTCGCTCGAGGTCTCGGCCTCGCGCTGAGCAGCCTGACGCTGGATTTCGCTCGCATTGTCAGAGTCGTCCGAGTCGCTGTCGCTGTCGCTGTCGCTGTCGTTGTCCGAATCGGATTCCGACTCGGAATCAGAGGACTCGGAGCTCGAGTCGACATTAGTACGTCTCTTACGGCGACGGGCAGTGGGTTGCTTCGTGCCGTCGTTGAGCTTGACCCTCTTGTCGACGGTCTCGTCCTGGGCAGCAGCCGCCTCTTGGGTCGCCGTGGTAGCCTCCTCGGTATCGACAGTCATGGCATCGCTGTCGTCGCTATCGGACAGTTCCTCCAGTATCGTCTCGGCCCGCATACGCTTGATGACCCGCTGCGTGATGGCGACGTCTGTGGACTGCGACACGAAGCCGGGCTCGTCGAAGCGCTTCCTCTTGGAGCCGGAGCCGGAGCCAAGCTGCATCAGGCCGGCGAGCACCTTCTCGTACTCGGACTGCTTCGAGTCCATGTCCGGCGTGCCTTCGGGGAAGGCTGCCTTCCCTTTGTCGGTATCCTCCTTCCTGACCTCCGCCGCCGTCTCCTTCAAGCGAGTCCTCGTGAAGCCCTTAAGGTCTTGGATGTAGTCGTAGAAGGTAGCGATATCGCTCGAGGGGATCGCATCGGCGTGGAAGACACGCTTCATCAGGATGGTCTGATGGTTCTTGTTGAACTTCCAGGTCTCGCGGGACGACTTCCAGTTCCGGAGGTACTCGAGGGAGGGCTTGATGTCTGCGGTGGGCTGCTGCGTCGCTGTCTTGGCCGCCTTCTTCGGGCCCTTGCTCTTCCTTTTCGGTTCGGCGGCGGCAGGGTTCTTGACGTCCTCGGCAAAGGTGACGGACTTTTGCTTCCTCAGGGTCGGGGTTGCATAGCCGGACGAGTCGTCCGTGCGGGTCTTTTTGAAGGGGGAGCTGGACGCAGGGGGAGCTTGTTGATCGAGACGTTTCCTTTTGGCGGCGGCGGCGGCGGCCGGGGAGGCGTTGGCGGCGTTGGCGACGGGGCCGCTGGCGTGCCGGTCGTGGAGTTGTTGCCCGTTGGGCTTCGATCCCTCAGCGGGAGCAGGGCCGCCAATCTCTGCGCCGGATGCGGGCTGCTTGAGCTTGAGGCCCAATCGTTTCCAGGCCGGTACTTTTTGGGCGGAGGACATGACGGGCAGCAGGCACACCCTCTTTGGGCTCCTTTCGGCTTCTCTTGTCGGAATGCTTAGGGGAGGGAGGGAGGGAGACAGGAGGGGCTGCTTGCTTCTCTCGGGCCGCTGCTGTTTCTTTGGCCAGGAATTTTGCTGTCTGCGCGTTTGACCAGTCGAAAAGTGCAGAATTGGGCCGCTTTGAAAGCTTCCACGTGTGATTAGCCTATGGAATTGGAATGGTGCGGCCTCATGGACAGCAGTTCTATTGGGCGCAAAGAGTGGTGCTTGACACCGAAAAGATGATATTGGGAATGGTCCCAATCTACTTTTTTTTTTCCTGGCTTGAGATACCGCCCTGCCAAATTTTGGTAGCAAAGATGCGTTGTCGTTCCCACTGAACAGGGGTGCCCCGCTACTTCCCTGTCACTGAGATACGTAGCGGAAACTGCCACATCCAGACTCTCAATCAGTATGTTTACGTAAGCTATACATACGTACTTGAATTTCTGCCTTAGAATACCAGCGACAAGGGCAAGGCATCTACAGCCTTTCAGCTAGGCCACTGGAGCTGCCCGCTGCGTTGCCTCGCCTGCTCCAGGCAAGCTCCTGCAAACGCGTCGATATCCAAGAGCTCCGTCAGAGCTCAACCCCGACCTCACCACCGACGACCATTTCCATCCTCCAACCATCAACGCCTTCTTTCAGTCCGTAACGACCGTAAACGATTTTCTCCGACCTAATTCGAACAACGCAAACACCACAATACCGCCAAGATGTCGGGTGCGTCCTCCCATTGCTGGCCTCACCCTTGCGAATGCCTATCATAGATGGCTAACATGCATTCGCTTCATCAGGTGGCTCTGCTTATGACCGACACATTACGATCTTCTCCGAGCAGGGAAGATTGTATCAGGTCGGTATGTTGACTCCTTCCCCCGCGATTCGATTGCCCCTCCCTGTGGTGATGCCACCATGCGGGGCCCGCAACTAAATGGCTTGTCACCAACCGAGCTGACGAGATGCCTCCGATCAGAATATGCCTTCAAGGCAATCACAGCCGCCAACATCATGTCGATAGGCGTCAGAGGAAAGGACTGTGCCGTCGTCCTGTCTCAGAAGAAGGTTCCCGTACGTTGAGATTGTCAGCAGACTCACATGTCGGAAGTGGAACTGACCCAATCGCAAGGACAAACTCATCGACCCCGCCTCCGTCTCCCACCTCTTCCAGCTCTCCCCGTCTGTTGGCTGCGTCATCACGGGATCCATAGCCGATGCCCGCGCCTTCGCCCAGCGTGCCCAGGGCGAGGCAGCCGAGTTTCGATACAAGTACGGCTACGAGATGCCTGCCGATGCATTGGCCAAGAGACTGGCCAATATCAGCCAGGTCTACACACAAAGAGTAAGCAGGGCGGAACCTTGGAATGACGTCGTGACAATGACTTACAATACTTCTAGGCCTACATGCGTCCTTACGGAGTGGCCACGACGTTGATCTCATTGGACTCTGAGTTTGGCCCTCAGCTGTTTAAGTGCGATCCTGCAGGATACTACATCGGCTACAAGGGTACTTCGGCAGGACCCAAGCAGCAAGAGGCTCTTAACCACCTCGAGAAGAAGTTGCGCAACAAGGAACATGCCCCTGGCGACTGGACGGATGTTGTCGAGCTTGCCATCACGACCCTCAGCACCGTTCTAAGCATGGATTTCAAGAAGGGCGAGATCGAGATTGGCATTGTTGGAGGTCCCCGAGCGGACGGCAAGGAGGGAACGGACCCTGGCTTCCGGATCCTCACAGAGGACGAGATCGACGAGCGGTTACAGGCGATTGCGGAGAAGGATTGAGGGAGGATCAGACATATTCCGGCTGGTGGAAGCTGGACTTGGTCGGTGCGTCCGATGATGAGTCCAAGGCGACATCGATTCGTTGACAGGCCAAATCACGCATGACCACCGCGGGGCGTTGCAGATGAGAGAGTCAAGCTGGTTGTCTCCCGAAACCAGATCCCCGCACACGACTGTACTACTAGCCAGGCTACCAACCGTTATAGATCAAGACATTCGGAAGACATTGCAACGACCACCCCATGCTACTCGACTTGAGATCAGCCGCGACGCCGTTTGAGGCTCGGCTGAGTGTTAACTGAGCAGGCACAATGAGAATAGCTGGAGTGGCTTGACCAAGACCAGCGGACAAAATCCGAGATGCTCAATTGTCTCGGATGGTAACTCGATGAGACACGTATGACATGGTGAAAACTGAAGGCCAGTCATGGGCTCGAGCAAGATCGAAAAGCGGGCGTCGTTTTGCAGGAGGGAAGGCTACTGGCCTCGTCAAATGGCCTTGCAAGGCGACCAGTTGGATTGAACGAGTCGATCCGTCAAGGAAAAGCGAACAAAGACGGACAGACATCAGGCACAGTAGAAGAGGGCTGAGCCACTGATGACGCTGGATCTCTCAACGGCCCGCAGCCTACCCTCGGATGGGAGCAAGGTTTCCCTTTCTTCCGTTCGGGGGGGCTGCAGAAATCCAAAGGCCAAGAGATGCGGGCGGTGAGATAGCAAGGGAAGATTAGATGATGGCGTGCCGAGTCAGAGCTGGATATGGTCAGCCCATACTAGTAATCCCTCTCCACCAGTCCCCTTCGCGGCAACTGTATGTGCCCAGAAGAATTCCGTCTTAAATCTCGCAGTCTGCCTTCCGCTAAGTCGCAACGGGTAACCGACACGGACCCTAATGCGGGTGACCAGTTTGGCGGTATCGGCTCACCCGGATTAAAACATGCCAAACGGGGGAGACGCCCAAGGAGTCTGGACCGTGATTGGCCCCACCAAGTCACCACTACATCAGCCCACTTCCTTTCCCGGCCGTCAATATTACGGCTGAAGATCCACTAGCCTTACCTTATTGCGCATCCTTGTCGTCGTCCTGATATACGTGGTAAGCAACATGTTTGTGCGTGATGTCAGGGGAGACGACCAACGTTTACCCAGACCCTGGGTCTGGGCCTGAACGATACACATCGTTTCCTTTCCGTAATTCCGTGCTTTCACGTACCCTGCTCCAGATCTTTGGGCCTCGAGACTTACGACTGCCCATGGCACCCACCTACGTAGACAGTGCCTTACACCCCTCGTCCCCGTGACCCCCCTAAACGTCCAGGTCTTACCGTCCGGCGCAGCCTTGTCAGCGGCATGTCGAGTGGCTGTCGCTCAAATCTAGCTCACTCACTGGCCTTTCCTTCCAGTATGTTGTCATTCCCTTGGATGTGTGGTCTAAATCACGACTGTCTAGGCATGCACCATGCGGGTCGACATCATCGCCAGGCCTCCCGGAAGCCAGAGCAATCAATGTCTCCGTTCCTACCGTATCCGAGAGACCAGGGCACCTCTACCAGCTTGGCTAGGGTCTGTCCTAGCTTTGAGCTTGCAAAGCCATCCCAAATGCCATGATCCTGGTCTCTATTTCCCGACTCGTCGGTCGGCCACATGGCCGGACTCGGCTGGCGTGGGGTTCCATCAGATGAACTAATGAACCATTGGACCAACGCTTCCGAGGACCTCCTGCGTCTCCATGGGGCTCCATTCGCCTGTTAGGATCGCGAGTCGGGACACTTACACGATTCCTGATGGGGCTGGCACTTTGGTTTGCTTTTCCGACGATGGTTTGTAATATTTGTGATTGGCATTCCATGTCTTTCGGAGGCCGTCAACGATATACAAAAGAAGCTGACGGCGCCGATGCAATTCTCACGAAATTGGTTCGACCAGGGTGTATCTCTCTAAACAACAGCAGGTCTTCCCTCTCCTCGCACGACTCTGTCATCCGAATAATACTAATTCTTGTACATCATACCTTCTCTTCTTATTCGATCGCTTTACCCCCTACTGAGCCATCTCTAACTACTTCTCACCACTACTCTGGCTCGTTCCTCATTATAACAATGGAAGGATGTATGTTATCAAATGGAATATCCGGGGCACATGAACCTGGCCTTAGGGGTGCCGTGTAACGCAGACGAGCCTAACATGCGCTCCAGTTAATGAATATCGAGTAATGAGAGTTGCCGAGGTTCTCTCCGATTTCCGGACCTTGCAGTTCTACATCGCAGCGGCGCCTTCGGAACCAGCCAACATGGAAGACTACTGGACCGAGGGTTGGGCGGCACTGCGGCAATGCTCTCTCGACGGGCAGCACATCCTCAACTGCGCGGCCGACACGAGTGTTCCGCAGGCAAGCGGCGGGTCGGTCGAACAGGACAAGGCCGAGTTGAAGCAGTCAGTCCTCTATCCTCTCGACGGAACTGCTCATTAGTACTCAACCTTTCTTTCTCTGTTATAGGTGTTTGCTTGATGCCTTTGCCAGAAGGCACGAGTGTCAAAAGATCTACTTACGCCAGGCTGCTGCCCAGCGGTGGATCAGCCACCGGGATAGCATCCTGCAAGGCGAAAGGCCGAACTCAAGGAACGAGTCTCAGCTGAGAGTGTGTGATCAACGGTTGAGAACTGTGAGTCAGCGTCACACAACTCATTGTTGCGGCCACTGAATCCCCACGCTGACATGAGGACCGCAGGAGCTCTCGATGGTCACCGACGATGCGATTTATGCTGAGCTACATGCCTCTGACTACGCAATGGGCCGCTGGACGGCCGAGGACCCCAGCTTGCGAGGCGTACAGCGCTGGCTCCGCGCTCGACGACCTGCAGCATGATGACCCACGACGAGTGAGGTGTGATGAATGATATGTCTTGTCTCAATGTGATACGAAAGCGAAACGATTTCCTGTCCAACAGGCATCCCGAAAGGAGGATTTTGCATACACGGCGTATGGAGGATATTAAACGGTTACAGCAGCGAGCATTCCGGTCATGCCAGCATCATTTTGCTTTTTTCTTTTTTCATTTTAGTCTCATGGAGTTCACTAAATAACCCCTAGGCGGACTGGATGCGCTTGGTTCGGAGCAGTCCTGGCCCAGGTAGGCCGGCGAGTAGTGTAGTCTCCAGGGCGAGGCAGACGGAAAGCTCGGGGGACGGGAGCGTTGAAGGGTTGAACCTGCCCGGCGCAGGGATTTCGTTGGCTTCGATAGTCTATATTAATATCTCGGATATCTTTTAAACGGCCCCCAACGCCACGTTTCTCAACTTATGTGCCCTGCATCAATATATGAGACATGCGGTAGTCCAAGCCTCACGCATCCAAAACGTGCCGCGTTCTCTGACGAAAGAGACTCCAAATGATCACCTAGTCTTGCTATGCACACACAACGCTATCCCGGAAAGAGATAACACCATACCAAGTAGGGTTTCTGCGGCAAGTTAGTCATGTGCGGGCCAATCAGATACGCAAACTCGGAGAGAAATTGCGGCCTACCTCGACTGATCACCTTACTCTCGACCCACCAGTCTCCAATGACGGTGAAGAGAAACGCGAGAGTATTAACGATGGGAACCGTCAAACTCAACTCTACGGCAGTTCGTCAGCATCCTCTCTCGTATTTTCTAAGATTAGAGGGGCGGGGAGGGGGGGGGCGTACCGGCCTGCCCAATGAGCAGGAAAAACCACACGCTCCCGGTCAAGTTGATCAGCAGCGGCACGGCATACCGCGGGTTACGGAGCAGGTCGACGACGCCGAAGAAGGCGCCGTAGACCCGGCTCCGGAACCAGCTCCGCTTGACGGCATCGGTCTCGAGGACCGGGTGCGGGGGTGGGTGGTGATCTTTTGCGGCGCGGCGGATGAAGGGCGTCGTAAAGCCCCACGCGAGCCCAACGAGGAGGAAGCCTGCGACGTAGTTGATGGCCGCGGGTTGGTGTTCAGGGGCATCCGGTGATGTCATTGTGCCGATGATGAGGCTGCGTGCGTGTGTATGTGTGTGTAGGCGAATGTAAAAGCTGGCGTGTTTGGTGTGATCCAGCCTTACCAGAGTGGCGTTGAAGGTATGGTTACATCAGCTGAAACCCTTGTGAATGGCAGACCTCACGATGCTTGCGAGAACTGATGGAAGAGCACGCTCGACGATTACCGGTGGTCCGGAATGACGGAAGTAACACGGAGTGAAGTCGGATGGGTGTGGGTGTGGGTGGGCTGGGCCCCCAGGCGGAGCCCCAGCACAGCCACGCGGCAGGGCGGGTACTGCCCCTGACAGCCGCCATGACAGACCCCATTGGCTGCGTGGGGTCCATCCAACAGGGAGGTTCGCTGCGGTAGCAGCCGAGCGGCTGACTTCACCGACTTCGTCTGGCACTCTTAGCGCGTGCTGCTTTTTCTTTCTTTATTGCACGTTCGTCACTCACCGGAAACGTAACATCATCTGGCGCCAAGGATAGAGAACATCACCAGGGACGCCTATAGGAAAAGAGGCCTCTCGCCATTTTCGCAGAAGTTCATACCTCAATCGATGCCCCTTGAGGCCCGCTCAATGTTACGACTCCCGTATCCGAGTCCGATGGACCACCTGGTTCACGTACCGCTTCAGACCAGCGGTTCTGGGGTTATCAGCTCGTACCCGGACAGAGTGGCTTGCATGAGCTGCCACAGGTTCTTCGGCCAATGGCAGTTACAAAGGCGGCCGCTGAGCGAAAACAAGCGCGATATAACCCCCCGGCCAGTGTAGGGGTTCGCGGGTTGTGGGAACATGTCATCCCAGTATTTTAGCCGCCAAGCCTGACAAAACAGTGAAACTCTTCACTATCAAGTGATGCACAGTAACATCTAGAGTGATTGGTGCTGAATTAATCGGACGATTAGCTCCTTAATCGGACGATCAGCTCCTTGCATTTCGGGCTGGCTAACAACGCTAGTGCATCAGAGCAGGCTACGATATGGGACTAATTGGTCGTGAGTGCTGAATGACCTCAAATTTGCTGGCATAAGCGCATAAGTGGAGGAATTGAGAAAGAGAAAAACGACGTTTGTTTAGATGACCTTCCTATGCTTTCATTATATAAATCCCACGTTCATCTGCATTTCTGTCCCCTGTCGATCATTCCCTAGAGATCATCTTGCAGTTTCCCTCGACTCATCCTGCCGGACGAAAAGCTCCTGTCGTGGGGAGTCTGTGCCCCTAGCCACGCAGGTACTTATCTTAGCCCTCGCCCTTGACATCATCTCTAGTTGCGATGAATCACCACTCACGCCCCTTTAGCCGCCTCAGTGGGGCGGCAGCCCAAATCAGTCGCATGTCCAACGACATGCGGCTGGTCGATGGGATTATGCAAATCGCACACGATCGCACGAGCGAATGTAGGTAGGCAAGACCGGCTCCCCGCACAGGTCTGGAAGGGGCGTTTGCTCAGGACTAAGATCTTAGAGCGGTACCTTACATATCCTCCCAGATTCCCATATCAGATTGCGATCACAGATTGCCGTGTTTGTCCGCGGTGCAAGATTTCGTGTAGTTCACTGGCCAAGTCGGCCGGTGTTGGATGTTGTCGTGTTTGTCAAAGTCGAGATGGAAGGCAGTCAAAAGCCTAGCCATCAATAGCTGAATGTTGCCATTCCCTACAACAATCAGTATCTTGTCAATTGGGCAGATGCTGTTTACCATCGGTAGGGGTGATGCAGGAAAACCCCAAATGTGCTACGTCAGGCCCGGCTGCTTGCTTTCTTTTTCCATCGCGAAAGCGTACCGGTATACCACCCGTCATGACGGCAACGAATCGATTAGGTATCCGAGCATGATGGCCATGCAACACACCAAACGGTCTAGCGGCCCAGCATCACCAAGGCTAAGACCTGATCAATCCTCCTCTTTGTCCGGAAGCAGCTGACTGGCCAGCCTTAAAGCTCCGCACGCCAGCCTCCAGCCCCCGGTACTTGGTTTGACCATCTGTGGTATCACACCTCTACCCCGCCGATACTACTGGGGGATCTGACTCCATCCTGCTTTGCCGATCTGGAAAGGCTGGAGGCGCGTTGGAAGGGACGGACGGGCGTGACCCCGATTCCCCTGGCGCCGTTATCCGTACATCTCCGTTGTTAATCAACAGGCTTAGTATCGTAAGAACTTGTAGCGCTGACATGGATATTCCTTAACTGAGACTACGTTCACCCTAACTCACGTGGGCGGGCTGCCCTAGCCTCTCATATTAGCTTGGTCTGTCATCTCATTCCGCTTTCCTAGATGCCCCCTCCCACATGTTGATTTGCACCCCTCAAAACAAACAACACTACCGATGCTTGTCCTCCCGCAGTAGCCCCCCAAGCACGGGAGGTCCGCTTGAGCTCAAGAAGAATAAGAAACAGCCAAGCAACCGAGAAGCCACAGAACGTACCGAGCTCTTTTGGTCATCATCTCGATCTCCTGCCTGGTCTCCTTGTCCCGGAACGGCTCCTTGCAGGACTTCGAACGTCATGACTTCACACAGCCTATTCATTCTCACGATCGATGATCGAAAGGGGGATAATTCGTGCTTGGAACCACTCGGGCGTTGGCCCAGTAGCGCTGCCATAGCTTCGGTGGTCTCATACAGGAGCTAGGGTTGATGTATCTTTTACCTGTGCTGTTATCATGCTTGTCGATGTGAAATGGGCCACCCGTACCAAAGAAAATGTGAAAATGCCATGTACAGGAGAGGTACTTGTGAGATCAATGATGCCATCCATTACGTCGGAGCTGTAGCTCTCCCACATCATTCTTGTTGTAGTTCTGTTGCAAGACAGGGGATGAAGCGGCAAGCTACTAGCTGGGCTTAGTCTTGTCCTGCCTTTTTGACTTGCATCTCATGCTCCGACATCCTGTCCCGAGAGATCTATAAGAAGAGGCCACCCAACACCTCTGGAACCTGTTCTCTTTTTCTCATCATTACAACATCAGCCTATCAAGCAATTACACCTTCAATCCAATAGCTCCAATAACAAATCTTCCCCCAATCATCCCACACCCCACCAACCTTCAACATGCCTACCGAAGCTCAGATCGCCGGCGGCCACAAGGCCAACATCAACAACCCCAACACCTCTGAGGAGTCCAAGCAGAACTCCAGGAAGATTCTCGAGGAAGAGTTCAACGGCGGCGACGTCCCCAAGGCTGGCGATAACGAGCAGAAGAACCCCGGCAATGTTGCTGGTGGGCTCAAGGCGTGAGTTCCCCATCTCGCAAGTATCCTGGCTGTCCCGCATCATTACTAAATTTTCTCCACTTCGCAGTACCCTGAAGAACCCCAACGTCTCTGATGAGGCCAAGGAGTCTGCTAAGGAGCGTCTTGACAATATGTAAAGCGGCAGTGTTCTAAGAAGCCAATACCCCTTCATCCATTTATTGGGAGCGGAGAATAGGAAATGAGATTTTTTCTTTTAACGGACAAGTCAAGCCTTGTATCTTAGACACTATCGCCCGAGGTATTCGGGCCGTTATGAGGACTTCATTGCCATTACTTGTCACTTTCCAATGTTAATAATACCTGTGATAACCACCGCAGCTCAATCCTTAAATGCTAGTTGTCACAAAATTGAAACCGGTGCCATAGTCAAAAGTTGTTTACGACATTATCTGACAATTATTTGACATTGTAAGACTTACTAATCTCTATCATTCCTTCGTCTGGCATGGGTACAATCAGCGTAACAGGTCAAAGTCATTTATAACCATGGATCCAATGTGAACATCATAGCTAATAAAGGTGTGGATTCAATCACGTAATCACGTCGTGTTACGTTTTCTCAATACCACCACAACCATTCTCCCTATTCTCAAAAGGGGAGTGAGAATCGTGTTATATCCTCACACCTGTCGAACAGTATTGAAGTGACGCCATGTACCTACTAACGTCACGGTAAATGACTCGCACAGATCAAAACGATGTATAACCGCATCGTTGCTCGTCTAAATAAATCGGCCGCAATGAGTCACGCTGACAAGCATGCGTTACTCTCACTCTGAAGGTGCTGACGAGAGGTGTACTACGAACGTGCGCATGTGTACAAACAAAGGTCAAATTACAGTTCTATACGTCTATATGTCATACATCACATGCGTCACATTCCCGGAGCAGCGAATTCGGCGCCCTTCAACCCAAGTATCCTCTTGACGCCCAGAAAGAGCTCAAAGACACCGAGCTTGGCCTCGACCCTCCAGAAGCTGATCCATGCTGACACCAGGCGGACAGTGTTTGGCGGCCACAGCAGCGAGCCGTGGCGTTTCAGGTCCTCGAGCTGCTCCTCGAACACTGTACGCGTGCAGTAACGTGCGAGGATCATGAATGAGCGGATGGGGCCCTGGCGCGTGTGCAGGTTCTCGTCGAGGCTGCGGGTGAGGTCATTGGTCTTGAGGATGAGGAGGATGATGCGCGGGACCTGGCCCAACAACTGGACGAGGTCGACGATAAGCCCTTCCTGCAACGCGTCACCCATCTCCTTCTTCTCATCGGCCGTGCGCGTCTGCAGGACGGAGCCCTCGCTGTTGAGGACGCTCCAGTCGCGGCCCGTAATGGCCGAGGCGAACAGGGGGAACTGCTCGTCGTTGATGTTGGCGACCTCCTTGGCGTACTTGCGCATGCGCTTCATGTCACCGTCGATGACGGCAAGCCACATCTTGGCGTAGGAACGCTGCAGGTCGCGCGGGATATCCCGGTAGAGGCCGTGGTCGTAGAGGATGATGTCGAAGTTGTGGCCGCCGCGGAGGCCGCGCCGGGACTCGTTCTTGCGGATCGCCAGGTTTCCACCGTGGGGATCGCAGTGCAGAGGGGCGTTATGGCCAAATATCATTTCGTTGAAGATGCGCGCGAGACAAGCAGAGACCTCGTCGCGGTCGATGCCGTTGGCGTCGAGATACTCGAGGTCGTCCAGCCGGTGACCCGATACCCGCTGCATGACCAAGATTCGCTCCTTCGCCCAGAGGACCTCCGGGACGACGAGGGGGTGCTCCGGCAGCCTGGCGAAGTGCTCCCTTGTGCGGTTGGCGTTGCGGGCCTCCTCCCTGAAGTCCAGTTCCTTCGGCAACGAAATGTCCATTTCCGAGGACAGCCATTCGAGGTCATACTCGGGGAAGAAGCGCTTCAGAGTCGAAAAGGTGAACCGGGTCAGAGCCAGGTCCAGTTGGGACCACTCGCCGAGACCAGGGTGTTGCACTTTGACAGCCACCGGCATGCCCGTTTCCTTCAAGGTGGCAGTGTGTACCTGCGCCAGAGACGCGGCACCGATCGGTTCGGGCGAGAACTCGGAGAAGCAGTCCCACAGCTCTTGGCCAATATCCTTCCGGAACATCTCCTCAATCGATTCGAAAGACGACACGGGGCACTTGTCTTGTAGGGGAATGAACGTGTTGGTCCATTCTTGCGGGAGGAGGTAGTTCATCGCACTCTGTGCTCCAGTCAGTCTTTGGGTTTTAAGACGATCCACAAATATGGGCTCTTACAAGATGTTGGCCCAGCTTGATAAATATGCCGCCGTTCTTCTCCAAGACCTTCAATGTTCGGTCGGCGCATCGCTGGTGACAGTCTTTCAGGATCTTAGATTGTAGGTCGGGGTCCTCGATGCTCTCTTTCTGGTTGAGAGTCGTTCGGTAACTAAGATGGCGTTAGCAAGGACTGGCCCGTACCAGCATTTGTCCGGAAGGAAGTCGTACTCATTGATGCATACCGCAAGCGCGGCGGCGACTCGACCTGCGCGTTCCGCCGCCTCGTAGCCGTGCCTGATGTCGTCAGTGAAGGCGAGCGCGCCGGCGGCCGCAGCGCCGCCACCCGAAGCAAGAAGCCACACGCGGCCACCTTTCCGACCACCGCCATTTTTCGGTGCTGCCCTTGCGACCGAGGCCTTTGCACTCGTCGATGAGAATCCGCGAGCGGCCTTATTGCCAAGCCGTTGCTGCTGTGCCGATATCCGGCTGGACTGCTGCGCAACCGGACCGGCACGACATTCGGAGCAGGTCCATGGTCGGCGGGTGGTGGCCCGACGCAGCGGGCGCGAGAAAACGGAAAAGGCTTTCATGTGGACGCTGGCCAGCTGCTGCCAATGTATAGACAAACGCAAGGGAAGCCTGTGCCGATGCTCATTCTACGGGGTTGTGTTGAGCTTCGGGAATTAGGATCGATTCCAGAGGCGGGTCGGTCTTCGATATGGAGGTTTCCCAACAGTCGACTACCGATAGTGGAGTCTTTCCGAGGGATTGAGTTGGCTGTGGGGGCGATCTAGAGCTAATTAGTTAGTCGGATGTCATGTCGTCAGTTTGTTTTTTTCTCCCCAGAGGCAACTTCTTTTTGTCTCTTTTTATTTTATTTTATTCTCTTTGGCCAGCGCGTATCGGTGAAGAAAAAACCGTGGCACCGCCATTTCCATTCGCCGAATTTGCCTCGGGGCTCCGCTCGGGAACCGCCGGGATAAATGGTCCAGCCCAGGCGCAACGCAAATCAATCTGCGCCGCATGAACACACTCTTGCTGATTGGAAGAACCCATCCGTAGTGGAGCTCACGTGTCAACCGCCACCACACGCCACACTTGTGGCGCTCAACGCCCTCCATCGCGTCTCGGTCGCGTCCCATCACGCGCACCGCGGTTTCTACAATTAAGCTGGGAGGCAACAGCTCCGTCTTACACCACTATCGACATTGTGTCCAAAGTTCGCACAACTAAATCATCACCACAACCCAGTTTGTCTTGCTATCACCACCAGCTTAATGCAAGAAGACAAAGTATCTGAAGCCAAAAGAACTGCAAACATGTTCTCCGTCGCCGGGCCTGTACCCATCTTCAGCGAGCGGAACTCGTGGGATTTCAGGCCTGCGGTCCCGTCGCCTCTCTCATCGTCGCCCGCCCGCGCGCCATCGCCCCTGTCACCCATCGACGACAACACCGTCCGGCTCACGCAATCTTCACCTATTCCTCAACCCAAGTTCAAGTATGCGTTACGGCCTGCGAGGCCAAACCCAGTTGTCCGCAAGCGCGAAGAGGTGCAGGAGAGCAGGCGGAAGCTATTTCTCCAGAACGTGCGGCAGCGTGCGAATGACCGGTCCTACGAACGGCGAGATGTGGAGGGAGCTGTACGTGACAAACGTATTGCGTCATCTGAGATGCATTGTGCTGATGTCTTCCTGCAGATTCTCAAGTCCGACTGGGACCGTGACATGCGACAACGGTACTACGCCAAGCAAAAGGAAGGAGACGCCTTGTTCTCCGAAGCCGACATCGAGGACGCGGCGGCCATTGCACAAGCACGCCCACAGCAGATACCCCGTGATGCCGACGATACCATGCTCGACGCCATGGCGCAGGAAGAACAGGAAGAGCTTGACGCGTTGTTATTGGCCTATGATCAATCTTCTGAACCGCGATATTCAGCACACTCGTCGCAATCCACGCATACCGACGCCTCCAGTCTCTCGGACGACGAGGATTATGATGCGTTGTTCATGAATCTGCTATCACGGGAAGGCAGTGACGTGGATGCCTCTTCACAACAGATGGACATGTCTTGACAAGAAAATAACGTGGGAAATTTAAGGGAAAATAGCTGGGCTAAACTGGAGTGACAAAGTACGGTTGTTCCATTTGCATTGCGGCGTTGAGTCAGGTATGGCTTTGGGAATTCGATCTGATTATGGCGTTGGGCCTCGAATGGCCGACGGGATACGGTGTGGACAGCAGCTCTGCATGTGCACAACCATGGGAAGGCATGGTCTTTATGGGAATATATGTAACAGACACCCTCTGGGGATGTCCAACTATTGCGGATTACAGCCCTCGTCTGGATTGAACGCTTCCTGCGCTGATGGCATGTCGCCAACCAGGTCTGACGGAGGTGATCCGGCGGCTTGCATCTACCGCGAGTCAATTTCGCAAATAATAACGAGAGAGCTCTCCTGCTTACCTTTTGCATCCTCTCGACAATGTATTCTCGGTCCGCTGCGTTCGCGTCTGCATACGTCTTCTCCTCAAACTTGGCCACGATCTCCTTAACGTAACCCTGTTGCTCCTCGTACCGCTTGAGGTCTTCCGCGGGTGTCTTGTCGCGGTTCTTTTCGAACCACTCGGGGAATTTGTCGTTGAGTTCCTTCATAGGCTCGTAAAGGATCTCCTTGTTAGTAAGTTGCTCCATCATTCCCATGAGCATCTTCGAGAATTCCTCCTCGCTGCTGCCGCCGCCTTCCATGCCGCCCTCTCCAAGCTGCCTCATCATCTCAGCAAGGAAGTCCTCGGTCGAAGATTCTGCCGCAGCCGCGGTCGCCTGCTGTCCCGACGCTTGCATGCGCTCCATCGTCTTCTTGATGGTCTCCTGGAAAGAACCGTCGGCGATGGGGTCTGAAGCCGGGGCTTTGCTGGAGGAGGAAGTGGGCCGTGGGGCTGCTGGTGTTGCGGCCGGCGCCTGGGAAGACCCAGCTTCTCCCGCAGCGGCGCTCATCTGCTTGAAGACACTGTCAAACTGCGCTTGCATTTCCGGCTGTGATGTCGGGTTAGTCGATGGAGGCGAGTGACAACGGTGTGGGGGTTATCTACGTTTTTCTCGAGCTCGCCAATCAAATCGGCCATGCCAGCCTGAAGCTGTTTTGCAAAATCGTCAGAAGACAACATGTC